TGAAAGAGAACTGAGCAGAGGTCGAAATGGGGGTTTGTGGGTATTATGAAAGAGAATGAAACTATCCCTACGATACTGTCTGTTGCACTGCAGTCGGACATTCCATTGACAAGTTATGGCTGTTTAACGTTCACATTTATCAACATGTCAAAAGGCCTTTAACATTCAAGTTTTATATGTATACGTGAAATGAAAGATGGCAATTTGTTTCTACTTAAGTCTTAAACATACTTTTATTCTACGATTTTTATACTATTTCCTTAAAATATGCATAATAGACATACTGTCAAAATATTTACAAATATTATGCCTACTTAATCTAAAAATCAAAAAAAGTTCATCACTATTCAGTTTTTTGCATTTTTCTCCATTATGGCCTGTGCCCTGTTCCGTCTCATTTTGCCAGAACACCTCACATTTGTCTTTCAAAATCTGGTCCAGATTTGGAGAAAAAAACCTATCTGCACTGTTTATAAATGAAAAATAAACATTTATGTCCCAAGTCCCTCAGAACATCAATGGGGATGAGATTTGTCAGAATTTTCTTGATTTCAGGATGTTTTGTCATAATTTTTCCTGATATTAGGATTTTAAACAATCCCTTGCGAAATCTGGAATTCGTGAGGTTTTAAAGGGGTTTTGACATATATATATACATGAAGAACAGAAGAAGCGGGCATGTGATGTGCTGCCTTTAGGCAAATACAAATAAAACCGACGTTGCTCTGGGGCCCTCAACAACCCAAGAAATAGTATAAAAATCTTGCCGATAATTCCGTGGATTTTTTCATTTTCTCCCAATCTCACCCTTGCATCGTCCATGGTTTGAACATTCAAACATGATAGAACAAGGATGTGTTAATTATTGTAGACTACCGGAACAGTGTCCCATATTATAACTACTTGACATAGATGTACCGATACAGTGTCTCATAGATACATCTGTTGCCTTTATTTTGGTGTCCATAACATTGGCCTTCATGCTGTTCTTCAAATACTCTCATGTGTGCCATAAATCTTCATCTTGTGCCAAAATACCAGCACATGAAACCGCTTTCTATTGAGAACTCCCTTGTGTAAATAAACCTGAAGACCGACAGCCTTCAAAAGCTCCGTCACCGACTCTAAAATCAATAGATTAAACCATCATTCAGTAGCCCGATCATCATCATATCAGTATTCTTTACGATGGACGGGGAGGGACATTATTAAGACCCGTTCCATTAATGACCAAGTTAAGGCCAAGGTTTTACTGCTTCTTAATCCCAGTCCTTCAGTCTCCGCATTGTTCAGTTCTCCATTACTCATGTTGTTGGCCCAGTTGGACCAATGCCAAGAACATTAACTCGCGGACGTATTGCAAAGAGTAACTACATGTACGATAGAATCAGTGCAGCAGAGGTTTTCTTTTGTTGGGAATTCCATTGTGATGGTGTGAGCTGGGCACTTGGGTTTGTATGATTCATGTTATTAAAATGAGAAAATCCTTTGGTCTAGCCCTAACCCATTGCGCTGGTACCCTAACCAGGTCCCCATGCACTACTGGCTTCAGTCAGTTGTTTGAAAGACACAGCCAACCACAAGTGGACATTGTGTATTGTGGGCCTGTTGGAAGAGGTTGCTGGTCTTGTTGTGCAATGAAGTTGAGAATGATTTTAAAAACTTGGATTTGATCTGTGTGGAATATTATCTTCAAGTTTCGAGTTGATGGCCTTTATAAACTTGTAAGTGTTGTTTTTATTAAATCTCCCTTGAAATTGTTCACTTGTTCCAACTTTTATAAAGGCACGTGATTTAGATGTGGCGATGTGCTTCTGTTAGTTAGACAAATGTTGCCATGGAGCAGTTTTATGGGAAAGGTTACAAAATCAAAAGTTGGAAATACGGTACCTTCATATTGCTGTGCGGTGGTAACGGAGCACAAAGCCTGCATGAAAGAAAAATTATACTTTCTGATATTCCTGTGTTAAAATTGTCTTGCAGTATTTATATCTGTGTATTTTTAAATCACTGTATTTTTCTCTCTTTTGATAAAAATATTGCGTTACTCAACGTTTTGCATCCTATATTGTTATTCCTTGGACCTTATTAAGATTTCAGTCAATTGAAAGCAGTGGAATCTGATACCATTAACCATCATAGGACCATTCTATTTCACATTGTTACGAACTTGGGTGAGTCCTGCGGTTAGCATTTTCATCGTTGAATGTGGCAGTGATATTGTATTATACCTACTCAATCACGTCGTTGCAAAAACAGCTCCGTGTATTCTTATCTTTGTGTCAACATTTCTTTGGTTTTTCGCAGCGGTGTTTTCACTTCTGCCAAATGTTTTCATTTTTCACCTTAACGCAGACAAATTCTGTCATGTGTTTATGATTCTGATCTGGGCCCAGGACCTATTCATAACGTTCTGCCATTGTGTTCTCTGCCTTGTCAAAAGCCCAGACAACTAAACAATACCAGCCACCCTCCGGTCTTCGAGGTCATAGTTGTAGCCCTCATGTTGTGAACTTTTACAAAGGTGTTTTGGGTAAACACTCCAAAGTCTGTCAGCATTTTCCCTGCAGATTTTTTGTTTAAGTATCTGTAACTGTCTGGCATCCCCAGGAACAAAAGCAAGTTATTGTCGGCGTTTAGGTTTTTCGGAGAGCAACCAGATTGCGGTAGGTGTGGATAAAAGTGATTGTTTTCGGTTTGTGACATACGAAGAGAAAATTCCTGGCCTGGGATTCGGTACTTGAAGTTGTGGACTTCGGTCAATCATGAAAACCTCGACGGGAAACTCGACGTGTTGCATTGTTGAACGGCACCACTGGCGTACTCATTTTCGTGAGTGTATGATTTGGAATGATTGATTTGATTGATCCGTCTGCAGTTTGTATGCTTTCTTTTGTGCGCTGACCCATTTTATGCGTAATTGACACGTGACAGGCGGCGACAAAAGCTGTGTTTGAACCGCACTGACAGTTCCTCGTGGGGATGTGTCTGTTTGAACTTTGTGAAGCACTTGTTCAGGTACATGAAGGATAATCATGTGTACATGTACGTGCAGTTGACAGACAGAACGCAGGGCTCCATTTCATGGCTTTTAACTTAGCGAAGAATCTTTGCTTACTGGGTCATTCTGTGAATTTGGGATCCACTCTTTTTCCTGTCCCTGTTACATCTGACATATGATTCTGATGTGCTCCTTATTAATGCGGTCATCCTCCAAGAGTGATGATGAATAACGAACTACCTACCAAAGAAATTTAAAAATCGTTTGAAGTCATTCTTAATGACACTTGAATGACAAATTCACCAAGTACCAAGGTAAGAGGGACAGGCAAAAAGTCACACTTTGGACCCTAAATTTCTAGAATGACCCAGCTGAAGCTGAAACATCTGTGCTAACGGTAAGCATATTCATGGCTTTTTAGCAAGGAGTTTTAAGTAAGGATTTCTGAGCTAAAGAGGATGAGTGAAGAAATTCTGTACCGGTTTTGTAAGCACATAATGGTTAGCAGAACCACAAAATTGGGTCTCAGACACATTCCAAAAACTGCTTTTGAGAGATCATTGTATTTTTTTGGTTCCAAGGGTTTCTTCTTAACTATGTACATATATATGACATCTTTTTCCAAAAGATATCATGTAAAAATAGCATAAAGCTGAAATTATGCAAAGGTGTACAATCATTATTGTACACATGAATTTGCGCAAGTATCATGATATTTGACAAACTTGATGCACTTTTTATGCTTAAAGTGAGTTCGACAACAGATTTACATGTAACTTAAAATTTTCAACTTGACAATTCTAGCCATGTCCTGTGAAAGGAGCTAAGCCTTAAAAATTAGAAAAAAAACCTGCTTCTGAATTTGCAGGCAATTTTACTCAGATGATAAACGGACCTTCACTCTTTGTGATTATCATTACAGATATTTGTGTATGCCCCTCGTTGCTTTTCTTAGTCTACTTACAGCGCACCATTGCCAGAGGGTACATGTACCGGGTATACATGGAATATGGTACAGGCTAACTGAATGAGCTAATATTTTAGCATGTGTGGGGCCCATGTTTTAATTATAACATCGGAAAAAAACGTCTGATAAAACTGCCGTCCGAATTTAGAGTCTTGGCACTTTACGTCGAAGCCTGCAATGTCTGTTGTGTAGGCTTACTTGAGAAGGTTTGAATATTGGTAAACGGATAGTGGAAGGGCTCCCCAAAGTTGAGACTAAAGGTGAAGAGTTATTGGAAATAAATGTCTACTGTTGAATTATCAGCTTGGAAATTCATTGTGTGGATACAGTTGGAATTGTTGTCATGCTTTGTTGGAAGAAAAAAAACACATTTTGTCGCCACAATTATTACAACATTTGAGAGTGAGTAATTATTCTTGTTGCCAAGAATAAGTCAAAGATAATGTCCTGTTGTCATGGGTGATGCGTTTGTTATGTGTACTTGGGGAATACCGGTCTTGATCGGTGATAGTTGGCGTGATTCTGATCAAACACATTAGCAAAACTAATATTTGACTTTCAGATAATTAATTTGGGATCCATTTCGCCATAGTCGCGCTTTGAATGGAAATTACTCATGGATTGTGCTGCTAAATTTGTGGCGGTGTATAGTTTGATGTGTAATATAGCCACTGCAAGGATTAAAGAGAGGGAAATAACTGGTATTAAAAACCAAAAATGTTTCTGGACATTATTTTCCTTTTAACAAACAGTTTGAGTTTATAATTGCACTGGTTCTGTGTGATGTATTTCCTCTGGGTTTTGATGTGACAAGTTAGAGGCAGTTGAAAATGTTGTGGGCTTTTGAAACAAAAGAAAGCACAAGCTGAGTTCTTAACACTGCCGCAACTTCACACACAAAAATGTTGCCATTTTATAGTAAATTTTCAGTTTGCGTCACTGATTGTTACAAATTTTACCTCATGTTTCTTGCATTGATCTTTGTCGCAAATTCTGACATTTTTTTTTTCTCTGTTGGTGTTTTTCTTACAGATACATCGTTTTGAATCTCGCCGTCTTAGCACACAAACAGCCATAAGCAATTCCTATAACCCAGGCCGTGCCATTATTACGGTTTGCCAGAGAAGTAGCACAGAACAGATTCCCACCCCACCACTCCGATGGGACAGCCACCATTTTGCCCGAATCACCCCCCTGACCAGAATGGAACAGTCGGGCGGCAGTACCATTGAACCTCAGCCCCGCCACCACCACACAGCCAACGTGCCTGCACCTGGACAAATTATCAACAACAATAGACGGCACACGAAGAGTAAATCTCGGCCGCGGTCTGGGGGCTCCCCGAGGGCCAGCCCGCGACATCAGCGTTCTGAAGCAAGGCAGAGCCTGCCTGCAATGATACACAGGAACGGGGAAAGCAACGGTGGCAACTTTATCATTGTGGATGATGGCATACCGGTGCAGTCGCGGATACGCCCCAACAACGGCGGTTGCTTACCGGTCGTGATTATGCGGCATCACAGGGGCAGACCTCCTCAAGGGAATCGCGTGTCGACCGCTTCCCAGACATCCCTGGAGGGACTTGATAATATTGCGTCCAGCGGGAATACTACCGCAAACACGGAGAGTATTAACGTCGGAGATAAAGTCATCCGGAGCATCCCTTGTTCTGTCAGCCGGGAGGCAGCTTCCCGCTCCCCGCACTCGGCCGGATTTCATGACACTAATGAAAGAACAGGAGAGGTTTACGATAACTCTGCCCCCGCTGATTACAAACCAGAGGGGGCCCCTGTAACAACTGGGTCAGGTTTGATGGACAGAAAAGCCAGCTCTTCATCTGGCAGTGTATCAGGACCTCCAACCAGCGTGCCTTCCCAGACCAAATCAAGCAGCAGCAACGAGCGCCTGACGGGAACCAGTAGCAGCCACACAAGTCGGGATTCGGCCTCAGCTGTTGGGCGAAAGCAGAGACGACGACACAGCCGTCACGCTGCCGAACGCCGGCGAGTGTCTTCCTCCACTACCTGCAGTACCTCCCCGACAGACTGCAGCTCGCGGTCAAGCACAAGCGGGAGCTTTGGCCAATCGCGTCGGCGATCACGCGGCAGATACATCTCCACAAGTTCTTCCAGTGACAGTGAAGTTGACCAAAGGCCTCACCCACCGAGGCGGGTTGTCGTTGCGAGGATGGCCAACGGTGGGGTCCGGCATGAGATGTTGGATCCAAATAGTGCTTATAACCATGGCGTAGGTGCCATCCAACGTGAACATCGGCACAGAAAAAGCTCCGGTTCATCAGCAAACACCCCACCCAGGGGTAGACCAAAGCTCCAAAAGACCAGTGGGGAGAGAGCTGGCTCAGGCAGCAGGAGAACCAACAGTTCTGGACCGCCAACAAGACATGACACACGTGTGGCACAGGCTGCTTCACAAACCCCCATCATCCAATCTCAGCCTTCCCGCTCATTCTCTGTAGCACCACAGGATTCAGCGGAACAAGTCCACCTCCGACAGAAACGACCAAACTCCCTCAACCTGCGGCTGAGTAGGAAATCCCACCCGGCCGCTCAGCTGAGGCCAAGCCATCAGGCAACAGTTACGTTTGTTGAGGAGAGTGATCCCTGGATTCACAGAGACACCGGACGGACATACGCCTCAGTCGGTGTTCAAAGCACGCCAGATCAGACCCAGACCCAGACCCAGACTAGGCAAACGACGCAGGGTAAATCCAGTCAGACCCCCGCCACCTTCAACCCTCCTCAGACCCTGAGTGCTGTCAGCGCACCAACCCCCTCCACCAACGTGGACCCACTCGCAGTGCCTAAACCTAAACCCAGACCCAAGTCCATGGTAGAGCTCAGCCAGGATACCAGCGTCATCGTCTCCAGTTTCCTGCGGCAGGCCGTCCACGGGTTGTCTCCAGCGATCAAGACAGTCCTGGAGGACATTCAGAGTGTCATCACCACAGATGAGCAGTACCTCGCCGAGGCCATGCAGAGCCACAGCATCATTGACGAGTACATCGAGAAATCCAACTCCCTTGACAAACTCCCCAAGGAGAAAAAGGGAACAGATGCCAAGCTTCCCGACCCTAAAGTCTCCCCTCCGGTTCCCAGCCCTGTCAGCTGCAAGGAACTTAAAGAAACCCTTAAGGAGAAGTGTGGCATGGAGGACAGTGGTATCCTCCCTGTCTCCGATAACAAGTTCCCGAGCAATTGCCCAGAAAAGGACCTTATCGGGATCAGCGGCAGCAAACACGAAGCCGTGCTGCAAGAATGTCTAGTCAAAACGCTAGAAAGTGCAAGGGAGACCATTCTCTAGCCATTGCTGGTTATAAATTGTGTACATGATTGTATGTAGAAAAGTTTGCATAATGATTGAATGGAACATGAGAATTGTTTTTAAAAAAAAAGAAGTCTTGCCTATGTTTTCCACACCATCCGGTATCGGAGCAAAATCCTTGTGAGACATGGTACGATTCCTTTTATCACCAAAGAATGATAACTGCATCGCAGTCTGTCTCAACACAGCATAAGCAATTTTTGTTTACATCGATGGATCTTGACGCATTCAGTTCACTTTTTTTAGTGTATCATAATCTGAAAGTTTACATTGCCTGCCTCAAAGCTTTTTTCATGATTTTTTTTGTGGTCATTTTCCGACTCACCATTATGCAATCAACAAAGAAGTAAGTTAAGTGTTACTTTTGAATTTTACTTTGTTCAAAAACTAAACTGAAAGAATTCAACCCCCCCCCCACCCCCCCACCCCCCCCCCCCCCCCAAAAAAAATAAGAAGAACCTCTAAGAGGCGACAGGCCATTTTGTGTATGTGTTGATCTGCATTTGAATAGGACCAGTAAAAGTTGACATAATACATTTTTGTGAGACCGTGTCGGCTGCAATCTAGAAAAAGGGGTGTTTTTCTTGGGCTTTTTTTTAATGCATTTTCTAAGGGTCTCATTTGCACAATTTTATGGAAAGTTTTCATAAAAATGAATTTCCAAAACTATGGCCATTCTAAAGTATGTTTTCTTTTTTTACTTTTCCTTTCTTTTCCTCAAATTGATGAATCCAGACTACCACGCAAAAAATAAATAAATCAATGGCCTGTAACCTCTTGAAGGTCAGTCGCTCATCCGCCCCCGAGGGTTATGAATTTTTTACAAACCTGTTTTGCGATGCAAATTGGGTTTGAGATTGACTGGGCCCCGCATTTAATGGGACTCTTGTATGAAGGAAAGCATCCCACAAGTCTTCAAAGGAAGAGGCTTCTCCGATGACGACAACAGAAAAGGCCCAGTAGTGATGACGCTGTTATATCCCGGAGGCCCACTGAGCAGAAATTGTCTGCGGTGGATGCCGATCAAAAGACTAAGATCAAAAATAAGCTGGGCATTGGTTTAATTAATAACGAGCATATGTTGGAGGTTGGCCATGTGTTCTTTGTACTTAAAGGGAAAATACAACATTTGCAAACATCAAAAAATAAAACTACCAAATCATTTTGAAATACCTTGCTGGACTGTTAGTGAATGACAGTGTAAAGCATCCTTTAAAATCATGGCACCTGGTATACTGTCATTTTCAAGAAAAGTGGTATTTTTGTATCAATTTCCAACGCTGGTCGGCCGACCAGCGTTGGAAAAAACTGGCTGTTTTTCAAATACTGGCCCCAATACTGACCATCGCACTTGTTTGCAATCGATCACACACCCATGAACGGGTACAAGCCAGCTAGACTGGTTCCCTGACCTTACAATTCCCCAATGTATGTAAACTGCTCTGTTTCTTCTTATATGGAGTCAGGGAACCAGACTACAGGAAAATGATTTTTTTTTCTTGGTTTTTATAGCATTTTCGAACCCCAAACCTCAAAAAAGTCAGTGTAACTATATTTGATATATATTTCCAACCCCCCCAATTCCATCCATTTCTGAAAATTACAGCAAAAGCAAATGATGTGTATTCCCTTTAAAGGTAATATACATTTGCAAACATCAAAAAACAAAACTGCCAAATTATGATGAAATACCTTACTTGACTGTGAGTGAATAATAGTCTCAAGCATCCTGTGAAATCATGGCACCTGGTGTGCTGTCATTTTTTTTTTAAAGTGTCAATTTCCAACGATGGTCAGCCGACCATCGTTGGAAAAAACTTTTTTACATACTGCCCCCAATTTACCACATTCAGTTAGTCCACGTTTTGTTTGCAATCAGTTACACATCCGTGAACGGTTGCAAGCCAGCTAGTCTGGTTCCCTGACCTGACAATTCCCCGATGTCTGTAAATTGCTCCGTTTTGTCTGAAGCAGGGTCAGGGAACCAGACTACAAGAATAAAATTTGTGTACGCCAAAATACTCTTCATTTCACACTTTTCTAAAACTAATTATCTTCCCTTTCTAACCTGCAAAAATAAGCATACTGTTTGAACAATTATTTCTGCCTAAGTCGATAATGGTGAGCAGAGTAATGAGATTGGGCAGTAAACCAGCCAGAAATATTTTTTTAACAAAGTAGACACAACATGAATGATTACCCTTTTCTGGATCTTCAGCTTTTAGCAAAAATGACTTCCTGAATCCCGATTGAATTAGCTTTATAATAAGCAGCGTACTTCCTTTTCAGAATGAATTACGACTTCCGCCATCATCTATAAACTCTGCGTTGCAGAATTTGTAAAAGCATTAATATGGTTTACTTAGAATAGCAATAGTTTATTATAGTGCAGCATGCTAAGTTATTGATACACTTCCTTTTATACTTGTGCATATTTTATTTTCCGCCCACCATAAAGAGTTGGAGGGTTTTTGCTTTAAGTAATATATTTGCGGTAATATGTTCTCTTATTTGTGCAATAGCTTTCTATATTGAGTCCTAGTTGCATTTTTGTAAAAGTATGGAACACAGAAAACCAATTTGTTGGAACTATCACATCAATGCATTAACATTGGCCTTTAAAAAAATGATAATTAAACTGCATAATTTTTTTATTAGTTTGGAAATATGCAGTTGGACCAAAAGATACCATACATTCATTTCAGTGTTGTTGTCTGGTCTTATTTCAAGTCCCCAAGTAAACTGACCTCAATACAAGTAACATTTGTTACAGACAATTAAGTAAATGACATGGTATTTGAAAATTTTAATTATCGTAATTCACATCTTGACCTGTTAATGGCAAGAGCTGTATTTAAATTACCCAACCCTGCCTTCAGTACAATGAAATTAATTCTTCCAAAAAGCACAAACATATCTTGACAAATTTTTAAAAAATTGTTTTTACAAAAAGTTTGAGAAACAAAGCTTGATGCATTTTCTTAACCAAATAATTCAAGTCTGTTTCTACTTCCTTGGTAATTTTTTTAAGAGATCATTTTGCATATGTAGTTTACTTCTTGTAGTAAAAAAAGTCATATTAAACAAAGTTATCACTTTAAATTGAACATTTTCAGGATCTGGTGCCATTCCCCCCCCCCCCCCAACTTTTGACTAACCAGTTCAGTGTCTGCATCTGGTTAATCTTCTTTTGGGGTCATGACCTTGGATAAGTTCCACTCTTGAAGAGGGGAGTACACTTTGCTTGTGTGTTTGTATGTTGCCCCATCCGGACTCTTCAATTAACAAAAAAGAAATGTGCTAATGGTGAGACTTGCAAAGTTGCATTCCTGTCTTTTACATGTATTTTTAAAAATATTTCCATCAAATAAAGTAGGTTTACTTGTGTGCATAAAAAGCTCTCACCAATGTGGCCCGGGTTTGATTCCCGGCACGGACCATTATGTGAGTGGAGTTGTTCGCTGATTCTCTCCTGTGCCACGAGGGTTTTTCTCCGGGCTCTCTGGATTTCTTCCCTCCACTAAAACAACAGTTTTTAATCTCTGGCTGTGCTCCGTGGTAAGACGTGGGTCACATGGCGGCTGCCTAAGGCCCCTTTACATGCCTTCGGCTTGAGCACATTGTAGCTGCGTCCTTCGCAATTCAGCTTCTGCTGCGAGTGAGCATGATTTAGCCTCCCAAATTAATATTGTTACTATTAATGTAAAGTCTGAGGTAGACCTAGTATTCGAATTTCCACAAGGTGGAATCCAGATGTCAGAAATGACCAAATATGAATTGATATGCAATTATTTATATTTTAAACTACTTTTAATTCAATGCAATGAATTGGTTCCTTTATATTTGTCGTTAATTGCTGCATTTGAATTTGTCATTAAAAAGCAAGTTTGGGTGTTGGCTATTGTAAAATTCTGTCCCTCAAATTGAGAAACATGCATGCACGTCTTGCAGCAACTTTATGCTCGGATCATTTGCATTAAACCGATTCGTTGAAGTATATATTTCACTACGTCCGGTTTGAGGACGGGGTGATTTGTGTGGGTAACCATCCCCTTTTATCTGATCAATATTAACATATTGTGGAAGTTATAAAAATCACACATTGTGTTCATTGCTTAAAGGTAACATACAGCATTTGCAAACATCAAAACAAAACAAAACTACCGTACCAAATTATTATGAAATACTTTACTTGACTGTAAGTGAATAATAGTCTCAAGCATCCTGTGAAATTATGGCACCTGGTGCGCTGTCATTTTCAAGAAAAGTGATTTTTTTTTGTATCTATTTCCAACGGTGGTCACCCGACCATCGTTGGAAAAAAAAAAAGACTTTCCAATTTACCAAATTTACCAATCAATTACACATCCGTGAACGGGTGCAAGCCAGTAAGTCTAGTTCCCTGACCTAACAATTCCCCAGTGTCTGTAAATCTCTCTGTTTCGTCTGAATTAGGGTCAAGGAACCAGACTGCGAGAACAGATTTTTTTTTCTTGGTTTTTCAAGCTTCCATGAACACAAAACTCAATGTAACAATATGTGCTGTAAAATCCTACCCCCAAATCCATTCCATTCCTGAAAATTACAGCAAAAGCAAATGTCGTATATTACCTTAAGGATATTTGTCTGTCATGATACTGACTTCAAGTTCAATTCCACCAACCACCCAGATTGAGTACTCCTGCATAAAAACATCCAAACTTGCCTGCTATTAAAGTGAATAAAAAAACCTGATATTTCTAGATGTATAACTTTGTATAAAAGTGAGATGAAACATACACCAATGTTGAACACTTATTTTTTTTATATGATCAAATGAATGATGTAAGTCATCATAAAATGATGAGTAATAATTACATGATCAAAAAATCTCTTCCAATTAATCTGTTTGACCAGAAATTCAGGAAACCAAGGCACGGAGGTAAAGCAAGGAATATTTTGTAAATTCATTGAATGATTGAGATTTGAGATGTTTCTTTCCCAGAATGGTGCATGCTGTAATAAAAATAAGATACTGTAATTAAACAAAAAATGTGGAGAGTGCAAATGATTATTAAAATAAAGTCAAGTGACAGATACAATACACCATCTTTTTTATTGTGTCCTTCCTGATACGATTTTGGAATAGCGGTATTGTCATTTAATAGATCTGTGTAAAAGTACCTTCACGCTATTTTCAAAATTCACCCTTTATTGTTAGAATGAAACCCACAAATTAAAATCTTGTTTGGAGAAGAAAAAAACATGAATCTATTGAAGAGCACCGACACGACAGTGGGCCCATTATCTTAACAAATTAGTTTTACATAAAGCAGCTGGATAGAACTGCATGTAAAGGTACAAAGGATTCTTTGCTTTTTGTGTATTTTATTCGTTTACATCAACAAAATTGATTAAAATGTTTAGAAGGCCAGGGTGCATAGCGCATGCATATGCATAGCGTATGCATAATTTGGGGGGCCGGGGTCTATATATTTGATTCCGTTCTTAACGCACGTAAACAAAAATACTGGCCGCGGACAGCTACAGTTTCTTTAAAAAAAACTCCAATGATTTTTTTCTTCCGAATGATAATTGATAACATTTCCAGGTGGAATAATGTCACAGGGTTTTGGGTACCAGTCCTATCTTCACTTTGAGCAAAGATTTCCCGCTAAATTGGTAGGTACGTTTACGTTTGCGGGTAAATTTTTCGAATTTTCCCACGTGGCTTTGCGCTGATCAACAGAGGGCGCCGTATATCTAAACTGGTACTTGCAGAGCCAACCTCGTCCCCAGGGTGTCGAGCAGTACGCGCCCACCACTACCTGCTCTCTCACTATTGGAAACGCGGTTGGAAATAAAGTAAGCACTGGGGACGAGGTTGTTGCAGAGCTAGCTGTACTGAGAAAATAATGTTGAAGCCCCTTTAGCGCATAGCGCACCCAAAGGCGCATAATTAACTACGGCATGCGTTATAAATTCAAAGAAAATCTTATAAAATACAAAAATATATAAATTATAACGTTATAAAAACAGCAACTTTAGTCAGATTTTGGGCGTCTGCAACCCACTGAAAAGGGACTTTCATTTTACGGCCAATAATTCAAATTTTGTGAAGAAATAATTCAATAAGTATAAACGTGTGGATTTTTGTTTCGTTCGATGTCTCATTCAATAGTATGAATAGCTTATATATTGCTAGGAAAATAGCAATTGTAGAAAACAAATCCATTTTCAATGTGAATCTCAAAAATAGCATGGATGATGCAAATATTGAAATTTAAGTTCACATAGCCGCGATATCGGTTGGTCGGTGAAAAGCGAATACATGTTGTAGGATCATGTGCTTTTGTATTTTCTTCGTTTCAATAAAAATACCACTCAAAATCTAAAGAGGAATGTTCCTGGTGAAGTTTCAATCAGTGGATATTACACTATTCGAGAAAACAGTAAAAAAAAACAACTTCAAAACACGATTTTGTCAACAGCACTTTTTATTTCAAATCACCGATGACAGCCGAGCAAGCCAGACGGAATAATTTCACGAGTGTTTAGTACTACCGGTACGAATTTGTAATCAAAGTATAAAAAAAATTTGATAAAATAAAAGAAAAACTAAAATGTCGGAATGTTACTTTTGGGCCAAATGCAAATAATTAGCACTAAAGTCCCTCTAAAAACGGATGATGCTTTACTCATCACAATCAGTGTTGGGGACACTTGCAGCTGATCACCATAAAAAGAGAAACATTCCTTTGGTGTTGGAAGTTTACAGAAAGAAGTTTAAAGGATGAATATCAAGCCAATTAATGCCTTCTTGTTGTGTCGGCTTTTGGATGTACTTGTGAAGTTATCATCTTAAAGCAAAAATCAAGTGTTCAATATCAAAATAATATTAAGAAACCGTCAGTCCAATACTTTTTTTAGTCGATCTGCTCAAAAGAGCACCCCAGCCTGTAATCTCTCATAAATGAGATTAGAAGATTTGAGGCTTTGCATGGTGGAGATACTAAATAATGAAAGGTTTGCGGAAACACCATGTGCGAATAATTTCAACCAAGAGAATGGTTCTGAAAAGAACCAGAGGTATGAGATGTTCATTCGGAATTCACAAAGTCAGTATCTGATGATCGAATCGATAAATTCGACATACCAGATTCCGGGGCACTCAACGGACCCACGGCCAAACTTCGAGTGAAGATAAAGATTTTTTTTTTGGGGGGGGGGGCATTTATCGGCCGCCGTATCATCCCTGGTATCATGCTACCATTATGAGTTAATGTTATAGTCTGATACGTTTACCATTGACTTCTGTACTGGGCATACGGCCACCACACGTGTCCTTTGTATACCCACAACACTGTACATGTTGTTACCGGTAGTATTTTGGCTTGCGCGCACGTACAAAAATTACAATGCAGCAGGGTTGTCTTTCGACACGATTTCCATATTACAAAAATACAAAGGACAGAGCTTACTCACATTTGAAGGAATAATTCCTCCATGGCCATTGTTAAGATTTTCTTGTCTCTGTCGTTTTACACTGAAGAAGCTACGACTGGACAGCAAAATGACCAAATATTATTAATGTTTGGTCGATTTGGTGAGTGGATTTTCACTCTCATTCTCTCTCCCATTGGTATTTAATCTGGATAAGAATGTTATTGTTAGAATATTGTAGTGTCCAGACACCACTTTTTCGGTTATGTGTAAAGTCTATGGAGAATCGAGAGCATTTTTCTATAACTATTTTCTATAACTTGCATATCACCAGAACTGGCAGAAGGCTGTAAATTACTGCGCGCGAGCTCATTAATCATGTTATAACTTATATTGTTAAAAATATTTTGTCTCCCCAATGAAAATCTCAAAAGAAACCGCCCACTCTGTCTGGCTGGACAAACTGTCAGCGCTGAGATTTGTTTTAAAAGGTTTGAGCAATGCTCCAGAAGAAAAGCTGTGGAATTTTTTTTTTTTTTAAATCAAAGTGCGTTTTTTTCTTCAACCTAAGCAAAGCACCAGAAATATTACTACAAATTACTCATTAAAAAAAAAGGAATTAAAAAAAAAGCATTATTTTTATTTTTTTAATTGGGCAAGTTCCTGTTGCCAAATGATGTCGAATTTGTGTGAGGAGTTTATGACACACTGCAAACATAGTAGTATAAACGTTGCTGTGTATGTTTGTGGTTTATACGATGGGATACGGATTGTGAAGATTCTCATACCAATGACTCATCAAGAAAATTTGTACAATTTATTTACTGTTTTTGTTTTATTGTGCTTTATCTTTTACAAGCACAGATATATTTACTGCATTATTACTCAGATGCAGTTGCATAGAAATGGTGTACCTTGTGAATATTTTTGGGAAGATGCTTAAGTGTGATGCATGCTTGTGAAATTTCAATTTAATATTAAAAGTTTGGACACAGGCATAACAGTTGAGGAAAAAACCCAATACACGTACATAAAGTATACATATTGGTCATTTGCATGCAATATTTATAGTATAAACTGTTCATTTGCAGTGTGAAAAATTCAATACCAATATATTTATTCAAATGCTCCTCTTTCCAGGTGAATAGACTGCATACATCAGATTATGTGCTTCTTCAGTTGACGCAATCTTCAAAGTCTTTCGAATTGGCAGTTGCTGCGTTTTCCTGTGAACGTTTCAGAAAAGTTGGAAGTTTTCATCCACAAGAAAACTCCTCAGACAACTTTTTGTTTAACCAAGAAGTGCCCCTGTAAGGCAACAAAATGGCTGACGTGTCCGACACAGGCACATCAGGAGTATTCTCGGTCGTTGATTACGTCGTGTTTGCCGTCATCCTCATAGTCTCCGCGGCAATCGGTCTGTACCACGCGTGTACCGGAGGGCACCAACGGACCACTCAAGAATTTTTCGTCGGGGACCGTCAGATGAAGTTCGTCCCCGTGGGCTTCTCACTCCTAGCCAGTTGGATGTCGGCGGTGGCGCTGCTCGGTACGCCGTCCGAGTGCTACAGCTACGGCACCATGTTTTGGCTCATCAGTGGTTCATACATATTTGTCACCCTGATCGCCGCCCATTTGTACATTCCTGTCTTTTACAGGCTTCGTCTGACCAGTGTTTATGAGGTACGTTCTTTTAAGATATCCCCTGTTGCATAAAAATCAACTTTGAGTTTGTCTGACTGTAACTTTGCTCGCTTCTGACAGGACAACAGACTTTTAATTATATGCAGATATGTCAAATACTTATAAGTGAGTATCCGGTTTGCAAGTGCCTTTGTCATAAACGCGCACGCACCTCTGAGTACTAGTGAGCGCCTATTGGCTAAACACGCCACTTGGCACTACTTCCGGTTCTATTGGTTCCAATGCTACAGTACGCATAGCCCCATAAATGTGGCCTATTTACTGGACTGCCTCCGTAAACATAGGCCACACATCCACATGTACAAAAACGTGTCGCACTTTGCCAAATTTTGATTTTCACATTTAGGCTTAGTTTGTAGGGTTTCTTTGCTTTAGAAGCATTCTCACCCTCTTTATTGGCTAATCAGAAAGTGCTGCCTTTTTCAGATGTCCATTTTTCGTGAAATTTCCAGATACATTTGCACACGTTTGCGTATCAAAATTTCAACATGAAATTTCACAAAAATTAGACATCTGAAAAAGGCAGCACTTTCTGATTAGCCTATAAAGAGGGTGAGAATGCTTCTAAAGCAAAAAAAAACCTACATAGTAAGCCTAAATGTGAAAATCAAAATTTGGCAAAGTGCGACACGTTTTTGTACATGTGGATGTGTGGCCTATGTTTACGGAGGCAGTCCAGTAAATAGGCCACATTTATGGGGCTACAGTACGCAGGGTTAAGTTGAAATGACGTCACACTTGCGAACGGGACAGGCAACTGTTGAAGAAGGTTGTAAAAGTAATATCCTGCAACATCCATTTGTTCAATTGGATAAATGAGCTTTTTATATTGTGTTTTTGATATTGCAATTTCATTGGTCTAGAACAGCCACATGTCCAGTCTGTAAAAATGACTGTTTCTGTCATATAGACCGCGTTTCATGTAAATGACCCCGTATACACTGGTTCCATGTAAATTATCTCATATACATTGCGTTGCGCGCGTGAAGGGTACATGTGGTAGGGCCCGCCTGTCTCTCAACTTGTCATTCTCATGGCAGTAAGGCTCACAGCAGTCCGTCCTGATTTGAAAATCACAGGCGTGTGGAAAAAGGCACACCTGGATTTTTCTAGGTGTGTGTTTTTTTCTAGGTGTGTGGTTTTCTAGATGTGTGATCTGTGGTCCAGGGAAATTCAGGCGTGCAATTATTCACACTTCTCAAGAAGCTTTTAGGTGTGCGATGGTGTGGGGGTGTGATCGCACGCCTCAAATCAGGACTGTCACAGTAAGCAGAACGTTACATTGCAGTGATTTAATTTATTTCTTGAATAGCAAGGTAAAAACTCCATTATCTTTCTGGCTTATTGGTGTGTATAACAAAACAATCGATGAGTGCACTGTAATGTGCTATACATGTATGTCGTTTTTAACCCATATCCCACATCATGTCCCACATCACAGCAGTCAACAATTGTTACATTTCAACCGATAACGAATATTTCTCAATGATTTTCCATTGTTCCATTTCTACAGTATCTGCAGCTACGTTTTTCCCATGCGGTCAAGCTGATTGGTGCCCTAGCATTCATATTCCACATGGTGAGTTTTTCCAAGGAATTGTCACTATTACAGGCATGCAACTTTTCCCCGGATCCGCTGATTTCCTCGTTTTTTACTTCTCATGAATGCCATTACAAATTGAAAAATACTGTACAAAGTCTTGTGTGGTTTGGAATTTCCTCGTTTTTTTCTAAATTCCCAGTTGCATGCCTGCTATTAACAATAGCCTCTAAACTGTGACCTCTCATTGTTAAAGTGTTTTTCAGGGTTTTAAGTTTCGAGTTCCTTGTAGGTTAATTGTGCTCTTTGTGTTGAGAGTTTGAGGTTCGGTCTTTTTCAGGGTTGTTGAATTTTTTAAATAAAAAAGTCAGATTTTTTATTTAAATTTGATTTTTTTAAATTTGAATTGCATTTTATATATATATTTTTTTCTAAAAAATTGTTTATGCTCATTCATACAACAAAATGTAGGCTTCACTTTTGAGTGGTTTCTTGAATACATGTTATAGGCCTACAGGTAAAAATGATAAAACATTTTCATGTAATTTTGTATCATAAATTTGAACAAAAATTTAAAATTTTTAACGATTTTTAAATCCATGGAGCAATATAATTTAATTTGTAAATTTAAATCAATGTGATTTTAGATTTTAATCAATGTGATCTAAATGAAACTATCCTGCTTTTTTTTCATCTTGTTTTACCCATTTTTGAATGCGAGCGTTTTTACAAGGTTGTTTTAACTGTGAATGTGAAAAAAGTTGTAACATTTGCATGTTTTGTTAAACTGTACAGTTGTTTACACTTTTTGTCTGTACAAACTTGCCAAAGTTATGTTTGGAAGCTCAATTATTATTTAGTATTTTGACATGAAATCTTCACTGATTTTACATCTAAATAATGATTTTGATATATGGGGAAAAACAATCTCCAAACATGAAATGAATCCCTGATGAAAATGTTATTTAAAAATTGTAAATCGATCCAACTGACTTGAAATTTTTACGTCCTGCGCTCCAATTTTTCAAGTCAGATTTGTATTTCCATAATAAACTATGATTATATTTAATTGAACTCATACTAGCACAAATATTTTCTCTTTTGCTTAGATATTGTACATGGCAGTCGTCCTGTATGCCCCTGCCATAGCAATAAATGCAGGTAAGTTTTAATCTATTCTCTTTATGCAGTACTGCACTGTCATTGTTTTTATCTATTCTATTACTTTGTTGTTACAGCATTGAAACATTTGTTGTTGATTTGCAGCACGCATATTCAAGCATACAATACAAATTTGTGTCTAAAATGTGCACTGTTTATGCCAGGTTGATTTTCCAGTGGGTAGTATACATATTTTGCCTTTGAAAAAGATCTTTCTAGGATTGAAACATCAGTCCCTCAAACCTATTTTGATTTGTGTACATGTATTTCAGGTCAATGCAATCATTAAGTAGTTAACATCAGGTTCATTCAAACAAGTTTAAATGGCAGGCGAACAGTATGAAGCCCTTAGTTTCAGTTTGAGGCAAATTTGGACACTTTGTTTTTGACAGGACAGTCATATATGTTTGTTGAATTTAAATCTGTCCCTTTCTTTCTATTTATTTACAGTGACTGGTTTCAGCATCTGGAAGTCCATTCTTACTGTGGGTCTGGTCTGCGTCTTCTACACAACACTGGTGAGACAGAATTTCTTCAATAATATCCCACATTGTGTTGCCCCCCCCCCCCCCCCCGAAAAAAAATGGCCTTCAAAATTTCCAAGAGTCCAAGTATTTGATTCATACTAAAACTGCTTTCAGTTCTGTTGATAAAAGTGTGTCTTTTTCCCACCTGCAAACATAACTTGTACTACATAAAAATCCTGCTTCGTCAGAATCCCTCAGTCTCCTGACGACGGGCAGAGTATACTGTCCCAATCTTTGAGTTTCCCCGGTTCTTTTCAGAACCTCACAAAAACTCACACAAAAGATATTTGTCACATGGTGCAACCATAAACATAATCCTATACCTGTAAACATAGCGTTATATTATTTTGTGCATTGCCCTGCCCTGTAATTCCTATTGTTCCTTTGAATTGTTTCAAACTGTCCATGAAATGAGTTTTTCTTAGGAACGTATTTTGTGCAACTTTCTGAAAACTCCTCTTAAATGTATGAACAAATTTGACATCTCTTTTTGGTTAATTTTATTCAGAAGTTCACTTCCTTAAACATTTTAAATTGTCCATGCTTTTTTGGACAACTGAGGGTGCTGTTGCTGTGATGTCATTTCAGGAAGTCACTGTTAAAGTTTAGTGGTTTTGTGTTCAAATGTAAATCCAAAAATGTGCTCATTGAAAACATTTGTGAGAAAAGTTTGCTCATTGGCTTACTGCCATGTACTGACACAACAATGAATCACCCCCACAAAATCAAAAATGTACAACAGCAAAATATCCAAACTTTGGTAACTTTTGTGCTGAAATAGCTGTAACATAGAGGTTTCTGCCTGAAATGACATCAGACTTTTGCTCATGAATATGGAAATTGGTATCAGCAAAAAAAACAAAAAAAGGCACCCTTGAAAATAGCAATACAAAAGTTGGAAATAAGGATAAATGGGACACAAAGGTGCAATTTTTCAAGAACTGCATTAGCAGTGCCCTGAGCCCAATTTCATGAAACTGGTAGGCAGGAAAAGCTCTCTGCAAAATGTGGTGCTAAGCGAAAATCTGCATTGAAACAGACACAAGGAAATATCAGTTCTGTTTGTACCTCATAACCTGCTTTCACCAAGCAAAATTGTCTGTGCTATGCAGTTTCTGTGTTTAGGTCATGAAATTGGCCTCTGGTTGAATTCTGTTTACATGTAAATGTATTGGGACTTTAGAGTTGGCTGACGAATAATCAGGACTTTTTAAACTGTGCCAAATTGAAAGTTTCTGCGAATTCTATAGCAATGCGAACTCTTGTGGTGAGTTCGTCCGTCGGGAGAGATGCAAAGTATGGGAAGCAATCGCTCAGATTTACATATTGGTGCAAGCTATTTTATTACTGTCAAGGCATCAATCAGACACGGGTCCGACTGGTCTGAAGTCAGAACAACAACTCACTAATTCATATCTTGAATGATGTACTGTTTCAACACAGTGTTTATAAATGGAATAAAGATCCAAACATTCTATCATGATATTTAATAATAATAAGGCCAAAAAAAATAATAAGTCGGTCTCTGGTCAGCGCGCACGTCGATTTTAATCATGCGCGTCAATCTTTTTTTTTCCAAAATGTTCCGCGGTAGCTCCAACAGCACCTCCTCATTTTTTTTTTTACCAAAGAGCACCAAGGAATGGGAAATTGCACCAAGGCAAATGATCGAAAGCACCAAGGCAAATTATGGAGGACACCAATGTACATGAGGACACCAAAAAAGCAAAATAGTACCCCACCTTGTCTGTACAATCCATCCAAGCTTGAAGAAAAAAAGAAAAAAGCACAAAAAAAAAAAAAAACCCGCGTGGCCGTGTCAATTCCGGAACTTTGGTCTGACCAGAGACCGAATATTTTTTTTGGGGGGGCCTAATAATAGTAATTTATTCGTGATATAGTGTTTTACATAAAAATCTCAAAATGCTTTACAAACCTTGAATACTTTTTCAATATAATTGTTAATTCTGTAAATTAAGGTAGCGTGTCGCGTGGCAAAAACAATGATACGCATGCTCTGCCTACAGAGGGCGCTAACGTAATCAAACGTGCTCGCACTGTTTGCATGGCATTCTTAATCACGCACAGCATGTACGTTGTCGATGCAGGTGCTCTGTGCTCACGCCACGCAGGCACAAGTCTCATCGCAAAGCGTATGTAATATAGAAGACAATTCACCGATAATCAATTAACAATTAATCAATAATTAATGAGCAATAAGGCCCATTTTCTAAATGTAAATTTTTGTTTGCGTAATTTTGATTTACGCTTGAGATCTCTTCCTAAAGATAAATCTTATGAAATTTTTTTTTCAAGGATTCATGATATCCATTGTCCCTTTGAAAAAAGAAAGCCCCTCTTACTGCGATGGTTTTATAATCAAATAAATTACCTTCATTGAAAGTGCTCGGCAATTTAAGAAGTGTATGGTCATTACGTAGACCGGGGCTAAAAAGGACCGGTGTGGTTTACTTAATTGAATCATCTAAGTACTTAAGAGCCAGGTGGACGGACCGGGGACTAGCGACCATGGACTCTTGGGCCATTTATAAATCAATTCTTGACGCATGTTTGTTTACTTTGAGGGACCACTCTTGTCTTGTATCTTATTACGTACGTCTTGTGAGAGAAGAGCAGGAAGAGAATGTTCTGGGCTTTCCTGAATGTTAGCTGAATTTCTTATTCTAAGCCCTCAAGAATTGAATTGATTCACAAGGAGGCCCAGGATAGGTATTTTGTTTGGGGGCTTTTTAAGCATGCATGATAATCTTTGCGAATCGTTGAAAATCAAGCATGAAAAGGGTCATAGGATAATCACAATCAAAATGATTGAATGTCGGTACTTCCCTAATTTTACATCTGAAAAAATGATATTTATTTTGGTTCTAATTCATTTCCAGCACCATGTCCTTTTTTCACAATTTATTTGAGCAAAACCTGTAAATTGAGCCATCTAGTTTCAGAGTTCAGTCTGTAATTTCGAAAAGATAAATACATAATTTGTAAGCATGTAGCTACTTCTTATAAGCAGATATTGTGTGCAATGAAACTGTTTTAAAATTTCTCACCGGTACGTGCAAGAATGTGTGCTTTCATTGAACATGCAAGGTACATACATGCTGTGATTGATAATTCCTTGATTTTTAATTCGGGCGATTCACAATGCAGTGCGACACCAAGAGTTTGCCACGGAGAGTTCATTTTTACCAGTGCATTGTGGGAGATGGTCGACAAATTCGCAGCGCCGGCCATTTGAAATTGTTCGTTTTTCCGGGCAGTGGTTTCGTAAGCGTATGATTCGAGGATCTGTTTGCCCATTTCTTTTCTTGTTATCAATATGGTGTTTTGTTTTGTAAGGCGGCAGAACGCTGTGCCCCAATCTATGACATTAGCTCAAGTTGTTTACCGACACTCATTCAAATGGGCCATGCTTTGTCGACCGTAAACTTGAAAAATGGACTCTCCGTGGCAAACTCTTGGTGGCGCACTGCATTGTGAATCGCCCGAATTCCGTGATGAATCCATGAAACCACACAGTACTAGGGCAGTTTTGGGCAGTACAGGGGGTGACAGGCAGGGCGTTTTGGGGCGATACAGGGACTAATTGTTCAAGCACATTTTAGTGCCTTGTTGTACCTTCCCCAGTGTTCTCCAACATGTAGAACAAACCTGGCACCCCGCCATGCTTTCTGCGGCGCCCGCCAAGTTTAAGAAGTCCCCGCCAAGGTTTAAAATCCTGCCGCCAGGTTTAATTTTTTTGACTCTACAGTGTACATTTACAATAATTGATTTCAGTTGTTTTTCCAAACATTAACAATGTATTTCGATGTCATCGCAGCCCGATCGGGGTTGTCCGTGCAAACACCAGCGATTCCCCATGCACTGTACGTACTATACTATTACGCGAGATGTACACACACTGACGACTGAATCCCCAGTTCCGGAGTGTGCCGATACTTCAAGTAGCGACAACCCCGCCGCAAAAATATATATCTTTATTAGTACACACACACACCAGCAGGAGTACGTACGGCAGATCTTACGTGCAGCCAACCGACTTTCTTTTTCTCAGTGCTTGCACGCGCGGTACACAATATATTACGCATTGATGTTTTTGTACGAGGCAAACGAGCTCGAGGCCAAAACACGCGTGCACATGGTGTTCCGATCATGCCGATTGTCAAAAGTTATAAATGGCGATCGTGTATGGGCCCGGTTCCCTAAGAGAACAAAATCCACTTTTAATTTATTTGATTTACCAAACTAGTTGGCGACATTTAAGAACATACAGGTAGGCCATAAATAGAGGGAAATTTGGGGGAAAATGACGAAGACAACGACAAAACGCAACATGAAAATTAAGATGACGATCGCACGGCACCGGCACCACCCATAAAATCGCGTTAAAAAAAACGTAATTTGTATCCCATTTTGTTTTTCAAAATTACAAAAAGGTGTCATTTGATCTGAGAGAAGTCTGCTTTAGGTTGAAAATGAAATTTTTGAATGCTAAAAAAATCGGGGGAACTGGTCTGGAGAATCGCCTCAGATTGCACCACAGAGCATCTAGAATCCAAAATTTTCCCGGGGCCCTTCAGCGGGCCCCGGAACCCCACGCCGTAAGGGCTTCGCGCTCCGCGCTCGCAGGAGTCCCCGCCGACCCCAGCGCCAACCTTTAATTTTCAAAGTTGGAGAACACTGCTTCCCTGATTTGTTTTTGGTTTTCCCCTGTATAGGGTGGAATCAAAGCGGTGATCTGGACCGACGTCTTCCAGACCCTGGTCATGTTTGCCGGGCTTCTTGCCGTCATTATCCAGGGAAGTATCGCGTTTGGCGGCTTCAAGAATATATGGCAAATCAACCAGGACGGCGGACGTATTATATTCAATGAGTGAGTCTTGGGGATATTGGGGATATAATGGAATATCCACCACAAAGATGAGTGGAATATGAATGTAATATTCAGTGGATATCCAATAGAGTGAGAGGAATGTCAACTTCAATTGCAACATTTATGGAAACGCTGAGTTAACCAGCATACATGCTGAATGTTTTGAAATACAATTCAGAAAATACAAATTAAAAAAGGGTATAGCCCATTTTTATTATATTTTTGATTGTACCTTATAGAAATGCTCGGTCTTTTTTTAAGTTTATAATCTAATGTGCATTGTTATTTATTGTTAGATTTATTATTTTTTATTCTTAACCCTCCTGTGCATACTTTGCCAAGTTGTCCTTTCAGTCAAAATGAAAAAAATGACTGTTTTCAACAGTTAAGAATTCCCAGCCTACATAAAGCAGGATTGACTGGCTGGGACTGTTTAAGTAACTTGATACAGCTATGTTTTAACTCCGGGTGAGAGATAAAACAGCTGTGACCACAACTTGCCTGCTTTGTCTGTTGACCCAGTTTGACTAGTCACAGTGCTTGCTTGGCATATGATCTGACTGCTGGTGACTAGCCTTTAAAACTAGCCTGTTAAAAGTGTAGCCGGGAAACTGGAAGTGAATTTTGACTGTCGGTGACTATTTCAATAGCAAGAGGGTTAAAGCCAGAGTCCATCATTTGCAGCTATCCAAAAAGAAACTGGCGTAAATATTGTTGAAAAACATACTTGGTTGAAAGATAGTAAGGGGACTGAACTCCCTGTGAAATTATTCTTTCTGGCAAGCTGTCATTTTGAAGAAATCAACAAAAGAAGGCCTTTCCAACAGTGCGTCTTAAGAAGCACCGTTGGAAAGATGCACACGCGCACGCGGTTGCTATAATTCGTCGGATCGGTGCGCGACATCGCGTAGCTGCAATCGGCTCAGTGAGAACATGTCTCGGACGCTGAATTCAGGCCCAATTCAAAACACGATTCAGCAACTTTTGATTTGACATCGAGAAACTAGAAAATTGTTTTTCTCAAAATGTACAGCTGAAGCTGAGCTGAAACTTCATCAAGTTAGTTGTTCAACATCCTTCTTTAGATTGTTAGCACTTTTGTTGCTTCAAATGAACAAAATGCACAAATAACAAATGATGGACTATACCTTTAATTATTATAATTCAATGTGGAACCTGTGGAATGAAAAATTGGCAAGAACACTACAAATTCAAGATTCTTTCATTCAAATTGAGCCTTAGTGCTACATCCCACTGCACGAGAAACTTAATTTTTTGCGGATATTTTTTATTTAATAAGATTTGGGATTGATCCCACCATCCGTCACTCCCTGTGGTCTCTCGTCATCGGAGGCACCTTCACGTTTCTCTCCAACTACGGCTGCAATCAGCTATCGGTGCAGCGCTACCTCAGCTGCCCGTCAGAACGAGATGCCAAAAGGTAAAAAACATCTTCGTCCGACTGAAAATGAGACAAGGGGGCATTGTTTGTAACCCGTGGTAAATAATTATGACTGGACTCGACTTCCTAAATTCTGCAAAATCCTCCAAAAACCTCTTGATTGATTTCAAAGGATCTACAAGAACAAGGGTTAAAGGGTTCATTAGGTGAATTTTACAAATTTTGTGTAACTTTTTACTTCTCTTAACTGTGTGAAAACTATGTGACATCCCTTTTTTGGTTAATTTTGTTTGAAAATTGTAATTCTTTCAAACATTTAAATTTTCAATGAAAATAAATTTAACGACGGCAAAAATATCCGAAATTCTAGCAACTTTTGGGTGCTGAAAAAGCTGTCACATTTAGGTTTCTGCCTGAAATGACATCACACTTTTGCTCATGAATATTAAAATTTGCATTAGCATGAAAACCAAAAAGGCACCAAAATACCCTTGTAAATGGCAATCGAATAGCTGAAAAAAAGGTTAAATGGGACACAAAGGTTCATTTTCAAGGATTGCATTAAAAAAATTACATTGTATGGGCCCTTCAAATTGTTGACCTCAATGTAACCAGTTGTCTGTTATGATTTCTTTTCCTTTACAATTTTCTGTTTCAGAGCCCTGTATGTCAATTGCCCGCTGCTGTTCGTGATCCTCTCGCTGACTATGATGTGTGGCCTGGTGTTGTTTGCTATGTACGGTGACTGCGACCCCATTCTAAGGGGGCAAATTAGCCGAGCGGACCAGGTACGGAAGAAAGCTTTTCTTGTTTGAAATATCTTTCCTGGTACTTCATCTTTCAAGACTAACAGACATTGAGCAATATTGAACTCTGTACAAAAACGCAGGGTTTCTGCCAAATTGTATTTTGAGTTCTTAATGTAGTTATATTTAAAAACTAGAGAGCACACTTGCTAGGTATATGCTAAATGCGCTATGCGGACGTGCCGACAATGACGCGCGTTGGCCATTTTTTTAGTGGGCAAAAGGCAGAGAATTTACGCGCTCAAAGTGGGCACATCCGGGTATTTCACAATCATTGGACTATGGGCTACGTGCGACGACGAAAGAGGGCGCCCTTTTACCTAGCAACGACGTCACATGGGCAGGACATTTCGCTGGTTAATGCGCACCGTTCCTTGTGTGTGACACATGTACACCAGGGGATTTGTACTAAGTACACGCAGTGACCGCGCTTCGCGGGAAATGAATTGCAGTCAGGCAAGATGGCGTCGGTCGGTCACCCCCAACTGTTCTTTCCTTGCCGGTGAGGGGGTACTTGTGAACGGAGCGGATATGTTCTAATTATAGCACTCTGCATTTTGCCCACTCAGAAAAAGGGAGCCGCGCTTCTTTGTCGGCACGTCTGTGTGTAGCAAATGCGCTCTCAAGTTTTTAAAGCAAAATCAATGAAATGTCAAAACCCTATTAACTGGTTTCTTGACATTAAACCATGGACTCTTGTCTGTTTTTGTATGCAGCTGTTACCTTACTACGTCATCAATGAGTTGGGCTTTATCAGTGGTCTAGCTGGTCTATTTATCGGCTGCATCTTCAGTGGCTCCCTCAGGTAGGATCTTACAGAAGAACTTATATCTTTTCGTATTTTCTTTTTTGATAAAATGAAATAAATGTCCAATTAAAATACTGCTGGAGGCTAACGTCTTTTTTATCAGGCACTTCTTTATATTTAATACAAAATTCTGACCAATTTCTCAGCTGTGATTATATTTTGGAAAATACACTGTTCAATTTAGGAATTTTCCACAAAAAAATGTACCTTTATTTTTAAGATCACATTATAGTGTACGTATTGCTGTGCCATGCCTAAATGAAAAAAAAAGTTGACCATGGATCTAGATCTGAGATGTATCAAAAAAGTTTACACCAGGTAAAGCGTTCTGACCGTTTTATTCCCGAAGAGCTACAATGCTGATTTTCTTGCCAAATATTACATCACTGTTCAGCTCATGAATATGCATATTGCATCAGAATTAAAATTAAAAAGGCCCTAAAACACCCCTTACAATATTAAATAAAAAGTTGAAGGTGATGGTAAATCTGCTACTCTGAACTGAACTTAAGGTAAACATTTTACTCCATTGGGCGATTTGTTTCTGATCTTTATTTAAAAGTTTGTCATTACATATGGGTATTGTATGACTCAGGCTAAGGAAACATGATACATGCTAAGGAAACGTGATACATACGTATCCTAAAAGTCCTTGACAAATTGACCCATCAACTCCCACAAGGAAACAATTCAGGAAACCGATCTTGTCTTGATATTGATAAGTGGTGTCGGGATTAAAGTCATTAAACAGGACTCGGGGGGAATGGTGTCTTTTTCCTTAGAAGAATCTCAGACCTATTCTATATAATAGATCCTTGCAAAGCAAGGGTGATATGTGAGCAGATTCAGCGATTAATTATGCAAAAAGACTGCATCTTGACCTCGAAATTCTGACCATTCAGCGGGCGCTTTCTCTATCAGGTCTTCGGTTATACACCCGTTGTTACGTCATAGACATCTACATGTATACAATGTAAATAAACCTAGACAAGACATATATTATTCTTTAACGTTGTGAATTGAGCAAACAAAGGCTGCGGCCATGTGCTCTGTAACGATATGTTACGTGATACGCCCAGCTTAGAGCCAATGTCGTGTCTAGGTTTTATAGATCTCGCCGGTCATCGTATTACAAAAACACTGCATTCGAATTGACCAATCAATGCTTTGGTCCAGATTTCAGAAGGAAATCTGTATCTGTATCTATATCTGTATATTATAGTCGGTAGGGTATCCCAGGGGAAACATCACACCAACTTAGAGAGAAGACAATGAGAAGAAATTACAGTTTTTAGAGGTGGGATGAAAAGCCCAGAAGATATTCAGGGGAAAAACAGGTAGGGACTGAAAACCCAATCCACATATTGACCCAGTGGGATTCGAACCTGGGTCCGGTACCGCTACGCCAACCTGACTCCCCAATGTCACGACGTCACACTTTAGTAAAGTAGACTCCAATTAACTGGCGCATGGGGTCGCATAAATTTGCATGCTTAGATATATCAGCTGTTGGACCGGAGACAGGGCTCCGTGGACAATGGGTGATACTCAGACTATCTCAACCCTCGGACTGTCCGAATAGACCAAATATTCTCATATTGCATCAAAAAATGATGTTCCTCATTGTTTCCTGTAATCCCGCAGTACTGTATCGTCGGGTATGAACTCTCTCGCTGCCGTCACCCTCGAAGACGTCCTCCCCAAGCAGCGCTTCACTGAGAGGACTGCGGCCATCCTCTCCAAGGTCCTAGGTATTGTTAAAGAATAATTAACCCCCATTGAACAAGCCAAAGATTGTTTTAAAAGGTTGTGGCATGGCAGGTTTGTCGGAGTTCATTCGTGGATGGAGAGAGTCTGGCGATTAAAAGCCCTTGCTCCGTCAGATTTATTCCCAAGTCAGTAGAGCACTAGAACTGTGTTTTGGAGGTCAAAGGTTCGAATTGCCACAGACTCCCATGTTTGAATTTACCCAATTGTTGTCTGCGTGATTGATTGAACAGAAGTTGAGGTCAACAATTTTCAATTTATAATAGTCATAAATTCGCAATATTTTCAATATGTAAATTGTAATGCTTTCTTTTCTTCTGGAAATACCCATTCATTGCCCTTGATAGGATAGGCCCAATCAGTACACAAAGAAAACGAAAAAAATAGGACTTACAATGTTGTAGGTCCTGTACATGGTGTCTGGATGTGCTGTTTTCTTTTAAAACCCAATGGGTTAAACCCCACCCCCTTCAAATTGGTTCATATTTAGTATGTAGTGTAATTTTGGCTGGAAAAAAAATCTGAAATCTGAAGCTTTAGTGCCATCGGACAAACTGTTTTTGCGCTTCCGTCCGCCATTTCTTGGTGATTTTGGCCAAAATGGGCGTGGCCGCCAATTTTCAAATGACCATATCTCCATAACCTAGGGGCCAAATCTCCATAACCTAGGGGCCAATTTTGTTGTTCTTGGTTGCTTTTGGAAAAGTAACATCGTAAGGAATCCAAATTTACCATTATTTTTTCATGTCGGAATAATGTGCATTGTCAGTAGAACACCAGTACTCTATTGTGGAGGTCAAGGGTTAAAATCCCTTTTTGGTGATATATTTGTATTCTCCTGATCTCAGTCATTCTGTGTGCATTGTATATTTATCTCCTCTGTTAAGCATTATTATATATGTCAGTAGAGCACCAGTCCTGCATTCTGGAGGTCACAGGTTTGAACCCACTGTGTACCTTTGTTTGTATTTTACCTCAGTGCTATACTGCCGGGCATATGTACATTATTCTCCCTTTGAAGTAGAGAATTAATGTAGTAGAGCACCTATACTATAAACCTGTGGTCACAGGTTCAAACCCACTTTGTACGTTTAATCCTGTCACTGTATCTATGTTATTCTCTCTGTGTACTATATACCTGAGGTCACAGGTTCGAATCCCACTTTGTACCTTCAATCCTGTCACTGTATCTACACTATTCTCTCTGTGTACTACCTGAGGTCACAGGTTCGAATCCAACTCTGTACGTTCGATCCTGTCACTGTATCTACATTCTTCTCTCTGAGCAGCATGCACCTATGGTCTACTCTGCGTTGGCATGGCCAACCTAGCCGGTTACATGGGCCCAGTCCTGCAGGTGGCGCTTAGCCTGATGGGGATCATTGGGGGACCGCTCCTCGGTCTCTTCACCTTGGGTCTCTTCTTCCCCTGCGCCAATAACAAGGTATGTCAGTTACTACGTCAGTTATGCTATCGTTTAACTCTTTTTAAGTCTGCAATTCATTGCCTCCGTTAGATTGAATAAATGCGCTATGATATTTGTGCTGATACATTAGTTTGCCATCTCTTAGCAAGTTGCCAGTTTTGAGCTGTACGCAAAGATTATGTAAACAGTAAAACCTCCACTCTTAGTTTAATTTTTAAAAAGAAAGAAAATAGCCAAAATGGCGAAAGAAGCTTAATTAACCCTCCTATGCAGACATACATTCTGTGTCAAGTTGTCCTTCCAGTCAAAATCAACCAAGTGACTGTTTTCAACAGTTAAGAGCTCCCAGCCTACTCAGGATTGACTGGCTGTGACTGTTTATGTAACTTGATAAGTTATGCTTTGTCTATTCGTGATTGATAAGCCAGCTGTGCCTACCACTTGTCTGCTTTTGTCTGTTGACTGAATTTGACTAGTCAGAGTGCTTGCTTGCAATATGCTCTGACTGTGACTAGCCTGTGTTAAAGGCATGGCAGGGGAAGAGGATTGATTTCTTTGGCTGTCTGTGACTTTTCAGATAGCAGGAGGGTTAATTGTCAAAAATAATTCCCCCAGGGTTTTGGATGGCCATTTTGATCCGTAGAACCAATAGAGACTAATATTCCAGAGTTGCGCCGCACTAAACAGGTGAACTTTATGTAGCTCGAGTCTTTTCATGTATTTAATAAAAAAACTTTGTAATAATTTGGTTTGGCAACCCCCTGAAAGGCAGAAATGAATACTTGGAATACAAGAAATCAGATTGACACCCATATCTTTCCTCCACGTTTCAGGGTGCACTCGTCGGTGTTTTCGCGAGTTTTGCCATTTCAACGTGGATGGCCATCGGTGCTTTCCTCCACCCGACCCCACACCTCGGGCTGACAACAACGCTAGACGACTGCCCTCTCCTGAATACCACCCTGAATACCACAGATGTGACTTTCCTCGACGATAACACAACCTATTTTGAAACTACTGACACAAGTCTGTACAACTTGACGGCTTTCACCACAGAAGCAACCAAAGATACAACTCCACAGTGTGTATTTCTTTTCCTTTTTTTTGTCGAAAAGTTTATAGTTCTTGACTTATGAACGATTTTATTATTTTATTGTCATTGTTTATTAACAAAGCTATTGCTGTGTTGAAGTAAGCAAAGATTTTATCAACTGTTGATTTTAGTTATGGGGGTGCAGAGAGCGAGTTGCTTCTCATGCAATAATTTGACACTATATGTTCAGAATGTTGAGGGTAAAAACATTAAGTACTCTGGCAATTGAGTCTACTTGTAATCCCACTCCCCCCCCCCCCCCTTGTGAAATATACGCGCCATAAACTGTGGGCAAGTTCGCCCAAGAACTATTGTTGACCAATGGTTAACCATAGTTGGACTAAAGTTAGCCCAAACTCTGTCTAGTCGACGATGGTTGACTACGCTAGTCGACTATTTGGAACCAGCCTACTGGGCCTGGTTGCATCGCTGGTAACCAATAGCGGCGCGCATTCATAATGTACAGCAGGGAGCCAGGACCCAGAAGTTTTGATCAGACATTTTGACCAGCGTTTGACTAGAGACGTTCACACATTGCTATTAGTGCGCAGGCGTAAGTTACGTCACAAATCAACCACTAGTCGACCAATGGTCCTTGCCGAACTTGCTCCAAGCTGACTGAGTAACTTAATTGTAATGGGCTTGACTCAAATTAATTCGCTATCGAAAGGGGTTTCATGGTTGCATTGTGATTTGAACGGCTGTTGATATTTATTGTTTTCTCTCCAGTCCGGTGCTTGCCAGCTTGTACAGCATATCCTACCTGTGGTACAGCGTCATTGGCATGCTGGTAGTCCTGATTGTTGGAGTGGTTACCAGTCTGATTACAGGTAAAGTGTTGTTCGTCATATTGGATCAGTGTTGGACTGAATGCTATAAAGCAGCCCCTCAACGATCAAAAAGACAGATAAATGAAGGACTTATGTTGAAAGACATTTAAATGTCAGTATATAATCGCATGCATTGAAGCCATCTTTTGAGGTATGGTAATTATCAGCATTCCAGACTCCAACCAGTCTTAAACATAGTGTTTAATACCAACCAAGCACATATTTATTCCCATTAATAAATACCTTTTTCGGTCAAAAAATCAAAACTTTTCAATCCAAAAGTCCAAATTTTGTATAACAAATTATAAATTTCCAGCAGTTTTGTTCAACAACATGAACAATTTTACTTTCTGTTTATTCGAAACACTCCTCTAGCTTTATAATGGAGTGTCCAGCTTGCGAGTAAGATGTAAATAACTTCTTTTATTGAGATTGGCTTGCACGTACTGCGCGATGAAGCGCAGATGCAGCTGTGGTGAGTGCGTTGTGAATTTAGGACTTTGAAATACTGAATACTGGTAGCATTATGCATGCCTTCATGAGGACAACCAATAAAACGGTAAAAGGCACTGGATTTCATAGGAGTCCAAATTTCAAGTGATACTGGACAAGTGTTTAAGACAAGCCAGCCACCAGCCAGTCATCTCTTTATCATCCGTTTAAGACCGGCCACGTGACGGGCTTTCGACCAATGGGAATAGCTTAAACTCTCTTAGGTTTTTATGAATTACAATTAAGATGAGGTCTGTACCTCCATGAGATCACAAGTTGTGAGTGGGTCATGGTTGAAAATTAGTCACATGTACTGCAAGAAATCTGGACACATAAACCGGTGTACACACAATGTATTCTTCCTTGATCCATGTGAGTGGGCATGGAACCAGGAACATCTGGAATACAAGACTAATGCTCCAACCGCAAGTATTTTTGTGGGGGAGACCACATGGAGTTGACGTTTTAACGCATTAGTGACGACGCCTGATGCTCACAAGGAGAAGCTATGGCATTGTGAACATTCAGGGAAAAAAATAGTTGTGCGTCCTTTGCGCCATAATATTGCAGTCATCTGGGTACTTTTTACAATACGCTGATTTATTTTTGCCACTGGAAGCTTGATATAAATAATGATAAATGCTATGTGATGTGATTAAGCTAAATGAGTCGTTTGTCAGGAACTTTCATTTGGAGATACAGGCCAAAATAGGGCCACTTCATCTCATCACATCATCACATCTCTTGGTGTTCCGACTTCCATAATTTTTGAACTAAAGATGGTACCAGCATGCCGTTTTCATAGCAGTAATGATTGATTGTCCTCTTTTCAAATTTGTTAAAAAAAATATATAACCAGGGTCAATAATTTAGCTTGATCGCATCACATATTCTTAACCTTCTTTCATCTTTTAATCACAGGTGGTAATGAAGACGTAGATCCATCCCTGCTGAGTCCTGTCATACAGAGCTTTCATTCCTGCAATTGTAGGCGATCTGGCCACAAGCTACAGCGCTTGGTGAGTTTTACAAAAAAAATTAGTGACCTAAAATACAATTGAATTTTTTTTTTCAAAAATTCTTAAAGGGCCCATGAAGTGAATATTTCTTTGGAACATATTTTGTGCAACTTTCTAATCCTCTTAAAATGTATGAAAACTATTTGACATCCCTTTTTGTTTAATTGCACTTCTTTAACATTTAAATTATGTCCATACTTTTCTGGACAACTGAAGGTCGCTGTTGCTGTGATGTCACTGTTCATTTTAGGTATTTTTCTGTTCAAATTATGAAACCAAAATTATTTTTGGTGTTTAAACTTCTGGGGTCTTTATATTTTTTTAAAGCCATTCAATTCAACAAAACCTTACACCACAATTTTACCCAAACAAAATTTCATTCATCTTTTGATTTTTTTTTCTGTAAAAAAAAAAGTTTCAAAAATGTGAACCTCAGTTTCCATAAACTATCGTAAGGTGCGTCTGTGATGTAAATCAAGAAAATTACTTGGCGGGTTTTATGACTGGTAATTACATGTACTGATTATATGTGTATACCCTTTAATTATGATAAATTTCATGTCTTAATATTTTGTATCCCCCCTTTTTTTCTGTATAACAGGATGATCTGGATATGATGGATGTAGACACCAACAGCTACTGGAAAAAGTCACCGAATAACATACACACCGCCCTTTGACCTTGGAATGAATATTTTATACACGAACACAAACTTGTTTGACTAGTTTGCAGAATACGGTACTCTGGTCCTGTAGAATGTTTTCTGAAATTTGCTGAACGTTTTTACATCAATAATTTCATTCTTTTTTTCTAAAAAAAAGGTGTATAGCTACAGTTTTGGCAGGTTCATGGGAATTTGAATGAGAGGTCACTCCACAAGCGTAGCATTTCCAGCCCTTTATGAAAAAGAAATTTCCCTGAGAAATTTCCATGATTCTATGAGAAATATTTTCACTTCAACAAGGTTTTTATGGAAAGCCAAGAGGTGGTTGCAGCAAAGCTTGTTGACAAGCGATGGCCTCCCTTCCCTAAGTTTTCCCTGAGAAATTTCCATAATTCTAAGAAAAATATGTTCACTTCAACAAGGTTTTTATGGAAAGCCAATAGGTGGTTGCAGCAAAGCTGCTAAGATACTGATAACACACAGGCAACTTGTTGGCAAGCGATGGCCTCCCTTCCCTAACGTTTCCCCGAGAAATTTCCATAATTCCAAGAAAAATATGTTCACTTCAACAAGGTTTTTAGGGAAAGCCAAAAGGTGGTTGCAGCAAAGCAACTAAGATACTGATAACACACAGGCAACTTGTCGACAAGCGACAGCCTCCCTTCTCCCCTTATAGCCATCCTTTCCTCAACATATCCAACAGAGTGGTAGCCTGTGCATACAATAATTGTAATTTCTTTCAATTTTTCTGTCAGTCTCCCGTTTTGGTGTTTTCCCAAAATTCCCTGAGTTTTCCTCGACTGGAAAAATGGAAAACTCGTTTTCAAGGTTTTCCCAGATTTCCAGCGTGGCTGGGATAAATGTCGCAGTGGAACTTGTCGGTATCCTTGAGTTTGTATTAAATCGCCGTGAGTTTTTATGCTTGAACCAGGAAATGGCTTTGGGGATATTGTTACGTTGTGTTTTGAATAGTGCTTTTGTATATTGAACTTGTGTTGCTCTGATGAAGAGGCAGGTTTGCTTGCATTCAACTGCCTTAATTAAACAGAATTGTACAGCGTTGAACTAACATATAACATTTTGCAATGCCACGGTGGTTACAAATAATTTTTAAAAAGAGTGGTATTTGAATTCATCAATTGTATTTTATGTGATTTTTTTTCAAACAGAGAAGTAAAGTACATGATGGACTCTTGCCTTCATGGTCCACATATTGGTATTTGGTCAAAAGTTCAAAGGTCAAGCTCACTTTAAAAATATAGATCACAAGTCTTTAGAACAGGGAGGTTTTCACAACTCAGTCCTGTTAGTTGTACATTTGTTGGTGCTTTTGACGCCACCATGTGCATCAGAGCATTCAGAAACGACACACACAATTCAATTCCCATCTTTAAAACGACTTCAATGGAAACCTGTGTCTATTCATCGACTGCCGTCCCATTTTCCATCTATTTTTGGTGTGATTTGCCGCCTGAACGAACCTTTGAAAAAAGTTCTCTGCCAATTTTGGTTTGGGTGTACATGAACATGTACATACTCTGTTTGCCCCTTTGGTAAAATATTGCATTTTTATAGTCTGTGAGTTTTGAATTGAAGCAAGGCGAATAAATTATATAAGTAAAATGTAAATACTTTGATAGAAATGCATTCACCTTTATAGTCTTAACCCACAAACGCAGGGGCACTGTTGCAGCACTTTCAGTTACTCAAAATATGGCATATAGATATAGATATTTATTATTTTCTTATTTTTGTGGCATTTGCATATCAAACATGGCCCCGGAGTAGGGATTTTTAACATTATTATATGTATGTTGTTTTGTTTTCTGTGAAATCTGTTGAGCATTTGCATTTTATGTATTTTGCAAGGTTTGTTTTCCGGTTTTCCTTAACATACACAAATTATATATTTTTCAGTTATGTTATGGTCAAGCTTATTTTTTATTTCATCCTGCTGTTAAAAGAGCAAGGATATATATTTTTGTCTTGGTTCTGAAATTTTACTGCTGTTGCAGTAGTTGTTTGTTTGTTCCATGCACATGCTGTTGACTATTTTACCAGTCAATTTATGTTTGTTTGCTTTTATTGTTAAAATTCATGAGACTTGTAAAAGGTCACATGCATGTACAAAGAGTACGTTTTGAAAAAACTTTTGGGGGCTTACCTGTTCACGAAGTACATTGTTGGGTGTTGGTGGGGCATTGGGGACGGCACAGTGGAACACTCTTGGCCTATTGTAAAATTTACGCTCCAGTGCGAACCCCGAAGTGTTGAAACATACGAGGTTTCGGCAAGAAATCTGTTGAAAGTACTCTTTGCGAATCAGTATTTGTGACGTTTGGCTGTATATCAGACGTTGGCTGGAAAATTTTGCCTTTAGCGAAAATCAAAATTTTCGGCAAAAATAATCCCGGCGTGAAGTGGGTAAACAGTGCTTGCAAATGCTTCTGGAAATGCAGTTCTGTGTCTGAAGTTATTCTTAATGGTTTTGCTTTTGTTATAATGACTGCATTTAAATATTGCATTAAAATATTAATACAGCCTGTTTTAATTCTTAGTTTCCCTTTGGTGTCCCCTTTAGTTTATTTTGTATTGAGAGATCAATATCTTCATTGCTTGCCACACTTTTGTTCCTCTAACAGAATAGTCTGGGTTCCAAGGCGTTGACATAAATTTTGGACAAAATATCAACTGCTGCAGGAGCAGTTGATATACTCGTGCAAAAGTGTCTCATACAAATTCGAGTCAATATATAAACCATTGTTCTCAGTCTACATGTACAAAGTAAGATGTCCATGCTATAGACTACAGAAAGGACACTTGGGTATTACTTAAACCTTTTATTTATTTAACGTTTCTGAGTATATATATATATGAAAATTACAAAAGATATCTTCAGTATAGTCAGCAAAGGCTTGAAATGCTGTAGTTCTGAGGCCACTTTCATTTTCTGTTCACCAATCAAACATTTCAAAACCACGGAAAGACGCTCATTTCCTGTTTCAGTTGCCGACAGGAGACCGTCAAAACCGGGAGTGTTTCACTTTCCCAGCAGAAGGCAACCACCTCAAGCCTTGCATACAGAATGTCGCAGTACATGATCAGTATACAAAAAAATGACACTCAAAAAGTCAAAAAAAATGTGTTGGCCAAGAAGAAAATGCACAAATCTACTGCCAGGAAATGCTTTCATGGACTAATTCAAGATAAACTTAAGCAGATAAACTTTGGTCCGCAACAAAACAAAAGCAGATACAATCAAATAAGCAAATTCAGGTTTACTGTAAAGAGTAAATGCATAAAATGCAGTAAAGTAGGTAATTTTGATATATTTTCCAAGCAAGTGTATATTAAGTCATTTAAGGTACACTGCCCAGTCATGATCTCTTCTAGCGTGATCTTGTCCAAGTAAATGTACATTTATAATTAGGGTTTTTTTGCCCTTCACAGACGTACATGCACTGAATACTCTTGTGTGTTACCTCCCGAGTGAAACTTCGAAAACAAATCACCTGGGTGGGACTCATACCCAGAACGCAAATTGAATTTCATTTTATGAATAGTTTCGCTGCGGTACCCGCTGCTACATCCGATTCGAACCGATTCGAACCAGTTGGAAACCATTTTTTCCAACTTTCACTCGGCAGGCAACACACCGAGTATACAGTGTTTATATGTCCGTGAAGGGCAAAAAACCTAATATTAAATTTACATCACCCCGATGCAAATTCCATCTTATGTATAGTAATTGTACATTGTGAGAATACCTGTACATGGTCACATGACTCAATAGAGGGCCCCAAACATAACCCAATCAAGAACTGCATTTGTTCAGCAAGCTTTTTCATGATTAGTAGCAATCAAAGGAATATCTACAGTCCACTTTTTATACACAGATTTCATACTTCAATTCAAAGGCTTCTTTGATCTGTATTGAAAATGACTTGATATAAACACAAAAATAAGCGACACAATTTAAAGAAAGGCACAAATGGTAATAAAGTTGACAAAAATATACTTAAAGTAGTTACAGAAATACTTGCAACAAATTTTTTTCAATGTAAAGCTGGCAATGCAACTTTAATGCACAGCAGCAAAAAAAAATATGTTTTTGTTCCGCTAGGATTGGCATGAGTTGACAAAAGTGGAGTTGTTCGTTTGTTGTTACAACATAATTTATAAAAATAGAAGCCAATTTTATTGCTGCCGTGCATAAGGTTCGTTACCAAAAACAGACAATATGAAGTTTAACTTCACATGTACGCTAAATACTACTTGAACAGCAAGGCCTAAACTTTTATTCAGCCAATTGTTATTATTTAACCAACAGTGTGCTTAGAATACTGTTGAAGAAGCCCCAAGCTAGCCCGCGACCCACAACAGTGTGTACAATGGCTATAAAACCACCATAAACTCAGTTGGGGAATGCACATTGTCCCTTATAGCAACCTGATGTGACAGAACGCACTGTTACCATCACAGACCAGCAACCAACCCCCCCCCCCCCCTTGCAATTTCCAGAAATGCATTCATACTAAATAGAAAACTGAAAGGCGAGGCCCTATTCACATGGCTCTGCAGCTACTTCAACTTCACTCGAACAATAAGATTTTGCTTATTCATAATGCGATTCACTTGGTCGCCCGTGAAGTGTACATGTACATTGCCATATCCGGGTATCAAACTACATGTACGTCGGCAAAAGTTCACAAGGGTGTGTTCTGGCTATGCACCACTTCATATGTTCCTGCATGGCATTACGCCTGAGGACAGACAACAAAAGGAGCACAAAGGGGCCATTGATCCTCGAAGGAAGGTGCCTATTGTCCTCGAACGCAGGTTTGTGTGCTTAGTCTATGGGAGAGGGTTATATTACAGGGACAAAGGAAAACACAAAGCCAATCCTCGGAAGCATAGCAAAAAACGACTGTGTGTACATGTTCATGTGCTGTATGTAAAAGCCAAGTGCTTCCTAGTTTAGTTTTACCATTGCAAGAGTCGTAAAAAGAAACCTATTTGATTGTCGTATCGGACTTAGTATCTTTACACAAGCCAACCAGCCCACACTTGTAGGGAAATGCACCAAGATTTATGATTGGCAATAAATACATAAAAGGCCCACGCAGAAACAGTTTTGCTGACAATGGTTTCATATTTCAGTGTAAAAAAAATTGGGGAAAAATCATAAAGACGCCCAAAACAAGTACATGTACATGTACTTGAATAAATTTCAGAACTTGAAAACTAAACGTACAATTGTATTTCATGATTGTGTAAAAAACTGTTTTCATATGTTTTGAGAGAAATTTAAGAGTATTTCCTTTTGATCAGATCGATCTATTTCCTTTTGAATCAGATCGAAGATTTGTATCTACCATTGTACAAAACAGTATGTGATTGTTTTGACTCCTATGAGTATTTACTTGCATAAATTTGCATTTCTGAAAAAAATCCAAAACAGTGAAAACAATTTTTTAAGTTTAACAAGCACTTACATGTATGAAGCCTCAAGTATTTATGCTATATTAAAGTACATGGTTTTTTATACCCTAAAAAACTTTTAAGGAAAGGAATTTCTCAATGGACACACAATATCTACAAGAACATGCAAATCACTTTCACTACATGATTCAAAAACAATCAAACTCTCGGCATGCAAAACTTCAATTGCTATGGTACACACCCTTGTTTTTAACAGCTCGAAACATTTGTGTGACATGATTCATATTACTCTTTTTTTCAGACAAGCTCAAACAAAAATAATGTTATATTGACACTCAAAATACTATCACAGTACACCTTTATGGATACCCTAAAACCAGTACTATCCCCCCCCAAAAAAAGAAGAAATATTAGAATTTAAATCATTGAAATGGACAACGCTTTTGTGCTTTTTTTGGCAGAAAAATATTCTTGATCACTCTGCTTATAAAACCACTTTTAACAATTTTTAGTGTCAGTCAGAAATAAGCCTACAATTAGTCCCCTTCATTCAAGCATCCCCCCCAGGTGTGACTGTTGCATCTGAAAGTGCTAAAACTCATTTGCATATGTCCTTGATATGACCATGACCTTTGATTTGCATTAACAAGGTCTTTGACCTGTGCTTAAAATTAAGCAACCCACCTCAATTTATTTTAATCAAAATCCAATCCAATCAAATAAACAACTTTAATTATGTTGGGATATTATTTGAATACTTTGACAAATTACCAAGGTCCCCATTTTTTTGGTCTACCTTTCTAGTTTGAAGGAATGTCACCTGTTCCAAGTTATTAACGCTATAAGGCACTCCTGTCCATTCCTGCAGTCCAGACTCCTAGCAGCCTTCAGCCATGCACTGGAAAAGAAAGAATATTAACAATGACATTTCATTTCTCAATTTTTACCGGGGATGTAGTCGAGTTTATCACAAGTCCCTGCAAGTCCATCACAAGTCCTCTAGTCCCAATTCAACTCACAAGCTATTCAAATACGCTTTGACAAAGGCATTCCCATGTTATATACACTGTTACTTGTGACTGGACTTGTGACTGGACTTGTGACTGGACTTGTGATTCACTTGTGACTGGACTTGTGATTTACTTGTGACTGGACTTGTGATTTACTTGTGACTGGACTTGAAAGACGAGAATTTTGAAAGAGTAGAAACAAAGTCAACTTTTGCAACTTTGCAGAAAGAATACTTTCCTCGATGTGGCAAAGTCAGCATTCAGATTTACTTTCGTGTTGTGTACTAATTGCTAAAGTGACATTTCTGTCACACACCAAATATTCATGCAAAAGAACTTGGTATAATTGTGACATTTTTCTATAAAAATGATGTATGTCATATATGCACTGTTCGCCAATCGCATCACAAATGCACTGTGTCATCTCTAATTGGCTCTGAGCAGAAGCCACAGTCCCTGCAGAGTCCACACTAACACGACTAGCCATGACCGTTTGCTGGGGCAAGCCAATGGCACTAACCAAAGCTGTAAGCCACAAATCAAAATCTGAGTGATTCTCCAGACTTACGAGAATGATCCAGACGATAATCCATGGCCAGAAGAAGATGGTGATCAGCAGATGCAGCAAGTGGTTCACACGGGGTCTACGGAAAAAAACAACAGAAATAAACAACAAATATACATTATTTAGTTTTGAAACCAGAATGCAACTGTGTGAATCCCAAACCATTAACCCTATCCCTACCAGATCATCGTCAGGGTTTGGTAAGCACCGTTGATATCAGAATTTTCAATAATCTACGTATATAGCGGAAATCCAATATCGAGAATATTCGATATATCAATTATGCCACGTAAAAGTTAAAGACCATGAAGATGACACTTTGAAAAAAATTCTAACTTTCTAAAAAAATGTTAAGTCTCAATTTGCCACGGCTTTCTCTGGAGCATATTGCGCAAAGTTTTTAAACAAATCTCAGCACTGAGAGTTTGTCCAGAACGGGCCTTTTTCAAAATAGTTTTACATTGGGGGAGACACGAGTTTCAGCGAATGCAGAGCACAAAGCAACAAAAGATTTCTCAAGGAAGTGGGGCACAGATTCCGAGTTTGAAATTGGTTCTGTTAAATTCTGGCAAAGAGTCGCCAAGCCAAAATGGCTGTATCACCTTATCAGTTTACTTGCCATGAAACTTTAACTTCTTGCGAACTTGTTTTTTTTTCTTTCAGCAACAGTCAGCTGCCACTGTTCAACTAACCAAAACTTGCAGAAATATGGCACATGAAGCAACCAATTTTTAAAGCGAAAGGCTGTTCGAAGAGGAACAAGGACTCAGAACTATCCACTTCTCTCTAGATTTAGTCACTCCAAATAGTGTACATAGCCGCAAACTTCTCCCGAGTATAGGCTACCCTGATTGCGTGGCTACGACTAGCATCCATTTTCTCATAGATGTGTGTGTTACTGAAAGCCGTAGCTGCAAGCTTCCATTTACACTTACCGCTGCTGAACAGTAGTCACGATGGTCTGTTGTACTGCAGGCTGCGCGGCCCCGGTCTGTACCACCACCACACCGGGTGCGCCCTGGGTTTGCACGGGTGCGGGTGCGTATCCCTGAGGGGGGTACCCCTGTTGAGGGGGATACCCCTGCTGAGGGGGGTACCCCTGCTGAGGGGGGTAACCCTGCTGAGGGGGGTAGCCTTGTTGGGGAGGGTAGCCTTGTTGCGGAGGATAGCCCTGTGGAGGAGGGCCCCCCTGTTGCTATTAATATGAGGATGAATTCAAACAAATCCTGGTTATTAGTTGTCTTCGCCTTGTTCACCAATATGATTATTGGCAAGTCCCTTACTGCGTAAAATGTTCAGAGCCAAAGGCAAATTTCAAGAAGCTGCTAAGCACGACAATTTGCTGTACGCAAAATAACAAAAAATTGAAATACAAATAAATAGTACAAAAATAAATTGCTTAGTAAAACCAGTTTGCAAGCCAAATGTCATTGGAAGCCTGTTGCTTGTGACAGGATCTCAGATGATTTCTGATTAGCACAACTCAATGAAGTTGTGCCCCGGGGGTGCATACCTATATTCCCCAATACCGATGTTCCTCAATACCAATGTTCCCCGAAATCCCTACCAATATACCCTAACCCTAACCCTAGCCCTAACCCTAGCCCTAACCCTAACCCTAGCCCTAACCCTAATCCTAAGGATTTGGGGGAACATCGGTATTGGGGAACATCGGGTAGATCCCATGCCCTGGTGTGCCCAACTGACTTTATTTGTACGTCCTATCGGTCGGATGTATCTACATGTACAGCTAATGTAATTTGTTGAACTTTGAAATTCGATTCCAGACCACTCATTTCCCCAAAATTGATAAACGGGAAAGTAGTGGTGGGATTTATATCCGGATTGTTTAACATTCGGTTCAAATTCCACTATTCGGTTTCGTTTTTAGAAACCGGATATTTGAAACCAACCTTATAAACGTTAAGGCCAACAAAAAAAAGTCTCCGGTTTCTGGTATGGAGCTTGCCCAAAAAGTGGTGCGGTGACGCGGCTTTTTTTTTTTTTAACCTGATTTTTTTGCTTCAAATGTCGGCTGATGACTGCAAATGGTGCCCGACTAAACTTAGTGCAAATATATGGGAGTCCAGAGAGGCCACATAAAGCTTATTCTCGACCATAACCCAATCTAAAAACACGTTAAAATTGTGCAGCAGCAGGATTCCAGTCAAACCAGTGAGTTTGGCGGTTTTGAGACATCATCTTTCATTGAAAAAAAAACTTTTTCATTTTGCCGACGCGCATGGCTACAGCGACACGCGCCTTCCATTTTTTGTGACACCTACAGGCTAAAAAAAAAAAACTGGAACTTCCCCCTTTTTGCTTTATGGTCTCTGATTATAACTGCATTCACTTCCTTGTGCTGTGGTCTTTCTTAGAATGAGCTCATTGTTAGAATGGATTATAATGGATGATGTCTTAAACTCATGAAATCAATATATCTCCCCAAAGACCATGACAGCCAGGCCAATACATTGTATTTGCATTACTTCTATAAGGATATTGATCCCATGATGAACATTTATATGTCAAAGTTTAGGTGCATAATACTTCTAAATGCATGAAACCTACATGTGTAAACAGTTCAAGTACTTGAATGCGCTGTTCATATTTGTACAATGTACATGCCCATGTCCATAGTATACTTGGCTTATTTGCTAACCCAACCCTGCTGTGTTTAACCAGACCATTACAATTTAGCTTGAATTTAAGTGTTCACAAAACTAAGCTCATAGCTGTCCATTTTAATTGGATTCTAGTTTCCTTTGATGAGGAAAACTTCTCCTTTTTGCAGTTGTTTTGGATAAGGTTGGCTTCACATTGCTAGGCAACGGATTATTTTTTTATACCCCGGTTCATTAATTCAATTAAAATTTGTGCATAAAACATGAACCAGTAATCAATATTGTACACGTAAGCACAATATGACCACGGCCTTGACACCAGCATCAGCTGTACATATAAGAGACAATATATTTTTCACATTCTAGAATTCCTCATCGTCCAGAATAGTGTGTAAGATTTACAGACGTGTATGTTAATTTACGTGTATTTATGACTGACAAAATGATATAAAATATATGCTTGAAACATTAGGACAGAACTATCATTAAGGGAATAAATGTGTGCTCCGGAGGTTTTTATCACTCTGTTTAAGACCACTTAGAGTCTGGGTGCTAATAATTACCCGAGCCGGAGGCGAGGGTAATTATCGGCACCCAGACTCTAAGTGGTCTTAAACAGAGTGATAAATACAGACGGAGCACATATTTATTCCCATTCATAAATACCTTTTCGGTAAAAAGAAAACATATAATTCGTTCAAAACATCCCGATTTTGTTCAACAAATTCACTTTATGCTTTTTGAAACATCCCTCTTGCAAAATAATGGAGTGTTCAGCTGGCGAGTAAGATGTAAACAACCCTTTTATGGAGATTGACGCGCACGTATCATGTTCTGCGTGATGTCGCGCAGAACGCACCTGGCGCGTTGCATTTTGAATTTAGAACTATAAAATTCTGACTCCCTAATATTGTTGCGCATGCCTACGTGTTTCAACCAATGAAACGATAAGAGGCACTGGATTTTTAGGAGTCCACATTTTATTGTGACACTGGAAAAGTGTTTAAGACCAGCTAGCCATGTCTTTATCATCCGTTTAAGACCGGCCACATGACGGGCTCTTGACCAATAGGAATGCGTAAACTGTCTTAGGTATTAATGAATATTTATTAAAGTTAAAGGATTATTTGCCTTTAATGCATTACATGTATGTTCTTTTTCAGTGCACTCCAAATTCAAAGACGAACGTTAAAAATATTGAACCTGTTGAAATTTCAGCTTTGTGGATATTACAATTTTTTGAGAAAACAGTGAAGAACTATGCACAACCTTTTGATCACGAAAAACGATAGCACTCTATTTCCAAAAGTCACCCAATTGACTGATCGTTGGAAATCACCCACATTTCTTGATTTCTTCTAAATGACAGCGTGCCAGACAGAATAATTTCATGTTGTGTCTAGTACCAGTTTGATCTTTAAAGTTTTTTTTTTTTTAAATGTAGGTTACTATTGGGATAATGGCAAATGCCTTTAACTTCGTTTGGAATTTTAACAAAATCATGTCCCGTACATGTATGTATGATTAAAGGGAATATACATCATTTGCTTTTGCTGTAATTTTCAGAAATGGATGGAATTGGGCGGTTGGAAATATATAGCAAATACACTGACTTTTTTGAGGTTTTGGGTTCGAAAATGCTATAAAAACCAAGAAAAACAATCATTTTCCTGTAGTCTGGTTCCCTGACTCCATATAAGAAGAAGCAGAGCAGTTTACATACATTGGGGAATTGTAAGGTCAGGGAACCAGTCTAGCTGGCTTGTACCCGTTCATAGGTGTGTAATCGATTGCAAACAAGTGCGATGGTCAATTGGGGCCAGTATTTGAAAAAAAAACAGTTTTCCAACGCTGGTTGGCCGACCAGCGTTGGAAATTGATACAAAAATACCACTTTTCTTGAAAATGACAATATACCAGGTGCCATGATTTTACAGGATGCTTTACACTGTCATTCACTAACAGTCAAGGTACCCAGCAAGGTATTTCAAAATGATTTGGTAGTTTTATTTTTTGATGTTTGCAAATGTTGTATTTTCCCTTTAAGAATAATTATTTGTTTCATTAACCGGACAGTAAAACCTCAGACAGTGCAGTAATCAATTTTGTATACTGTACCCGATGTATCATTTTTCACACAATACTTACGATTACAATACAAGATTTTATTCTGAAACTTTTACATCCATGAACCTTCTGAACTAATTGTGTACCACTAATATCCAGCTGCACAGGGCAAGGTTGTGCAAGCTTGTGCAAGGCTGTGCAACTGTACGTACTTCACAAAGGAAGTTTTCCCATAAAGCTTAATGGTGACACTCAGGATGTGACATGTTTTTGTACAACTGACTAGGGTGTTTTAACAGGGCCACAACAGATATTAATGTGCAAAACTACTGGGCTTTGATTTCCTGTATGTGAGTCAGAGAATGATGAACTTTAACACCTTATCAGTGTACACCAGTGTGTGTACACTGATAAGGTGTACATCATTGGCTTTTGCTTAATTTTCAGAAATGAACTATTTGAGGGGTTAGTATAATAGATCAAATTATTGTTGCACTGACATATTTGAAGTTTTGTGTTCGGAAATGCTGGAAAAACCTAGAAAAACAAAAATGTTCAAGTAGTCTGGTTCCCTGACTCCACTGAAAATTAAATGAATCAATTTATAGATGCCGGAAAATTGTACGGTACGGGAACCAGTCTAGCTGGCCTGCCCCCATTCATGAACATGCAACCAATAGGAAACAAAATTTGGACTGAAGAAAAAATTGGTAAATTTGGAGCAGCAGTTGAAAAATAGTTAGGTTTTTCCAACGGTGGTCAGCCAACCACCGTTGGAAATGTATACAAAAATACCATTTACTTGAAAATGACTTCACACCAGGTGCCATAATTTTACAGGATGCTTTAGACTGTCATTTACCAACATCTCGTGAGGTATTTCGTAAAAACTTGGTAGTTTTATTTTTCGATGCTTGCAAATGTTGTAATTTCCCTTTAAAGGTAGAGTATATCATTTGCAGCTGTCGAAAAAGTAACTGACAAAATTATTGTTGAAAAGCATATGGTTTAAAGATAGTTATGGCACTAAACACCTGTGAAATTATTCTTTCTGGCATGCTGTCATTTTGAAGAAAACAATAAAAGAAGGTCATTTCCAAAGATGCGTCTAAAGATGAATGAGTAAACTGTATCAGGTTTTTATGAATATGAGTATTTATGATAAGTTAAGGTTACAATTAGGCCTTTAGGACTGTTTTGAAATTGTCTAAACATTTTAACAAATATATTTTGATTGTCTTGTAAATGTGGTTTTTTTTTAAATATTGCTGGTAGTAATAAAAAAATACTACATGTTTATTACCTTGGGTGGTTCGTATGGTGGTGGAGGGGCTGCCATTATTGCGCTATTTGATTTCTTCCACGCCTAAATACGATGACAAACAATGTAGATATTTTCCAATGCTGTGGGTAACCTATTTGACTGCCAAAGAAAAAAAAGAGGAAAATAATAATAATCACTACAATATTCATTGTCTTGCCGTGGGGTATGTCACCCTGGACAAATTAACTGTCAGATTGAATTGTTAAATCTTTTTGTAGCATTGCAAGCTTTACAATGGGAAATCCAACAACAACAATCACTGGGAAAAAAAACACCTGTTCAACGGCCAAATTGATTGGAGTTCCCAGAACAACGGAAAAAGGGAATATCTCAGTTCACTGATTAAAGTGCAATGAATATGCCAACAAAGTAACAGCAATGTTTGCCTAATGATTGAGCTCTGCAATGATGTATAGCGTCGAGGAACAGACATGTACATGTACATGTACACAAATTTGCACATGTTAAGTATATTATTCAGTATGTTACCCCTCTTTTTGTTTAATCAGCCACAGACAGTCAAAAATTTGGCGATCGTGAAGTGTAGGGCCCCTGTTTTGTTTTGATCAAATTAGAGTCAAAAATATTTTTTATTGCTCAAAAATCACCTTTACAATCAAAAGCAGACTTTTCTCAATTCTAATGACACCGTTTTGCAATTTTGAACAGATTCTTGGGGTAGAAATCACGATTTTCCTGCATGGTTTGTGCCTTGCGATTCAGCGCGCCGTGCGTGCTCACGGTACATCATGCGGTGATCCCATATTTATTTTCGGGTCGCGTGTTGTCGCCATGCTGTCATCGTCATTTTACCCCCAAATTTCCCTCAAAAAATCAAAACCCTGCCCTCTATCTATGACATACCTGTTTATTGAGAATGTCGCCAACTAGTTTGGTAGGTCCAATAATTTTAAAGTGGATTTTGTTCCCTTATAGGAACCAGGCCCTACACTTCACAATCACCAATAATTCAATCTTGTTCCCCTGCCATGCCTTTTACACAGGCTAGTCACCAACAGTCAGATCGTATTTCTTGTAAGCACTGCGACAGTCATATTCCATATCAAACAGTTGTTACAACACTGGGACATAAAGACAAATCTGACCTGACAACACCCTAATTCCCCCTGCAAATATTATTGAACTTTAGACTAATCTGCCAAAAACAGCTGACTTTAGCACACAAAAATTGCCACCCCAAAATTATAGCCACCCACCTAAACCATGGAGGAATAAAAACACATTTATTTGTTTTTATTCCTCCATGCCCAAACGAAAGTGTGTGTTTTATTTCTCCATGGAAGCATGGTTGAAGAATGTACGACACAATCATGACAATATCTCTCCTGAAGAAACATCAATCTTGCAAAAAAATCTCATCTTTTTGATTGACGGATTTTTAGAACGTTTAATACTATGCTTACCTCCAATCCAAAGAACCACAAGGAACAAAACTCCCAACAGCGCTTAGATTTCCAGAGAGACCCACGGGGCGACCGGATACAATTGTATGAGGCAACAAAAATGCAGTAGGTCTAGCCTTCAAACAATGGAGACCTAGCCCTAATAAACATGTACACGTGACACTGAGCAGCAGGTGTTTGTTTGTGTCGTGCATTCTTGACGTTGAGAGGGTAGTCGCTGATCTATAGGGTCGCTCGGTGTACGTGTGCGCTTGCAGAGCATGGGCGTCGCCAGGATTGATTCTAGAGGGGCAAAGCATATTTTCTCCCCGAAATCCCTGTACTTTTCCAGCACATTCTCGATTTATCATTTTTTGAGGGTGGGCAGGGATATTCCCCCAACCCATTAAATTAACAGCAATATGACTTCGCGCCTCTTTTTTCTTTCCTTTTGTTTCTCCTTGTAAGTCGACCCCCGATCGGCCCCCTTGAAAATAGTTCCATTTTCCCCTTTCCCAGACTCCTTGGCAGGAACGTCCCAGACACACAAAATAATGCACATAATACTGTGAGTTCACACGGCGAGAAATAGTCCAAAACCCTAGTGGTTTTTCTAGCAGTTCCTGGCCCGGTACAAAGTTCTCCCTAAATTTTTCATAAATTTCCCTATTTTGGGGGGAGGGGGGCATCTATGATACCCGTATCTTGATTTTTTTTAAATATTCTTTTTTAGGGGGGAGCAGTATATCATATTCGAAAAATTATCTATCCATTTCCCCATCATTTCATTTTCCTACGTGACACCCCCCCCCCCCCCCCCCCCCCCCGCCTTGATTATTTCGAGCGCACAACACCCCAAGGCGAAACCGTCAGGTGTAACAAACGCCATATCTGTCACAGCACGGTCAACAAGTGTTAATTTATTATTCGTTAATTATTTAATTAACCATGTCCATGAGCTTCGCCCTGTTCTGTATTTACCCGGCGGGGAGGTCGAGGAACATCAAATTTCATTTGTTATTTTGTTTTATTTGGAAAGGGAGTCTCATAATTTTCTTCCACTATACATTTGAATTGTGAATGTTGTAAAGTGTCAAACAAAACGAAGGGTGGATCCAGAGAGCGGGGGGCTGAGGGTGTGCCGGGGCGGAAGGGCTCTCTCAAGTGAACAATGAGGAAAATCCGCAGAATGCACGACTGGAGTAAGAAAGCATTTGACTTCGCTGATACAAACAATTATGAAGCAGTTCTTCAAGTCCATCAAGTCAGTCTTTGGTCCCGTTCAAAGTCAGGTTCCGTTCCCTTGCTCAAGGCTTGCTCTCTGCAGATCATGGAGCTACGTACGCTGATCAAAGGACAAGGCTGAGAACACTTCAGCCAGTTCATGAATCGTCCGTCGACATGGTCAGTCAGCACTTGACCAGATCCCTCATCAGAAGCCAATGCACGAATAATTTGATTCCATCCCTGGCAGAGGTAAGAAAAGCTATCAAACAGACGAACCGTGGCAAGGCACCTGGCAAATATGGAATTATACTGCTGAATTGTACAAGGCACTCAGCGAAGCTCACTCAGGGGCGGATCCAGGATTTTCAAAAAGGGGGGCACAAAAACTTTGTGCGCGTTGCACACATAACGAGACTGAAGCGCGAAATCCCTTGCGGGCAGGGTTGAGGGCACTGGAAGCTCTACGATTTTAGATGTTCTCTCCTACATCATGAGTACTTTAAGCCATTAAGAGCAAAATTCACAATGTTTATTTTTTACTTTTAATAACACTATTTTTGCCTATCAAATATAGAATTTAAAGTCACTGTTGATGTAAGTTGAAAATGAACCCCAAAATTAGAAGGTGCTGATGACAGCCCCCGGGTGAAAAAAATGAACGTGTTATTTTGCGAGCGAGCGGAGCGAGCGAGCCAAAACAAGTCATGTTTACTATTAAAACATACATTTCCACCCAGAAATTTGCCTTGCAAACAAAGAAAATAAAATAAATTGAATTTCATTAGGGGACAGCCTGCCCCAAGCAGCCCCTACCCCCACCCCACCCCACGGCTGAGCAAATCAACCGGCCCAGAAAATTTCTCCGTCCCAATTCCTTTGAAAAATGTTGTATAACTTATAAGCCTGCTGAGTATTTCATTACGAATAGTCTTTACAAACAAAAAGAAGAAATAAAACTTTATTTCAAAACCATCTCGATTGTCATAAAAAAAATTGATATTAGCAAAATTTCCCCGTAGCGTTTATATGTTTAGTCAAGACTTCAAAAAGACTGCCGCCTGTGTCCCAGTATAATGTGAGGTAACTGCGGTCACATATATACTTACTTTGTATATACACTTGTATACACTTTAACCACCATTTTTTTCCATGTTCTTTTGAAGTCTGCAGGCTAAATAATTTAAGACGAAATGAATCGTCTGCATTCTGCAAGTGTTGTCGAATCACTTCAAGAAATGTCAAGGCCTGAGGAAAATCGTTTATTTGTATTTTTTTGGGGGGGGGGCTCCGATTTTCTTTAATAGAAAACAAAAAAAAAAACCTTTAATTTAACGGAAATGCAAACTGCATCAAAATTCCAAATTCCAAAATATGAAAAAGTTTGTCTGCACAAATTTCCCGAAAGTGGCAGCATTCCTGAGCTGTTATCAAATTTTTTTTAAAGGCCTTAAAGTTCGGTGGCCTACATACAGCTGAACCCAAATGTATATATGCTTTGTAACGAACAAGAGTGGCATTGTATCAATTTGAACAATGCGGCTATCAATCATTCTCTGGAAAGGCTTTTCGGAGCTGAGATTTTATTGGGCATTTTTTTTTCTCAGAGACAGGGGAAACCTTTATGCGAAAAATGTGGGAAACTGAATTGAACGTGAAATTTCTCCTCCGTGTTGTGTACATGCACATAGATAAACGATTGGGGGATGATATTCCAAGTCCAAATAATTCATTAAATGTAGGGCTCCCGATGTCTTTTTTCGTAGTACGATTTTATTCTTCGCTTATTTAAAAAATAAAACTGCATGGCCTACATTATTTTTGTAAATGTTACTCTAAAATATTTCGGAATACATTTTGAAATTAAGTTTGAAGTCAAAGGGCTGTTGATAATCTTATTCGTATTCCTTTTAAAATAAGAAAAAACTAAGCATAGTTCGTATTAAAATTTCCCCTGGAATCTACAAAAGAATTAACTGAGAGTTCAGAACTTAATGGGCTAGGGTTTTGAAATCGTTTTACTTTAAAAATAAATCGAGAGAACAAGACATACTAAGTCGTATTAAAATAACCCCTATTTATTTGATGTCTCTCGATTTGAGGCAAAAGGGATGACGATTAATTCTTCGTGTATCTAAAAAATAAAATGCATGGCCTACATTATTTTGTGAAAATGTTTTACTCTAGAATATATTTTGGAATATATTTTGACGCTATTATTTGAGGGATGTTGTTAATCCTGATCATATTCATTTAAAAATAAGAAAAACCGAGCATAATTCGTATTAAATTTCCCCTGGAATCTACAAAAGAATTAACTTCGAGTACAAACTTTAACGAACTATTTTTTTTTTTAATCATTTTGCTTTAAAAAAAAAGTTTTTGTAGAGAACCAGACGTAAATCTCTCTCTGAGGCCGGGAAAATAAAAGAAGGGGGTGGCGATTTTATTCTTCATTTATTAAAAAAAATACATAGCCTACATAATTTCGTGTACCGGTACATGTTCTACTCAAGGGTGGATCCAGAACACAATTTTGGGGTGGGCCAAAACAAATTTTTGGTCCCCCCCAAAAAAGTTTTGGTCCCCCCAAAAAGTGGGTCAAAAAAATTACGGCGTGGGGTTCGGGGCCCGCTTAAGGGCCCCGAAAATTTTTTGGATTCTAGATACTCTGTGGTGCGATCTGAGGCAATTTCTGACCACTTTAACCACTGTTTTATTGAGGAAAAGATGGTGGTGTACTCATTGCCTGCCTTTATTGCGATGTCACATAAAAAAAAAAAATGGTTTCGGTTTTTTTTTGGGGGGGGGGCATGGCCCCCTTTGCCCCCCCCCCCCCCCCTGGATCCGCCCTTGGTTCTACTCTAGAATATAATTTGGAATACATTTTGACATGAAGCATTAAATGCAAGTGCTGTATTAAATGTGCCCCTAGTCCAGCCGGGAAATAAAAAAGTGTCTTATAAAAATATATTCTTGCTTTGAAAGAAATTTTGAGACAATGATTGACAGGCGACCTTCAAAACTTATACATTGTATATTTTTGTTGATAATTATGTATAATAGTTATGTTCCAAGCGATTGATTTGATGACCGCCCGTCCGCCCGCCATAATGACTCCTCAAAAAGGAAAAAGATAGCCATGTTCTCAAAGGGATGTATTTAATGCCCGCCCGCCCTAAGATGACTCGTTAAAAAAAAAAAAAAAAAAAAAAAAACAGTTGCAAAAAGGGGGGGCACGGGCCGGGTGTGCCCCCATCTGGATCCGCGCGTGGCTCACTTGAGGCACTTTACGCTGTACAGTTCTAGAGCTGACCAGTATCTGGGAAGAGGAAGAAATGTCGCCTGACCTGATGCCAAAATATAGTTAAGAAAAATGGCGCAAGAGCAGACGGTTGAAAGAGCAGACGGTTGGAACTACAGAGGCATCTTCCTACTGTCCGTTGCTGGCAAACTCCTGTCCCGCATCATCATGAACAGTATCTGTGGACAACCTTCCAGAGTCACAATGCCGTGGTTTTCGCCCTGACCGCAGTACTGTCAACATGTGCATGATCTTCAAAGTATCAGAGACAAGTTCAAGAGAAGTGCCTAGAGCAGAACGTGAACTTGCACTTCATCTTCACCGACCTGACGAAGGCTTTTGACACAGTCAACAGGGAACATTGTGGACCATTCTCAGGAAACTAATTCAAGGATGCCCATCAAAACTCATCCAGCTATTTCACGACGACATAATGACGGGAAAACTACTCTTGGGTGGTGAACTGTCCGAGAGTTTCAACATTTCAAACGGCGTGAAGCAGGGCTGGGGACTTGCTCAGGTGCTTTTACCCGTTCTTCACCCTAGTGCTGTCGCATGCTGGGAGAGACCCGGACCTCGGGGTCATCTAAGGTACTGCCTGGACGGCTCCGTCGATAACTGTTTGACCGTGACCTCCGGCGCCTTGCAACAAAACCCAAGACACTGCAGAGGCTCATCACAGAGGCTTTGCTTGCTGACAACTTTGCCGCATGCCCTAGGCTCATGGCCACCAAGAGATATCCTGCAGCACAAAGATTCCCCCTATACCACCAAACTTAAGGTGTACAATGCCGCGGTGGCCCTCTCCTCTCTCCTGCGAGGGGCACTGCACCGACGCATCGTCTTCCTCGGCTCCCGAGAGACAACCACTACACGTTTGAATAAACCCATCTGTTCTCAATAAATGAACTTTGAAAAATGAAACAAAAAATGTGGGAAAAAAAATTGTTTCAACTAAATTTACGATGTTTTACAACGCCCATCCCGGCCCGGGCCCATCCACCAATAATGTATTTTAAATTAGTCAACAGGGGGCGCTCTATCACATAACCATGCATCAATTTAATTCTGTGTCATGTGTGTGTGTGTACGTGTAGGGCCGACATGTATACATGCCAATCTTAGTTCCATCAGGCTTGATCAAGTGATCTGTTTGATTCCACAAACTATGAAAATCAAGCATTGATATGGCCGTTAGTGTTGAGTATTTTCACAACATAAAACTAAGGTATGTGAACATCCCAACATCGAGCACATTATGGTAGGATTTACATTATTTAAGTGAACTGGCGATCGTGAAGTTAAGTGTAGGGCCCCTGTTTTGTTTTGATCAAATTAGAGTAAAAAATGTTTCATTTTTACCCCCAAATTTCCCTCAAAAAATCAAACCCTGCCCTCTATCTATGACATACCTGTTTATTGAGAATGTCGCAAACTAGTTTGGTAGGTCCAATAATTTTAAAGTGGATTTTGTTCCCTTATTACATGTATTATAGGAACCGGGCCCTACACTTCCCGATTGCCAGTGAACTAGGGAGTGACTGTTTCATGTGTTTGGGCACACACACAGTTATTTATGGCAGTGGATATTTTGCCGGAGACGGCAAACCTTTAGTAAACGTTAGCTTGCCGGATATGCACTGAACATGCGCAGTTACTATTTTTTTTGTACTTGGACATTTTCCGGTGACAAATTTTAGTCTGGCTCCATGCCATTATCGTTGTAACTTCGTATTCACAAGATGGGAATCAGACCATTTTACAATTTCGGACTTTATTTCCCTTTAAAAAAAAATCCTCCAGAGCCACAAATCTGCAAAAGAAAATGTAATACTCTGCAATAAAATGTTTGAGACATGTTAAAATAATAAAAGAAGAATATTCTCATTTTTGGGGATGGGAAAAAAAACCATTAGAAATGTCGCCAGCGGGGATCGGGATCGAACGCGGGTCTTCCCGCTCATGAGATCCGTTGCTTATCCACTAGACCACAGGTGCTACACAACTGTTGGTGGTAATTTAATATATCTTATAATTCATCCCTATCTTAGAGAGAACAGCGCCCTCTGTTGATATGGATTGTCGCCAGCAAACCTTTAGTAAACGTTAGCTTGCCGGCATTACCTCCGGCAATATATCCACTATCTTTATTTATTTTCGATATTTGTGAGTCGATGCTTGCTTGTCGCTTACTAGTCCAGACAAATTTAAACATGTTAAATGTCATTGATTGTAAATCGGTGTACCGAAACATGGTCAAAACGAGTGTGCAAAGAATGTAGTATTCAGACGCGACTTCTTTGGTTGCGTCAATTTTGTGCAAAGTCCACAGAGCTTGAGTCGAGTGAAAGCAGTTTCTAACAAAATTGGAAATGTTTCTCAGGGAAAGATTTCCATATAAGAAGTTCACTAATTTTACTCTGTATTGACTAACAAGCCCCCAGATAGCAATTTCATGTCATCAAAGTCAATTTGAGCAGTGAGAGAATACAAGCATTTTCTTAGGAAACACTTAGAATTTTTCAGTCCACTCTCATAGGGTTTGTACACAGAGTGTTGAGTGAACTTCGTATATAGAAATCTTTCCGAAAGCAGTTTCTAACAAAATTGGAAATGTTTCTCAGTCCCACTCCCAGATTAATTTCAACAATTTTTGCAATGACTGACCTTCATTGAGATAATGTACAATGTAGGCCTACATGGGCATATTTTTAAAAGTGGTGTCTGGATGCAACATTCTTTCCCAATTCGTGGCTCTGAAGGATTTTTTTTAAGGGAAGTAAAGTCCAATAATATTGCTATAGTCTGATTCCCATCTCGTGAATACAAAGTCACATCCTTCGTGGCAAAAAAGTCCCAAAAGCATCCATTGTGCATGTTTGAGTGCCGGTACAACTTCAAAAACAGCGAAAACAATTGAGGACCCTGTCAAATATACACTACCAATTAAAAATGCACTTGGAGTTGGAATGGATAGTTGCTCAAAATATATTTTTATTTGAAAGTCATTGCCTGTATGTGAACGTCGGGGCTTGCGATAGTACTGTACGGCCAGATGCAGTCGGGCTATAATTGATTATATTAGACATATCCTTGATACATTTTTGTTTCACAATCAGGATAAAAATAATGTTGGAAATGTCTTGTCTTTTGAAGGAAGATTGAAAAAAATTTTCTCGCTTGTTTGCATTATTGAAAAATTTCATTTTTGTGCATGTAAAGTTGTGCATTTTGTTTGATCATGATGACTGCATCTTGGGATTTTTTTTTTTACTTCATATTCAATGTCACAAAAAACTACCTTTTTGATCTATCACTGGCACGCAATTAACCAATCGCGGTAGAATCACGTCAACCCAGCTTGTGAAATATTGTCCAATTGCATGACATACAAATGGATGCGAAACGTGCAAAATCTGAGACAAACAAAACGTAACGTACACAATTCCATAGGGGCGTGGCTAAGTCACGAACAGTGATAGGTCAATACAGGGTGTAGTCCCAAACAGTTTTATGCTGAATAACATTAACACTTAAGAGAAATGATGGCTCTATCCCATTCAGAGACAAATTCATTATTTTGTTTTACAACTTAGATGAGACTCTAGACATCTTAAACCTGTTCAGAGCTGCTTCAACTGTTTCCATTGTGTTCACAACCTACAGTACCCTTACAATCTGTAAGAGCTTTTGTTGTGGTATAAGTGTTGTCTTACTTTCAGGTCATGTTGTGTTAACAGGGTACTGGTACTTATATGCATACCAGTACATGTACCGGTACATCAGTCAGATGACAGGAATTAAGTCAAAGCTAGAGTATTTGAACTCAAATGGGAAATCCTCTTGTTAGAATGGGGTTCTCTAGAGTAAGAAATCTTTTGCCAATCAGAAGTGAAAGGAGAAAAAGAAAAGTCCTTTTTTCATTTTAAGTAAATCGATTCTGTAAATGAGTAATTTCCTCATCCAGTAACTTCGTGTAATTCAATTAACGTCGGCAATTTCACTTAAGACCATTAAATCACTCTCAGCACCCCGTGCGCTACTGTCTTTACCTGAAGGGAACAAGACTTTTTAGTTGAGTGGCCAGCGGGGCATAATGTGATTATGCAAATGCCATTTCTCAACGGGGGCTATGAGCATCATCGCTTTTCCTCTTGCCCTGCAAGTAGTGCGGGGGGGAAAAACAGGCAAGCATAGGGAGACTGAGTCAGCTCTCAAGAGTTTTTTGCTGCTCTCTGAACGGCGCTGCTGCACGTACATATGTGCGTGGGTTGTCGTTAGCGCTGCAGTATTTCTTGCTGCGTTGATGAAAAATCTTTTCTCCGACGCCATGTTGTGAGCGTCGTTTTGGATGGATAATTTTAAGTGTGGTTCGTGTGTCTTTGTCCCCGCGGATATCAGGAATGAAAATTTAAAGGTAAGGATACTTTTGTAATGATCATGTATTTGTTTTTGTTTTTTGGTCATGAAGATTTTTGGCTCAAGGATCTTTGTTGTCTTTTTTGCTTTTACAGATTTGATTTCATCCATGCATAAAAGCAATCTAGAAGTCGTGAATCATCCATATGTCTGTCTATGTGCAATATGTGATAAAATTATCTAAGGTCAGACAAATGTTTGATATTTGTGTAAAAATTGTGAAAACAATCTGGAATTGTAGGTTTGGGGATATATAAACGTCTTTGTGTGATATTAATTTGAAAATTGGAATTGTGAAGGAATGGACTTAGACTTTAACTTTACATGTACATAAAGTACATGGTGGTCAACTTATTTTTGTGTACTGCATTTTTTAATTTTTTAATGTTGTGTTAATTGTCTATTGTTGGCTGTTCAGTGATGGAACATTTTATTTTATTTGGATGTACTATTTTTCTTAAAGTATTTTTGTGATTAATTACAATTACTGAAGTGTTTTGACAACACTTTCTGCAGAGAACTGTCAACCTTTGGGTTGTGCCCATTTTTACAGCATTTTTGTTTTTGATGTGGGTGCTTCTGTTCATTATTCACAAAGCTCCAAGGATATGATTTAAGGAGGGACGAGAAATGTTTAAGTATTTTTGTTCAATAACTAGATTAAACAAAGAAGTGTATACATGTACATAACTTTTAATTCTACTTTTGTATTTTTGTAACACAGGTGTGAATGCAGTAGAATACAGCCATGCCGTAGCCAATCTGTCCTCCCTTGTCTGTGGGTGTCTGTCTATGTGTGTGCCCAACTATGCCAGCTATCAACAGTGACCACAAGTGGGACGTGTCAGGGAAGGGGACGGGCGTGGCTTGCCTGCCCCCTCCTACTAGATCCCTTCCGAGCAGTCCACCAAGAATCGAGCATCTCGAGCGTATGAGTTTGTCTGCGATGCTTGGAGAGTACCACCAAGACGAGATGCAAGGAGACCTGCTCATGACCTCTTCTTTGCCGAGCTATCCTCTGTCGAGCTTCCGAGCGACGGGGGAGTCGATGGAGATGACCAATGACCTGCTGGACTTGACCAAGCCCCTGCCTTGGGACCGGCTGAAGCGAGGCGCGTCCACCATGAGCCTGGACAGTCTCAACGAGAACTACATGGAGTCCGTGCCGGGCGAGATGGCCGTGCTCGAAGATCAAGACAAGACGCCAGTAGCCACCTGCACCTGTGGGAAGACCACCAACTTTGAGTGTTGGGTTCACCGGGTGCCCTTTGGAGGAGCTGGGGAGCTGACGGAAGAGATCAGTCAAACATGTCTGCAGCTTGTGAGGGAGCTGCGATCAGAGCCGTCAGGCTGCGATGGCCTCGTTCATGAACCGTCCAACGAAAACAAACCACATGACTTTGGAGAGTCTGACCTCCGTATGAAGTATTCCCCACCGACTAATCATGTCAGAGTTTCCGTTGACACCCCATGCAGCTGGAAGAGGGAGAGGTCATTCAGTGGTGATCAGCTTGGGGCTGATTTTGACACCCCTAGCTCCAAGTCGTCAGGGAGTCTCGCATCTGCACCATCTGTGCAGAGATCTGAGCTGTCCTCCAGCCCTGACAGCTACGACCTGCTCTACAAGAGCTTTGAGGTGGCTGTGGAGATGGACAGGCTGCAGTTAGAACGCGGCCAGAGCGAAGGGAGCTCAGTTGGCTCCTCCCTGGAGAGTCTGAATCGCACCTCACCAAAACTCCAGAAGGTACTCGTCCAGAAGCGGCGCAGCAGTCCGGATGGGTCTGGGGAAAGCCCCGCCGATATCACCAGCTGTGACTCAATCACGGGCAGCAACAAAAATCTGATACTTTCCCCAGGACGACAGGGCAACCTTCAACCAATGACAGTGGATAAATATCAATATGAGGTCACACATCTTGAAGACTCGTATCCTGTTGAAGATTCATCTCAAAAGGTGACATTTGCATCACTCGCAAAGAAGAAGAAGAAACCTGAAGTCACCACCCCACAAGCAGTACCCTCAGAGGCCACCCACTGGACTGAGCTTGTGACGTCGACAACTCCAAAAGAGGCGCCAAAGTCGTTGCCCTGCAAAATCCCAGTTAGTTCTTCCAAATCTGAGGTAGTGAATAAACTCAAGAGGCCTCACTCCCTTCCCATCCAGCTGAGGCACATTCAGAAGCCATCAAGCAGACCCCAGCAGACCCCTGAGCAGAGCCAAGGGGTTGCTGGAGGGGCAACTGTTGGTGTCAAGGGGGTCACAAGGACCCTGAGTGCGCCTGAAGGATTCGGATGCAGTTTTCCTAGATCAGCCGGGTCTGGACAGGATTCATCTCTGTCTAAAACCAGTAAGTTTTATACAATAGCAATTTAGACTTCTTAGTTTTAAATTTATTTGCTGTTCGGTAATTCCTTTACTTTATTCTGAATGCGCACTCTATCTCTTTTTGTAATCATCAAGCGTACTTTAATCTTACAATTTGTGTTTCACATTGTTCTTATTTCGTTTGTAGCTTCTTGGGTCCTTCCTGCTGCCTCCCAGAGCACCAGCGGTCTCTCGCTGTTGACACGAAAGCGACCCTACAACTCTCATAGCCTCACAACACCACAGTATGATCCGTCAGCAAACTGTGAGGGGAATGGAAACCCAAAGATGGCCGCTGGTAGTCCATTGATCAACAGCAGCATACACATTGGTGCGCACGGAACCAGAGACTTGAGTTATCATTTAAATTGTGGTGATAACGCACAGATGCCAGAGCGAGCAACAAGGGCCCGCATCCTGGCAATGGACATCAATGCCAACTTTACTGAACCCCAGGAACTGGATATGTTCATCCCTGAACACCACCACTTCATCCCCCAGGAAACAACGTCGGAAACTGGAGACCTCCATGGGGGAAGCCCAGCGTCCAGACCTCTCAGCCTTCTCCAGGACAGGTTGCATTTCAGGTCTAACATTGGGGCCGAATCTTCCTCTGATTGGGTCCCAGGGCCGAGGAGCTCTTGGTTAGACGTGAGCCGGAGAAAGTTGATGCCACCGAGAACTCTGGACTTCATGCAAGAGGAGGTTGGGTCACTCCAGAAGAAGGAGCAGGAGCCTCAGACTTGCTCCCGAGGCTGCAGCACAGACAGCCCTCCGGCGATGGACCCTACAAGCTTCCTGAAGATGCATCTAAAGATTTACAAGGAGGAAGATTTGAAAACCAAAGAGCAAGCCAAAGAGTGCAGAGACATTGGGGTGAGCACAGATGAATCATTAAGTGGAGTATTCCAGAAGGACAGTATCTGTCCCTGTGCTAGAAACTGTTGCCATGTTGCTAACACCAGCCAGTCAACTCTGACTATGGGATCAGATGATCAGAACAGCCACTCAGACGTGCCTGAAAGGTCTTGCCCAGATCCTGTAGATCGCACTGAAAGCAAGAGTATCTTGAGAATTACTGACGATGGATCCGTAGATGAAATTAAGAAGGTGGTACCACGTCAGGATTTCAAAGGAGGGAGAGAAGTGGACAAACAAACCTCAGAAAAGAAGACTGCGAGTGTCAGGGAATCTAAATCAAGGAGCAAAAAGCCAAAAGAGAGGAAGGGGAAGGACATAGCCCACGGAGATGACCGCAAGGAGACAAGCGTCCAATCCTGGCGGGTGGGCGGCAAGGGGAGACGTGGAAGCCGGACAATCGTCACATGTGAGGAGTCGCACGTCGCGGACGCCCTGACCAATAGGGTGGTCAGGATCCAGAACGTCGGAGCCTCAACACTGCCTTCCTCTACCGACAAGAAGTACATCCGCCATCAGCCCCTGAAGCCCATACATCAGGTAGACGAGGAACATCGGCAGCGAAAAGGTTGGCATGATATTGTTCGTGTTGGCTGTGGTATTCGTGATGGTGGTGTCAAGTGTAAGTGTTTTTGGTTAAATGCATGATTTTTTTGCGAAAGGGATTGTTTTAATTTGGTATTAAAAAGTTTGGTACATGTTTTTTAATTTTTTTTTATTTCTGCATGTTAGTTCAAATATTGATTTGGGTGACCGTGTTTTTTTTCCCCTTGTTGTGCAATGACCCATCATCCGTATACAAATGGTGAAGAGAATAGAACACAGTCGTTACGATTTGCATAAAGCCCGGTTCATACTTTATGCGAAGTGAAACTTGTGACGTCAACAATACGTTTGGAACGTCTTGTTGACGACATAAATTTCACTTCGCACTTTCGCGTGAAGTATGAACCGGGCTTAAGTGTGATTTCATAAGATGGTTATAACTCAATCCATTGAAATCCACATCCTAGTTTTTCATTATTTTTCATTATTATTTTTTCATGTGTTTATTAGAGTTCTAGGCTTTAGCCACTTTTATACATGCATGTGCTTTTAATGTACTGAAGATGTTTTTAATGTTCCAGTTTTCCTTACAGAATATGTCACTTGGGTTTACTGCACAAAGGTTTCAGAAAGGTGTCTATTGTCTAACAAAAAATCTCATGGCGATGAGAATTTTATTTTCTCTGATTTCACTCTGAAAAAAAGAGTTGCCTTTCATTGAACCCTCTCGAATCCGTGCATGGAATTTTAATAAAGTTTTCTAGACAATACATTCATTAACACATTTAGAATTATCAGGTTTACAGCTCATTCTTTGAAGTTCATTATCGTTACTCTGACAGATCTGTGGTCTTAAGTTTCTCCAAATGTCTCAAGGTCACTATGGTGCCATGTCAACACAATACACTCACCCAGTTACATTGTCCGATTACTCGAAGCCTTAAGCAGACTATTTTGAGGGGTAGTAAAAGCTGAAACTCGCTGTCACAATCCTTAACAAACCCTGTTAGTGCTTTTTGGGCAGGTGACCCGAGCAGGGCCCCAGATAGAAGCCCGACCGGCCCCTCGACCCCGATTGGCGGAGCGTAATTTGTTTAAATCTTGTTTATGAGTTTGACAGGAAGAGCGCGCCTCTGAGTAATATCCTAACAGGAAGGAGGGGGGATATAGGGTGCAGTCGAGCTACTATCAAGGTCTGAATCATTGATGCTAACCCCCTTCCCTCTCTCCCTCCCCCCCCCCCCTCCCCCCTCCAAAAAAAAGGAAAGACAAATTAGTTCTCAGCTTAAGGTCTGAAACGTCAAATTGAGTTAAGCTGATTGGTGTTTTTCGGTCCAGTTGTGAATGGGGCTATTTTTAGAATATAGTACATTTTGAATTCTGGAAAGTCAGTGCGGGGTTTCAAAAAATGCAGACCATATGTACGGGACATTCTAATTTTGACTATTTCCCGTCGCGCATCTTAAACTCGTTAAAACCATGTTCCAATCACAATCATGATTTAAACTAACTCCCTTTTCATTGGTCGGTGGCAGTTCCATCCTCTTCCTAATTTGTCAATTCCCATGTTTTGTCTCAAGACCTTTTTATGTCTCATTTGATAAATGAGGTTGACCCAAAGTTTGTGCCCCCTGTGATTCGTTTTATCAATTCACACTCACACAAAAAAGAAAACCTAAAGTCATTTACACTTCAAATGTTCTAGAAAAAACGCAACCCAAAACACCAAAAAAAACCACCCACATATGTATTTTAAAAAAAAACACACTTAGAATAAAAAATGTTATACATTGTACCAATACATAATTTCTTTCCATATGAAATTTATATTTTACTTTATGAACACTTATTGTTCATATCGCCTGCTGTCTGTCAGTATTTTGTTTGTGGCAATTCTGGTGCAGATAAAATTTTACAAAATGATGTACATTTAGGCTTACATGTACATGTACATACTTGTACAGACAAATGTAACAAATGTTCATGTACATGTACATGTACATGTAGTTAATATAAATTGAATGGAAATTCCTTTTGAAAGCTGCCCCATCGTTTTTCATAGCGAGGATACATGTTCATGCAAGGTGCAGGTTCAAAGTACATGTACTGTACATGTACGTGTACAGTACATGTACGCCGAGGATTTTCATCAGATATTCTCGCATATTTATGCATGTTATCAAGATGTTTAGAGCTTCCATCAAAGTCATGGGTGCAAAGGCCACAGGCTACATTCTTCAAGTTCCAAGAATCTTAATGTTGGGTTGCCCACTATGCAATGACATTGGAATTCCATAAAATATGGTATACATTGGGCAGGTGTGACCTCACGAAAGGGCACGTACAGGGAAAGCGTGTTCTTGCACAGAACCTCAAGAGATGCTCCAAAATAGCCTGGAGAAAGGTCACAAATGTTTTTTGTTAAATATAAATAAAAGGGAAAAAGGCAGTAATGTCATATCCTACAGCTTGATTTTAAAAAATTCTTTGTGTTAGTTAGATGGTTAGTTGGGTTGGGCCAAATATAAGCAGAAATTTGTCGTAACGCAGAATTCTTTCCAAAGTATCCAATTTGAATTCATTGTGATGTATGGGTTGATAGGGTCAATGTTGCTGGGATGCTAAGTTCACAGAGTTACTAAAAAACACAGAAAAGTTTTGCTTACATATTTTATGTTCAATGTAAAATGTACCCAAAAGTCCCCATGCATCCAGTTTTTGTGTGTGATGTACACTGCTTTTGACATGCATAATATTTCCCTTTTTTTTTTTTTTAATAGGATTTCCTATTCTTTTCTCCTATCATTTCCTATTATTTCCTCTGTTCTCAGCATTCCGTACTGTAGACATAACCCTTTTATGGGTCTCTGCAGGACACTTTTTCCTATATTTTCCTGAGGGTCAAATGCCTGTTATGACTGGCTTTCAGAATATTTTGTCGTGATAAAAGAATAAGGCTTAAAGGTAATATACAACATTTGCAAAAATCAAAAAACAAAACTACCAAATTATTATGAAATACCTTACTGGACTGTTAGTGAAAGACAGTCTTAAGCATCCTGTAAAATCATGGCACCTGGTGTGCTGTCATTTTCAAGAAAAGTGGTATTTTTGTATCAATTTCCAAAGCTGGTCGGCTGACATTTTTCAAACACTGCCCCCAAGTTACCATATTTACTGGTAGTTAGTCCACATTTTGTTTGCAATCGATTACACACCAATGAACGGGTACAAGCCAGCTAGACTGGTTCCCAGACCTCAACGTCTCTAAATTGCTCCGTTTCATCTTAAGTGGGGTCAGGGAACACTACAGGAACATGATTGTTTTTCTTGGTTTTTCCAGCATCTATGAACACAGAACTTCAAACAAGCCAGTGTAATTCTATGAAATACTAACCCCCAAATCCATCCATTTCTGAAAATTACAGCAAAAGCAATTTATGTTGTATATCCTTTAAGCTGCTCCATGGAATAAGGCTGAAGCTTGCATCCCATTAAATTATTGTCTCGTTTTTCTCTTGACTTTTAAAAAAGTAGTAATTCCTGAGTAATCTCCCCCTTTTTAATCCCCTCACAGCCCCGCCCCTTCTCTCAGCAATAACATTTGGTACAAACAGTGCAGGGGGTCTGGCCTGCATAATTAATGCATCCTTGTTCGTCCTCAAAACACTGTAGGAGTTGGCTCCCCTCCAGACTTTCTGCTTCGTCATGACCAGAATCAAATCAGGGGAAGAAAAAAAAAGAAGACAATCTTCAATCTATCAGCTCAAAATGTAGTGTTACCTTGGTGATTCATCAATTTAATTCTTTGTGTGATTTTGTAGAGAGAATCTACAAGGAAAATGCTCTCCTAGCCGTTATTGTTTTTGCATATTTTGGGTTGAATATACAGAAATAATAAGGAAAGGGGAGCACATACATGTACATCAACACAGAATGAATTTTAATTTCTATCGAATCTTATTTCTGTCATTATGTACAATGTACATTAGAACATCCCTTATATTTCTTTGGTTCTCATTTCGGACCGACCCAAGAAAAACAAAAACTTTTCTATTACTGCCAACCCAGTATGGAACCCCAGTAACAAAACAAAAAATGAATACAAAATAATGAAAAAAAAATGCAGGAAAACAGGCTCTGTATTAATATTTGTAAAGCTATGGGAAATGAATGTGGCGTCTAGCAACCAATGGAATCCCGGAAGATGAATTGATGTTGCCTCTCATCATATTAGGCATATATAGTATACCTACATGTACATGTATACTGGTCTGTAATGGCTGCCACTACAGCCAAAACATTACACGTTCGTGAGCTGCTTGGCGCAGATATAATGTGAGTCAACTCCATCTTGCCAAGAATGGTTTTATTACTTTACTCAGTGATATCAACTCATGTAAAAATCATTGCAGATAAGCAAAAAGCAGAGACAATACGCCCTTGGCATCATTTTATTTGGCCATATATACAGTTGCAACTACAAACTTTTTTCAATCAGATTTGATGTTTTTCCGACCGACCGACTGACTTTTTTTAAGAGGAAAAAATATGAGAATCATAGAAATAAAAAGGGACGTACACCCTTAGTTTGAATCCGACGTGAAGGTTAGAAGAAAAATCCACACAAAAAAAACAACACAAAAATCCAAAACACCAAAGCTGCTTCAAATGACAAAGACGAACATGCACAATCATGTAGTTTCAAGCTATCACATGCATTGAGAATGGGTTTATAGTACAAAATGTGTTCGGACAAAATGGTAAATATTTCATAAATGTCTGACATCAGACTGTATTTCCATTCTCTGTGTACACATGAAAAGCAGATGTCAACAAAGGTAATTTGTGGTTCTGGTTGAGTGCAGGCACTATGCGCTTTTATTGATGACCAGTCATAGTTAATCGGCTTCGACAATTACTGTCTACTTGACTGATGCGGCTCATTTATTGATTTCACGAAAACAGGTTTTGAGTCATTGCAAGAATGTTCATTTGCAATTTTAAAAAAAACCAGGTTTACGGGGATGAGAGTACAATTACGTAATGAATTTTTTTTGGCTGTCAAAATTTTCTTTCTGTCAAAAATGACTCATTTCTTGAAATTTGCAGTAATTCTTGAAATTACGTACAGAAGATTTGTGTTCATCTCATTAACTCTAGAAAACCCTTTTTATGATTGCTGAAAATGAACAAATTTACATCAGAACAAATTCACTGTGAAGATATTTGTGCAACATTAAATGAATTAGCCACATAATTTATTTTTTCATGCACACATGCTAGTCATTAAACATTAATAATCGCGGTGACAAGTCAATATAAGATGCCTGCTCTAGATTTGCATGCACAACGTTGAAATTATCGATTGCGAAATTACACCTCCCAATACCCGATGTGCAATGATGCCGCAACCCACACGGTACGAAATGCGTCACTGCGGGTAAATTATGCGAAGGAATGGAGCCGATGGGACGCATGCATCTTACAGTGCGCCTGCTGGAATTCTGTCCAAACAGTACGGAGGGAGGTCTCAGGAGGCCACATGAATAAAAAGTGTTGTTATCGCATCTGATGTGGAATCAGTTATTCATTTCTGGCATTGGGTAGGGTATTGTTTTGACTGTTGAAAAACTAGGCCTCAGTTGAACGTGGCTTGTGTCACATTTCTGTAACGGATGCTGATACATACATGTACATGAACTCGCAGAAAAGGAAATTATGTTTCCTGTTCTGCTTTTTATCTGAAATGAATGAACTGTAGATCACATGAGTACATGTATGACTAACATTTTGGCAGTGTTGTTTTCTACTCTGGTGCAATAAAAAAAAAACCAAATTACCGCAATATCCCTTCCCTCAAATTTTATTTCTCACAGAAAATGTACGTTTTGTACTATGCTTTTGAAAGAACTTAAAAACTGAGAACCAAACTACTTGTAATCCTTGAACTACCTGTATGCATGGCCAAAATTACTTCGAATTATGATTTAGTTGACATATTAGAGAGATAGAAACTAATAATGTACATGCATGTACGTGTACATGTAGTTGGGTAATTATAAGTGTTGGATAAAACTTTAATTCCTTTTCTGCGAGTTTGCATCAGTTCTTATACTGGAGACTTTTTTTTTAACCAAGTGGTCTACATTAATTTCAGTTTGCATGGTTGCATCCAATGAGTGATTTTCCCTCCATTAGTATTGATGTTTCTTGCATGATTAATTTTGTGGTCCCTGTATGCTTCCACGGTGGACGTTATTAAAGCCGTTATAACAAGCTGTGTGTTTTCATGCATGCACGTGCACGTGTAAGTGTTTTGATACCGGGATCAGAATACAGCCCCAGGCGATGAGTTTTGTCACGTCTGCGCTAGAGTTAACCATCTCTGGAATCGATAGACTCATTGCATTAACGGGATGAAGTCACGATACAGCCCTCCCCGAGGATCGAGGGGGGAAAAAAATCCAATTAAAACTGATCCATAGCGTTAAGTGCAGGACTTCCTGGGTGTAATAATCCTGCGATCATGCTCTCTGGGTTTGGTGAGCACCGGTTAAGAGACAATGCTATTTGAAGCTTGAAGCATGTGGTTACCATTTTTTTTTTGGTAGAATTTTTAATTAGTGAGATTGTCCATCTATCACAATGTCCACATGATAAAAAAAGAGCATGTCTGCAACCTATCTATAAACTAGTTTTTGGTCTCTGTCCTTTTGATAAAATATTCTGTGTTATTCAGTCATATACGCGTAAGTCTTCAGGACTTGTGTGGACTTGACGACAGTACTGTCATTTTGATCAATTCTCGGCAATCAAGTCAACAAGTTGCTCAGGATTATGGGTCATTTTATCATTTTAGGGTCCAACTGGCGACATTTTTTCCTGCTCCTATTTACGTTGGTACTTTTTAAAGTACCATTCAATTATCATTATTATTAATGACTTCAAACAATTTTTTATTTGTTGGGAAGATAGCTTGCTATTCACTCTTGGAAGATGACTGCATTATTTAAGGAATAAGGAGTGCATCATTATTATAAAATCATAGATGTCAGATGTAACAGGAACAGGAAAAAAGTGGACCCAAATTTATAGAATGACCATTATACATCCGTGCACACCTTTAAAAAAAAAATGATTGATTAATTTTCTTCAACCTGTAGCCTGTTCAAAATATGTTTGCGCAATATTTGTCGTAGCTCAGACTATACAGGTCAAGACATTTTGCTCTGTAAAAATTGCCCCAAGGTTTGATCTGTGTATTTATAGTTTGACATTCAACATTTCCCTTCGCTGGAAATATTCCGCATCTGTGTTGGCAGTTGGTTGTAGGGTAGATTGGATGAATGCCAAGATCTCATGCATGCCAGGGACGTAGTCAACAACGAGTCCATCACAAGTCCCTTGAAGTCCTCCAGTCCCACTTTGAGTCACAGACTATTCAAATGAGCTTTGACAAAGGCATTTCTATGTTTTGTTTATCCACTGTTTCTTGTGACTGTGATTTACCATAACTGGATTGATGGCCTTGTGGTATACTCGACTACATCTCTGATGCATGCGGACAATCCAATTTGAGTCCATCTAGGACACAATAACAGTTCTAGTTTGTTGTCTTCTTTCTCCAGTCCTGCAGAAGCTGTACAGTAAAGCTAACCAGCTGGCTGGCCCTCTGCCACCGACAGTCACCGCCTGGCCGGCCTCCATGCACTCCCGGGCCGAGCGAGTCCACTCCCTCCCGGCGAACCTCAACCAGTACCGCGGCAGCCAATCACAGTCCACCGTCAACCCAGTTAACCAATCACAGGCCCCGTCGGGTCGTTTGAGCTCGGGCGGTGAACCAATCAAGCGCATCCTCTCGTGGGACTCCGGGGCGGCGAGACGTGGCGGTGATGACTTCCAGCCCGAGGCGAATGGCGCCAGCTTGAAACAGCGCCCTCTGAGTCTGGATGTGTCCAGTCACTATGACGTCAGTGCCGACTGCCTGCCTCCTCAGGAGATGCAAGTTTCTCCCCGCGAGGCTGAAGATGAGGTTAATTTGGTACAGAAGAAAGGTAATATTTCAATACTGTATCTTTTGATTTTACATTATATGTGATGCAATCAAGCTAAATGAGTCGTTTGTCGGGAATTTTTATGTAGAGATCAGACCAAAATAGGGCCACTTCATCACATCACTTCATCACATCTCTTGGTGTTCCGACTTCCATAATTTTCGAACTAAAGATGGTATCAGCATGCGGTTTTCACATCAGTAATGCTGAGATTGTGCTCTTTTCAAATCTGTAATAAAAATGTTTTTGACCAGGGTCGACAGATGACTCGTGTAGCTTGATCGCATCACATATTTTTTATATATTGTTTAAACTTGCTTCTAGATGTTGAGATTCAAATCTTGCTTCAGTAAATCTTCTTTGTAAATTTCGCATTGAAAAGATTGTACATTGAAAAGATATGTTTTAATGTCCATTTTTTGTGTGTAAAAGATACCGTTTTTGCATTTCATACCATTATCTGTTGCCTGTGTCCATTTCAGCTCTTGTGACGTCAATAGAGTGCGCTGTTGAACACATACTCAGCCACTTCGGCCAAGCAAGGACAAAGACTTTGGAAGAAAAGGTAGGGGGAATGCATTCATTCATCAGACTATCAACAAGCTAAACTTGTTTTGAAGTTTGACCACCAATGTTGGTTCACTGTCCACTGTAAATATGTAGCTCAAAGTTGCCCAAGTACAACAGATTACAATGACAGGCTTTCATTACTTTGATGTTGTAGAGCTCAGCCACTATGTCTTCCAACGAAGTGGAATTAATTTATCAATATTGGACATACATGTAGCACATGTATACCATTACCTTATGACAGAGTGCGGGATTTCGGTTAGTTCATAAATGTTCCAGGCACTAATGACAAGGGGGTTAAGGGGATTTGACCTCCACCTCTACAAAATTGCTTGGGGATTTAACCCTGAAACATTGCAGGAATTTGTAGCAAATGTACCTAAACTTTAAAAATGAGGGATTAAAAGAATATGATCAGTTTTGTGTTTTCTTGCAATCTTTCATTGGGGAAAAAATCTTGGCAAGTCCTAATATTCAGAGAAACCTATACATTTTGAGTTTGTGTTCAGACTATGCTTAATTTTGCTTTAATGATACTTATTTTTGCCTTCACATAGGGTCGCCTGGGCAGCACCGCTCACAGTCCGGACATTGGCCATCTGATGCTTCACTACTTGTGTCCAGCCATCCGAGCCTTACTGCAGGACGGACTACGGCCACATGTGACCAGCTTCTTTGTGGGACGTTTGAAGACAACGCTGTGGGGCGTTGTGGAGACAACAGCTCAGCTTGGTAAGTGGTCCCCCTCAAATCTTGAGAAATCTTCCGGATATTTGTTAAGGTTTCGTTCGAGTAGCTCACCCGGAATGACCTGGGTAAAGGCAGACCAGAGCAGTGCTAATAAAATGCTCAAACCAAAACCATCACGATCAGCTATTGACAGAATGCCCCTTATAGACTGAGTCTTCCTTTGAGACGCACTGCTGCATTTCCGTCACTCGCAAGAATGAACAAAATTGGGTTGAAATTATGGCCTCTAAAGTTGCAAAGAGCTCCAGAAATATTTTTATGTTTAGACTTCAAATAATAAGACAAGATCAGTTTGTGGTAGCACCATGTGAATATATCTCTTTTCAGACCCACTCATACTCACAAAAGAGATTTATTCACATGGTGCTACCGCAAACTTATCTTGTCTTAGTATCTTTCCACCATGCAAACCTTCAAATCTCATCAGACTTCAAATAAGTTGTTGTTTTTGGGTCCACTTGAGCTTATCCACTATCGGCTGCCATATTTGTCCGTTTCTTGGAATGAACAGGGCATGTGTGTAATGTATTTCTGACCCTGCTCCCTAATACAGAATGAGCAGGGTCTTTGGTGGCTGACCAGGGTGAGGCCCCAGTATGATGTCAGAACTACTCGAATGGTACGGGGCTAACCTGAACCTATCTGGGTGAGCTATTGAAAGCATCCTAAGGTTTGCCAAAAACAGGTCTCCGGCCAGCAGCTGAATGTTCACTGCTTTCACTAGTTCTTAGCTGATTTTTGCTGGACACATATATGTGAGGTGTTATGACAAAATGAGATGAACTGGGCAAAGGCCATAGTGGAGAAAAAAAGTGCAAAAACAAAAACCAAAAAAACACTGGGGGGGGGCATTTTTTAAAGATTTTCATATTGACATTTTGGTCGGTCACTGGTTTTTGCTCAGAAAATGTTTTATGCGCTAAGTAAGATTCTGTGCTTAGTAGCTCCATGATATTAGCGCCAACTGTCTGCAGCTTCCTTAGCATAAAATAGCTGGAGTGCTTTCGACGTTCCCCAACAAAGTCCAGCACGTGGTTTGCATTATTTTAATGGAATCTGTACTCAACAACCCAGCTACTGTTGCTATTACATGGTGCTTACTGGCCCAGTTTTTGGTTCAAGTCCAAAAAAACATGTTATTGGTTTACTGCGCTGTGTTGTATTTTGGTAGTCTCTGAAATTTTGTAATCCAAAATGCGCTTGGAATTAGATTGATATTAGGAAATCAAAATGTCTTGGTTTTTGTTTTATGTGTGACTGCAGGTCCAGGCACCAGGCCCCTACACGAGCTCGTCAGGCACCTATCCCAGCAGACTTACCTGAAGACGTCAGACTTGAGAGTCAATGCATTCATCATGGGACTCCTCAAGTAAGTTCAGAATCATCGTAAAATTTGACATCAAAAGTTTGATCGATTCCATGTCTCACTTACAAATTTCCTTGCTTTGTATATCTTATGAATCACCTTTTCACCCACGTATCTTGGTTGGTGGGGGGGGGGGGGCACAGTATGGTAGAAAAACAATGTCACCACACTTTTGAATATTCAAAAGGTAATGTAATTTGTCCCTTTTGAATATTCAAAAGGTGATGCATAGCACCAGAACTTCTATTCCGTACTTTCATGCACACAGATTTGGCTGCTCAGCTTATCAGAAATCAACCCTGTGTTGGCAGTGTGTTTTTTGCCTGTGCGGGATGTCATCCATTATCCATTTTTCGTTCCCTGTTTTTCATGTTTTAAATTTTTTATTACAGCATCCGATGTCTGGAGCTGTGGCTTGAGCACATCAGGGACCATCCAGGTATGCTTGTCGTGAAATACTTCCCTTTTTTTTCCCCGTCATAGCATCTTTCTTTTCATAACCTTTGTGTTAGTGAATCAGACTTTGCTTATCTGAGTACTGTGTTACAATCCAGGAACCAGAGCAATGTTGCAATACATTGATAACAGTTTTTGTGTCGCCTAGACAACGTTTTGGGAGACTCTAACCATGGGCGTCGCCAGGATTTTTTCTAGAGGGGGGCAAAACAATTTTTTGCAAAAAAATGCTTGTATTTCTCAACACATTCTCGATTTATCAGTTTTAGAGGGGGGCAGGGACATTTTGCCCCCCCCCCAACTCATTAAATATACACCACTTTGTCTTCGCGCCTCTTTTTCTTTTCTTTTTTTTTTCTTTTTTTTTCCTTCCTTTTTGTTTTTGTTTTTGTTTTTGGCTTTTCCTGGGGGGGGGGGGGGGCAAGTGCCCCCCCTTTGCCCGCCCCTCGCTACGCCCATGACTCTAACCAGGTCCTAAATTCTGTATGACCGTAGACCCGTAGATTCCTAGACCCTTATATTAAAGTTTTGAAAAAAATCTATAACTTCTACATGCTTTCATGGATTTTGACGAAACCTGGATGCAGTGACCCTTGGGTGGGAAGACACAATTCCTCATCGGATTACTCAGGTCAAAGGTCATGTAGGGGTCATTAGGGGTCATTGTTCGAATATGCGTCAATTAAAGGCTTCTTTGTCTACAGAATTTGATGGATTTTAATGTAACTCGGATGGAGTGATCCTTGGGTGGGGATTCATCACAACTCTTCTGAAATTGGAGGTCAGAGGTCATCTGAGGGTCAGTTAGGGTCATTGTTTAAAAATGCACAAAATTTGACTTTTCTTGAGAACACAAAACATATAGGGATCGACCGCGAAAAAAGGCGCCACATGTGGTCCGCGGACCACTTGTTTTTTGAAGTTCTGTTTTTGAAGAACTTTCAACAGTTCCTCTTAGATTAAGTCTTACTGTTTTAGTTGGAAAAACTAGCTGAAATGAACGCAATTTAACACATTTTGTTGGCCTTGTTTGGTTGATTTGTCGCCGAACAAGTCTTCCTCTCTGTGACAGACTCAATCAGTGCAGCGTTAAGGCTCTCTCCTCCAAGTTCTAAGTACCCTAGCTGGGTGTTTTTGTTAGCGGAACGCCAGACGCTTATCGCATCCTGTCAGGGGGGTCAGCTCGGAGGGTGGGCCGGCTACCGAGAGAGAAGATTCAATCAGGAAATGACTGCCGAGGATTGTGGGTTGACTCATCCAGCTCGGCTATTATTGGCCGTGGAGGAGGTTTAAAGGCGTATATAGGATCATTCGCTTCTCTTGCAGTTTGTTCGTTTCCAATAATAACACCACTCACAGTCCAAAGAAGACTGTTCAAAACCTAACGTGTTGACGTTTCAGCTCAGTGGATATTACACTTTTCAAGAAAACAGTAAAAAAAAAAGTCACACACAAGCTTTTGTCAGTAGCACTCTTTTATTTCCCCAAATCAGTCAATTGACTGATCGTTGGAAATCACCTCCATGTCTTGATTTCCAACAGCAAGCCATATTCAGTACCAGTATGATCTTTAATCCAAGTAAGCTTTTGATAATAATTTGGACGGTTACTTTTGGGATAAATGCAAATGATCCTTTATGCCTTTAATGAGACCTTAACCCTCGCTATAGTCCAAACACTACCCCAAATCTAACTCAGATGAACGGCTAGGTGCTGTTGTCCTTATAACTTTTCGGTTACTCACGTTACATTTTCGTAACGTGAGTAACCAATTTTGTGCGTCTTGTTTATCATACATAACACAATTTTTTGGATGTCATCTTTGGTGCTTAGGTAGGTCTAGGTCTACTCTATCTACCATGGGGATAACAGTTATGAAACCTTTTCAGTAAGGTAATTACAGCCCAAGTTAACTCAAAGTACATAAAAAATGTAACGTGAGTAACCGTGGAATTGCCCATATGAAAAAATGTCATTTTCCTGCCCGTATGGATGAATTGACTTTGCTTTGTACATATGACAGAGCGGATGACGGACTGGCCCTTTAAAGCTCTTAAACCTGTGCTTTCTTCAGGATAGCTGACAATCCTGGCAAGCTGATGGCAATGGACAAATTTGACAGCAGTGACAGATAATAGCATGACTGTTGTCAATCCTCTTAATCCCTGTTACTACAGATATAGTCAGGAGCCTTTACGAGCCCAACGCGTTCCTGAGTCTCTGCAACGGCGCCACCAAAGCCTTCTTTGACCAGCTCTTGGTTGCCGTTCAACCACTCACGCTTCTCCCCTTTGATCTGGACTACAAGTTTGAGCACCAGCGATTGGTGCATCAGCTCAACCAGCAGAGGCAGAAGGAGCAGTTGATGGATCAGTACGCCAACAAGGCCAGCAATGCTGTCCTGACACAGACCCATGCCTCAGCGGGAGGGAGTTGGCTCAGGGGAACAGCCAGCTTGCTCTGGAGGAACCGGGAGGGGGCGCAGAAGCCAGAAGAGCCCTCTCCAACTGGAACAGTGACCTCATCATCGCTTGGGTTTCTGAAAAGCCTGAAAGGACAGAGGTCGGTCGAGAGAACTAAAAATAGTCGGTCCTCAGAACAACCTGTTCCCGGGATGTGGAAGACCGACGAAAATGCCACCCCTACCCAGGGAGTGGAGCAAACCAGAGACCTAGTTACCAATAAAGAGGCGGCCAGCAATTGGTCCCTTGATTGGATCAAAGGATTTGTGGCAGCCTCAAAGGAAGCAACCACTACTACTGTAGGGGTGAGCAGTACCAAGACGATGACATCGTCGGGGTCAACGTGGAGCAGATTTGGAAGCAGGTGAATTGGCTTGTATAGTATTCTTGGATAAAGATCCTTAAGGATCACAGTGTAAGACTGCTAACTGTACTACTGCTTTTTCAATGACTTGAGAGGTCTGTATGTTGCAAAGAGAGGATACCCTGTAGTGTACTCCAGTAATACAAGAAATATCTGACAAGGTCACAGGAAAAGATCCAGAATAGCTTTGCTACTTTCGCCTTAATGGCCGAACAGTGGAAATAATTGGAGGAAAGTTAAGTAATATCTTGTTAAAAAAAAAAACTGTATCACCAAGTCACTTTCAAAATGTGGGTTATTGTACCACAACATAATGTACTGTCATATCGAGATTGTTATGGTTAATTCCAACAGTTAGCCACTACCAGATGTAATTGAGACATCCCATGTTTTGGGGGGACTCGGCCAAGAATCGCTGGCATGTTGAAATTCAGCATTAGTAATCACATTGCCCCAAAATGTGCTCCTCTTGCGGTGAACTTGTTACGCATCTGTGACAAGCCCATATAGGTGTGCCAGGGTTTGCTGCCAGTCAAGACAGCAGACTTTAATTCCTAACATCCTGCCATAGATCAGCCATAACATTTCTGTGAAACACGAATTGGCCGCAGGCTTTATTGAGAATGTTTACTTTCCAACTGTCCTGTTTGCTTTGCGCAGTCAACTCCTGTTTTTTGGGGGGTTAAAGGATGGGAAGGGCGTAAGGGGGAGTATTCCACCCCCAACCCCCCAACACATACACACACACTTACCTTCCATACCTACTGTGGACATTCCTTTGTATTCGTGTAGTTAAGAAAAAGAGGAGATAAAATCATTTTAGATGCACTGTGAACACTCAATCCACATTTTTTATCCTGATTTCCTTGAGTGTTCCTCTTCATTTTGTGACAGAAAACCCTAACCCCAAAATGCCTCTATAACTGTTTTTCTAGAGAGGGGGAACGTAAGTGTGGACGTGTGCAAGTCAACAGAATGTTCACACTTCCTGCATTTTGTGGACCTCTTTTGTTCGCAGGTCCACAAAGAGTATGCAATGTTAGAGCAGACAGAAGCAAAAACCAAAAAAAAAAAAAAATGAAAAAAAAAAAAATAGTTAAAGATAAACAAATAATTTTTCTGATTTCTTTCTGAATGTTCTTTTCTTGAAAATTGCTTCTAAACTTCTTTTCGTCTGTCCTAGTCAGTTCACAATTAAAGTTAATTAGTGGGAGAAAAAAGCTTTTTGTTTACCTTCGATTGTGTTGCAGTCAAAGCGATTTTTCTGGAAAACCACATTGCACTACTACAAGTATTTTAGCGGTTGTTGGCTAAAATAGGACTTGAGCCCAATGTTATGTGTTATGGCGCCAATTTGTGGGATATGGCCCAATTTCCTTGAGGGTGGCTCCAATTTCCTTTTAGGCCCCAGTTCGTGGCTTCTCTTAGTTTGGAATTCAGGGCAGATACCCTTATGGGCTAACATGGTTAGCTCAAAATGTATTGGTAGTTACAGTGTAGTTTGTTTTAGTAGTACAGGTCGACAACTCTGTCCTTCAAGCTACAAAAATGTTAAGCATAGTATTGTCTTCTTATGTCTCTGTGCATCACCATTTTTTTTTGTGTTACGGTCAAAATCAGCAGAGGCTTGTACCAGTTCACGCCGGGAATATTTTGACAAGAACGGAACGAGGCGCGGGATTACTTTTTCACTCGACCTCAATGCCAGGCGGGTTGAAGCCATCACCCTTGGGCAGCACACTCGTATTTCTGGCCTCGCTCGCTGCGAGTGGGTCGCTGACAGATATTTCCGGTCTCGCTCCCTGCGCGTTTATCCATCATCCGTTCTGAATACTGCAAAACCCTTGCGTGTATACACGTCATCCGGCGCGAACTGGTAAAAAAGGGATAGGGCTGTAAAAGTCAACTGACTTTATGCACAAACAAAAACCCCTACCTCTGTGGCCTCAAGGGAATCCAGCAAACATTATTGCCACAATGGATTGAGTTGTGGCAAGACGAAAACATTTTAAGTTTCTTCTCACTTTGTGGTCTTCTTTTCCCGCCACAGCCTTTCCAAGGCCTTTGAGCGCATCAGACCTGACAGCACAGCCTCCACGACCCAGCAAACGTCAACACATCAAGACAAAGCACCCAACAGAACACCAGAGAAAGAGACGACTCTCTCCGGGCAAGCGGAGTCTCCTCGAAACTTAGCACCGCCAACCAGTCCTGTCTCTCCTGGGTAAGTGTGGTCAAACATGACAATCATTTAGAAAGTAATGTCAACATGTTGCCCAAAACAGAATCAATATCATCTAATATTCTTTGATTATTTACACTTTGTTTGTATCTAGTTTTGTTTTTATAGTATTTATTTTCAATGGACACGGAATGCCTCTTTAATTGATATTTTGGGCAGCAAAACATTCAGTCAACAGACAAAAGCAGGCAAGAAGTAGGCAAAGCTGGTTTTTCAATCACCTACAGTCAAAGCATACATGTAGCTGTATCAAGTAACATAACCAGTCACAGCCAGTCAGTCCTGCTTTATGTATCCTGGGAGCTCTTAACTGTTGAAAATAGTCACTCGATTTTGACTGAAAAGACTACTTGCACAGAACGTATGTTTACATAGGAGGGTTAAACAGCAGCAACTTATGCATCAAAATTTTAGGTTTAACCCATTAGTCCCTGTACTGCGCCAAACCGTACCAACTCGCCCTAAACCACCCTGCAATGTAATACATTGTAGTTTAGGTGTAAGTGGACTAAAAACCTACTATTGATAGAACTTTCACAAACCGCCGAAAAATCTATCCACTTCCTAGCTCTACCACAGCATATGTACAGGCTGGTCACCAACTACCAGAACCCCAATGAATTAAACCACATAACTGCCAAAACCTGTTGAAGGGGTTTGATAGATAGGGTGACATTGAATACTGCTACAACTTGTCTAGCAGCCGTCTTTAGAGGGCAGTGCCTTTGCTTTGCTGGGATATGCATGAGTGAACCTTTGTGCATTCATTGTTTCTAAACTAAATCCATCATTGACAGGCACTCAGCAGGGCTGACCCACCATATCTATCAATGTCAGTCCAAGCATGATACCCTCAGTTAACAAAACCACCACAGCCTGTCAATTGTACCAATATGAGCTTAACTTACAAAACTGTGAAAACCTGCCACCTGATATATTTTGACGGATAGGGTATCTCTCTCCATGTTGTCATTGAGAGAGGGAGGGTTTGAAGGCAAATTTGGACAGCCGTTTTTCAAACGCTGACTGAATCCCTGATGGTATGTTGTCATTCGTTCCTTATACAGGAGTCCCGTCAAGGCGCGTTGCCATCATGTGACCATGTCCCAGGAAGAGCTCAGCTTCACCAAGGGCTCCATCCTGACCGTGAAGCAGCAGGTGGATCCTGATTGGCTGATGTGCTCCCAGGGCGACCAATCAGGGCTTGTCCACATCGACTATGTCCAGGGAATGGAGTAAACCTACTCAATGACAATTCGCCAGCCTGGAGCAATTTCGGGTGCGAACTATAGTTAACCACAGTTCAACTAACTTCACTCGAGGGAAGGATGGTTGGACTACTTTAGTCGACTATTCGGAACGGGCACGGTTGCATCCCTGGTGACCAATAGCTGTGCACATAATAACTTACAGCAGAGAACCAGGATCAGGAAGTTTTGTGATGACATTTTGACCATCGTTTGACAAGAGGCGTTCTCACGTTGCTATTAGTGCGCATGTGTAAGTTAGGTCACAAATCAACCACTAGTCGACTAATGATCCTCGCCCGGACATGCTCCTGTCTGTGGCTTCACATTGTGACGTAGCAGAATTTGGGTGATTCACAATACTGTGCACCAGCAAGCTGTTTCATCACGGAGACCATTTTGTAACTTCAAAATCGAAATTCGTCCCTGCTTATTTCAGTTTGACGTTACGTGAAAAACACTGAGAACTCTTGCAAATTAAAATGTCTTTTTTTTTAAAAAGAGAACATTTCAATCTTTTCAGAGCTGGTGTCAACCAAATATGCTAGTAATGCACAATATTTTTCAATGTTCATGAAATGGAAATCAATCTTTTTGATCCGGTTTATTCACTGTGGGTATGGCAGGATTTGCACCAACAGCAAGTGCTATGTATTGTGAATGGCCTGAATTGCGGAGTCTTCATTTTGGTGACATTACAAAATCAAGTTTGTTTTGGTTAGTTTTAGTTTGTTTTTGTCCAAAGTTCTGTTCAGGGTAGTCTTCACTTTGATGTGTTTTTGTGTGGGGGATTTGATCTCCAAGAATGTCAGTGACAGTGACAGTATAACGTTACTTTTTCATGTGTTATTATACATTGACTGATGGGTTATAATTCTATCTTTTGTTTTCTCAGTTTTTAATCAGTTGTTTGTATTTTTGGCAAATCTTAAATAATTCATCTATTTCAAAGTATTCAATCAGACAATGGCATCCAAAAATCCAAATTATTAAAAGCTCGTCTCAAGCAAAACCCAAAGCAAATACGTATGAATAGATATTGTACTTCCGATGTTTTCAATATATGTCGGTATATCAAGTCAAATTGGTTACTAAATTCTGGGTTTTTGACAAGACAACTTCACCAAGTTGGACAATATTGTGGCACACTGTTTCTTGGTCCTGTGTAATTGTGACATAGATTAGTACAACAGTTATGGAATTCCAAATGTTTGAAAGTTCTTGAATGGAATGTGTTTTAAACTATGAATTTTTGCTGCCCCGTAACTTGGCATAGAACAGTATTTACAGGTTACTAGTCACCAGGGCCCAATTTCACGGCACTGCTAAGCAAAATAAAATATAATGCTTAGCATAAAAAAGCCTGGCTTACAAAAGCAGTTTACCAGCCAAAACTCCACGTGATTTTCATGCTATAGCAAATAACAGCTGAATACTAATCACAAGCAATATACATCACTTGGAGTTTTGGCTGGTAACCTGCTTTTATAAGGCAGACTTTTTTGTGCTAAGCAAATTTTTGTGCTTAGCAGCGCCATGAAATTGGCCCCAGTCTACCCAAAGGTTTTAGGTTGTTTTTTTCCTTCAAAGCACTGCATAGTCAAAAAATTGTGAATTGAGCAAGAATTTTCAGTTTGTGCTGCACCAAAGATATTGCGCTCTGGGAAATGCAGTGTAGGCATTTAATGAACATTCATGAAAATGGTGACAACTTGCTGAAATTAAATGCTAGATCGAACGGTCATGGCTGGATTTGTTTTTTAGAAGAATTACAGAATTGTTGAATACAAGTTTATTTCATTGTGGGACCATTTATAAAGCACTGCTGTGCAATCTGTGCTTTCATCATAGAAGTTGCAAATACGAGGCATATATTTTATAAGTGACAAGATCAGGCGTGGATCCAGTATGCATAGAAATAGGCAGGCGAGTGACTAGCTGTAGTTGCATTGAATTGATGATAAACCCAAATTATTTGTAGACACTCAGATCATTGGTTCTTAAAATTAGCAGTGCTACGAAATTTGCCAGAGTCTGATTATAAAATATGTATCTGCATGACACACAATCTGTTCTTTTTCCCATTATCATTATTAGAAATTCACTTGTATTATGACTTGTTTTTATATCATAATCTCTGTAAACAATTGAATGTACAATCCACGTGTTGTCTTTTTCTATTTAACACTTATTAAACAAAAGCAATATAATCATTGTAGTGGGCGAGTGCTAGACCCCCAACATAACTTACCAAAACACACGTGATTTATTGAAGTTCTAACTTCTTTTTGTGAGGGAAAATTGAGTTGAGTCCCTATAACATCACGCGGCTATTTTCGTTTCTCTGTTCACCTAGCAGTAGCCCCATAAATGTGGCCAATTTACTGGACTACCTCCGTAAATAAAGGCCACACTTGGAACATGTACCCGAATATGTAGAACTTTGTCAAGTTTTGATTTTCATATTTAGACTTTGTTTGTAGTTTATTTACACTTTAGAAGCACACTCACCCTCTTATAGCAATAGAAAAGAAGTCCAGCATTTTTCAGACGTCTATTTTTTGTGTAATTTCGTGTTGGAATTTAGATATGCAAACGTCTGCAAAGGAATCTGGGAATTACACAAAAAGTAGACGTCTGAAAAATGCCGAACTTCTTTTCTATCTCTAGGGTGAGTGTGCTTCTAAAGCACAAATAAACTACAAACAAAGTACGTATGAAAATCAAAACTTCACAAAGTTCTATATTTCTGGGTACATGTTTCAAGTGTGGCATTTATTAACGGAGGTACCGGTAGTCCAGTAAACTGGCCACATTTATGGGGCTAACCTAGCAGTTATTTGCTTGTGACAACCATTGACTGTGCTTACAACCCAAACATAAAACCTATGTGCAAACACTGCATATACATAAGCCTTAAATACAGAATGTATACACATGCAAAAGCCTAAATTAATATCTATGATTCTTTTTAGCTCTTTGTGCAGGTAAACTTAACAGTGCAATATTTATAAAAAAAAATACCCATTTTAGTTTTGACTAATACAATTAAGAAATGGTGTACAGTGTATATTGTCATTTGAAATACCATCTGTCAGTGTACATGTAGCTGCCTAGTAATCTGTGTAACTAACTTGCCTGATGTTTCGTAACTTGCCTGATGTTTGATAACTTGCAGGTCATATGCAAATGAGTCCGAGATTATTGTGTTTGGTAATATTTAACAGTCGTATAACTTAACTCCATTTATGTAGTCCAGTACTAGACGTGGAATCTAACGAAATCTAATACGGCTGTAAGATTAGAATCATTGTAAATGCACTATTCCATGTGGTAGATTTCCATTCCAATTGAGTTGAAATGATCATCAGGGCCCAGTTTCAAGGCTTTGCTAACGACAGAATTCCGCGCTTACGATCACCATTTCGTGCTAACCGTGCTAGCAGAAAAATTCCGTGCTAACCCTGTTAAGCACAGAATCCTTAGTCACAGGATGTACACATGCGCCGAAGCCAAATTCCTCGCTAACGTGTGAAGTACGCTTACCGTAAGCACGGCATTTTCTGCTATAGTAAGCAGGGATTTTTCGCTAACTGTAACTTTGTGTGACTCTGTAACTCCTGAAGACGGTCAGAGCATACTGACCGGTACGTCGAGTTTATACCTCTGGTTCTTTTCAGAACCATTCTCTTAGTTGAGAAATTATTCGCACATGGTTTTTCCGCAAACCTTTCATCATTTAGTATCTCCACCATGCAAAGCCTCAAATCTTACTTAACTTTGTGTGAGTAGAGTCAAGAAATTGGGTCCCATTTTCCAAACTTCATCGCTCTGCTAACCATAGAATTAATGCTTACAATCAACATTCTGTGCTAACAGCGCTACAAAGTTCTGTGCTTACCCTGTAAGCACAGACTCCTTAGTTACAGGATGACAGTGGATGTACGCATGCGGATAAGCCGAAACTCCTTGTTAACCTGTGAAATATGCAAACAGTAAGCACGGAATTATCTTCTTCTTCATTCATTCATTTTCATGATGACTTGATGAGTTGGGCCCAACTGTCCCTGTCGAGCGTAGTGTTGGAAAGAGATGGCCCGCTCAGACCAGTTTCTAGCTCGATGGATGTTTTCAGGGTCATGTTGGGACGACCTTTTCGTCGAGGGGCTTCAGAATTATCTGCTACAATATAAGCAGGGATGTTTTTGCCAACGGTATAAGCAGAGCCGTGAAATTGGGTCCAGATGTGTAAAGTGTAAACTAGAATGTAAAAATCCTCACAGGCAGGCAATGTACATTTAATAGTTCCTGTAAATAGTCCTGTAAAATAGCTGTAAAAACTGGATTGTTTCCAAACAACTGCATGCTGAAAACGCCATAAAAAGCAACTTAATCCTGCATGAAAATTCACGATTTTGTTTTGTTTTTGTAGCTTGCAGTATGGCCTTTTCACTTCAGTGAGCATAGAACGCATTGGAATGTTAAGATTCCTTTTTTTAAAGTTGAAAACAGAGCCATTTAATTTTGTTTGAGCACACAGAATCGACTACATTCATCACTTGTGTCTGGAAATTTGTTGATTTGTAAGAAAAAGCTGTGAAAATTAAATGATATCTTCTCCATTTTGCTTTGAAACAATAACTTTTGCCTAACAATAACAGAATTTTAGGATTGAAATACATGCCAACTTAGGGTTGACAAATTTTTGCAAGGTTGAATTTTTTTCTTGTGCAAAACTTTATCCCGATTTATCAAAAATCTTCATTTGTCACTGTATTCAAATTCATGGATCTTAACCAGAACTAAATACCAAATGCATTTAATTTAATAAATTAAATTAAGTTTTAGAGTCCCTTGTGAAAAAACACCCAGTTCATTTGTTTGGTGTATTCATGTTATATATGCATTTTTTATAAAGAATCATTTTTGCACATGAGTTTATTTGTATTGACAATATTACAAATTCTTGCCAAGTTGATAGATGCATTGCATGTTAAACTGCATTAAAAAAAAAATAGTTGGACCGTTATAATCGCTAATTACGTTTTCAGTTATGCAGAACTACTGTCAGTTGTGAAACAGGATTGCTACTTATGCTTTTCATTTGCAGAGTTTATTTTTCATTGCATTTGTTTTGTGTAGTGAAGGTTATTTTTGTGAATGCTGTATGAATTACCCATGTGTATAGTAAGTTCAATGTTGTGTGACACTGCACATAGACAGTTTGGATGAGTGCTAGGTTTTCTTTAAGTTCTACAATAAAGTAGAGGTGTAGTTGTAAGGATGCAACTCAACATGATGAAATGTAAATGGGAAGGGACAACTTGGTTCTTATTTGATTAAGCTATTACTGTAACTTTTTGTGTGTAAAATTAATGTGGGTGGGGTGTTCAGGTTGTGTGATCTCAAGGAATGAAAGTTGGTGTAGTATATGAAAATAATAAACCAGCATAATGTAGCAGAAATGAAAAAGAACAAGAACATGTTTCCTTGAATGATTTTTTTTTGTCAAGTTATATTCAGTAGAACTTGTCACCAGTCCATGGTCTCAAGTTTGGACAGGAAAATTTGTCTTGCTGTAACTGCAGGTTAGCCTCTGATATAGAGACTACCCCTTTAAAGGTAAAAATAAGAATCTAAGGACCTCTTGGTGGCGCCCTTCCAATACCGAATTTAGTTTACAGAAACTTTACATGACGGTAAGCTTTACAGCAGTAGGCCTAAATTTCGGCTGCATGGTCGGCTGCTGCTAGCTTGATATTGAAGGTACGTACTTCACATCATTATGGTGCATCATACTGGTAAAAAGCGTACTTCAGGACACCTCAATTTTTTTTCTAGTTCCGTTCAAAATGACTTTGCAAATGACTGGAAAGATTCCCATATCTCATCTGGCATGTCTGGCCATTAGGGCCTAGTACTAGTAGTAGTACACTGTACACATAATTAACAGGTAGTAACAGGAGCGTAAAAATAAAAGGGCGATCGTGAAGTGTAGGGCCCCTGTTTTGTTTTGATCAAATTTGAGTCAAAAATGTTTTTTATTGCTCAAAAATCACTTTTGCAATCAAAAGCAGACTTTTCTCAATTCGGAGTAGGGCCTAATTGCAGAATACCCCGCCACTCGGAAATACACCCCTAAATTCTCTGGCTACAAGGTAGCTGGAGCTACCCAGCCCTGAGTTTTATCATTGGGTTGTCTATTAGGGCTGGAGCGCATTTTTCTCAAAACTTGTAGTATTTGCAAAAAAATTTGGAAAATGTTCAATTTTGTCCCCGTTACACACTAATTGCAACTGCAACTCACCCCAAACTTGCCTGGAATAACCATTACACAGGTCCTTGAAGTAAAAAACGATCCACGATGAAGATTCAGCCTACAATTGCAGTGAAAACAGGAGGAATAACCGCTAACTTGACAACCTTGCTGGATTGGCCAGGACCGCTATTGGTTTGTGCACAAAAAAAATTGTGTACAATGAATGGCGGTCGATTAACAGGCACAGAGAGCGATCGCTGTCAACTACTCGTTTTGCCGGCTGTGCTGGCTGTTGGCGCATGACGTCACGCGGAAGCGTAACACCCGATAACTGTTTCATGCACTATTGGTTGCGGTTCCAGTACCAAAGCTGTGATGCGAGTGGTAAACCTTATACTAGTGCATGAAACAGTCATCGGGTGTTACGCTTCCGCGTGACGTCATGCGCCAACAGCCAGCGCAGCCGGCAAAAACGAGTAGTTGACAGCGATCGCTCTCTGTGCCTGTTAATCGACCGCCATTCATTGTACACAATTTTTTTTGTGCACAAACCAATAGCGGTCCTGGCCAATCCAGCAAGGTTGTCAAGTTAGCGGTTATTCCTCCTGTTTTCACTGCAATTGTAGGCTGAATCTTCATTGTGGATCGTTTTTTACTTCAAGGACCTGTGTAATGGTTATTCCAGGCAAGTTTGGGGTGAGTTGCAGTTGCAATTAGTGTGTAACGGGGACAAAATTGAACATTTTCCAAATTTTTTTTGCAAATACTACAAGTTTTGAGAAAAATGCGCTCCAGCCCTAATAGACAACCCAATGATAAAACTCAGGGCTGGGTAACTCCAGCTAGCTACAAGGTTGGAATCTATGGAAAAGAAACAATTCAAGTCCATGCCAGCTACGCGGATACTGAGTGGGTGTCCATTATTTGAGAACGAAGCAACACAAAAGGAAAGGGAGTTGCTGAAAAAAATTCTAAGTCCAAACCAACTACCCTGTTGGCGGCTACGCGGTTACGAAGTGGGAGTGCAATGGAGCATGACGCATAGTACATACAAGTAGCACTGAGAATGTTTATTGAGGTCAACCAACCGTAACCTCGTAGCCGGCTACGAGGTGGATAGATCGAGTGGTGGGGTATTCTGCAATTGTGCCCTCAATTCTAATGACACCCGCATGACCCGTTTTGCGATTTTGAACAGGTTCTTGGGGTAGAATTTAAATAACGATTTTCCTGCGCAGTTTGTGCCTTGCGATTCAGCGCGCCGTGCGTGCTCAGGGTACATCATGCCGTGATCGCATTTTTATTTTCGGGTCGCGGGTTGTCGCCGCGCTGTCATTGTCATTTTACCCCCAAATTTCCCTCAAAAAGTCAAAACCCTGCCCTCTATCTATGACATACCTGTTTATACCCCGCAAAATTGTTTGCTGCTACAAAAAACCAACTAAGTACAAAAATACATCAAAACACAGACATTTCCCACAGAACCGCTGCACAGTTTGCCCCTAAACTCCGTACTATACCTCTTGACAAACTCGCGTAAGTTGCGCCTAACAAACATCGGTGGATTCTGTCGGTTTTTAGGCCAAAATGATGAAAAATATGCCCTTTCCGCACTGAGCCAACCTTACACTTGAAACGTGCACACAGAATGATCATTTCGCTTGTACAAGTGAAATGATAGTATGCGCATGCGTACAAGTGCAAGTACCATATCCCCCCACCCAGCGGCGCGTGCCGAGCGAACCGAAAATCATTGATCGATCATTCTGCGTGCACATTTATCATTAACACCAACTATTCAGTTAAATCCCGAAACATAAAAGTGTGTTTTCTTTCTCTTATAGTGGAACAGGGTCCTAAACATCAGTTTCACCCATTTATTACGTAGTCCGAAAAGTTGGAACTCTCAATACTGAATATGAGAGCCCAGAAACTTAAGAAACTTGCGAAACAAGAAATTAGACTGGCACATGGAACGACCAGTCCAACACTCCTTCAGTACTGCATCAAACAACTGTGTTAACAAACAAACAATATGCACCCAGTCTCTGTTTTCTTTTCTACACATTGCCATAGTCATGCCACCAGACTACTAAAGGGTCAATCTTTTCAAACAGTTTGAAATGACCAATCTAGTCTTGATACCACTTGGCTCCACATTTGAAGAAAAAAACACTTTTTATGTTGTTGTGTGGGGGATCAGGTGGAAAATTAAGTTGGCTTTAAATGGACTATTGTCATAGTCCAACATGTTTCATCACAGTTTAGAAGCTATAACAATATGAACCAAACTCCTGAAATACACATATCTCCTGTTGATTTTTTCTTTCTTCAGACTTCATATCCAGTAACACGTCATCATGAGCAGCTTGGGTGACAATTCGCTACGCCCACCTGACAAGCCGGATCCAGACCTTGATATCGACACCAGCCTGGTCCAACTTGACCTGAGTGACCCTGACCCCTCTGACCCTAATCTCACTAACGGAACCAGGGAGAACCAACCCCAGTCTGCTCCACAGACTACTGAGGTTGAGGAGGAGTGTGAATATTTCGAGAGTCCCGTACCTGAACACAGCAATGTCATTCTCGCGCAGCTCAACAGGCAGAGACTTGACGGCCGATACCTGGACTTTCGACTGGACTGTAACGGTGTCACGCTGTCGTGTCATAGGTGTGTTCTAGCTGCCAGCAGCCCCTACTTTGACAAGGCTCTGACGGAACTGGAGGAGGATCGAGACTGGCTCTGTTTGGACCACTTGAAACCTTTTGCCCTGAAAGCTGTTCTGGAGTTTATCTACAGTGGGAAGATCAAGCTCTGTGAAGCAACGGCAGCTAGTGTGCTTAGCGCTGCGTGCATCTTGGATTACCATAATATTGTCGATCTGTGCTGCAGTTACATCAGTGGTTTAATCCGTCCTGGGAACTGTCTGGGCATCTTCAAGCTCTCTCAGGAACACGGATGCTCCGAGTTGCAGAGGACTGCATGGCAGTTTGCCCTCGACAGTGCCGAGGATGTTTTTGGACAGGTTGAATTTCTTGATCTCTCAGTGGACCATTTGGTTGAGTTGATCTCAGATGAGGGGTTGAATGTGGAGATAGAGGACGTGGTGTATGAAGCTGTCCTGAGGTGGGTGGAGAATGACATGAGTAACCGTGCCCCGGATCTATGGAACATCTTACAGTACGTCCAGCTGCCCCTCCTTAGCAATAGACTCTTTTCGAGCAGTCTTGAATCTCACCCGCTCATCATCAACTGCGAAAAATGCCGGCAGCTGGTCAAGGAGGCTAGAAACCTGCGGGACCTGGCTCTGAAAGGGAAGGACACTCACAGCGAGTCGCTGAAGCCACGACCATCGATGATGAAGGATGTCCTGGTCGTCGTTGGCGGAATGGAAACCAGTCGACAGTGGGTCAAGGATGTGAGTTACTACGACCCAGCTGCCGAGACGTGGGAGACCCTATCGACGCTCCCCTTCTCACAGACCGATTACAGCGTCGCCTCTTTGAACGACGACGTTTACATCAGCGGCGGCTTCAAAATGGGAAGCGCCACATCAGAGGTCTGGTGCTACAAGACCGCACATGACAAGTGGATGGAAGTCTCCAATCTCAAGCTGGCTCGTTTCAACCACACCTCGACTGGACTGGATGGAATGCTGTACGTGGTGGGCGGGGAAACCGACGACGTAGGACTGACAGAGATTGAAAGGTATGATCCCCAGAGGAACATATGGGAAATCATAGGCGAAGCGAACCCAACGCAGAGTAACCTGACTGTTGCCGGACTCAACCAGAAACTGTACATCGTTGGCTGGCTGGTGCATGCTCAACTCATGTGCGCCGTGCAGTGCTTCGACCTCAAAACCAAAGAATGTATGATACAACCCTGCTCGGGGCTCAACCGACAGATGTTCAACGTCGTCACGTTCCAAGACTTGATTTACATACTCGGAGGAAGCCGTATCAAAGAGGTCGCGATCTACGACCCGGAAACCTATCAATCGGTCAAGGCGGAACCGATGAAGTACAAGCGCAACACACCCAGCGTGGCAGTCGTGGGACGCCGACTGTATGTCACGGGGGGCGAGCTCCGACATCACCTGACCAAAGTGGAGGTCTTTGATCCCGGCAATAATTCCTGGAGTGTGGTTCCACCGATGCCTAAGGCACTGTGCTTCCATGGGTGTGTGGGCATCAGGAAGTACCTTGGCCCACCATACGTAGAGCCCACCAGACGAGATGTTGCAGCAGGTAGTGGAGAATGTCATGAGGTCTTTGCAGATGTCATTGACGTCTCCACCTAAGCCAAGTTTTTTTTAAATTGGCTCAAGAAGTCAGGGTTTTCATGAAAAAAAAAGAACTTTTTTTTCTTGCCCATGCAGATATGTATTCAAGTGTGTTGATGCATTTTCTGTTGTTATCATCCATCTTTTTGGATAATACAAAATGTTATGCTGGATAATATACTTTGATATGTACGTAGTGTTCCGGAGTACGGTATATACAATGTATCTGGAAATTAGTTGAACTTTGCTGCGTGCGTGTCTTTGATGCATTGGTTATAAAAAGAGTGCTATTTTCTCTGTTAAACAGTCATGTTGTACATTTATATAGATGAAATTGTTTGGGCTGTGTTGGAAAAGATGTACATTTTCTGCTATTGATTGATTGCTAAGTGTGAAGACTTGGTATTTTACTTAATTTTATTTTGACTTGTATTTTATACGCCTAAAGTTGTGTTCTTATTGGACCTTTTTGGTAAAACTAAATGGATGCTGTTTTCAACCTTACAGCATCTTGTGACAACTTAACCAAATTAAGTCCAGTGTGAACAGCAGTTAAACTTCCCAAATTGTCAAGTGTTGACTGTCGATTGAAATTTTATAGTCGGAAGTCCGCAGTGGCACGTACATTGTTAGGGTTAAGAGAAACTTTCTTTTCAATTTTGCAATTCTTTTTCAAAGTTTGGTGTGAAATTTCTAATTTTGAAACGAAGTGTGCTAGCTTGATTTGACTGCATTAACTGTCATCTGTTTGAGTGCCTTTTAATTGGCGATCCCAAATAAATGGGTTGTTCGTTAAATTTGGGGTCCAAAAAATTTTCCCGCGCCATTTTCGGCCAAAATTGAAAAAATTGCAAGGGGTTAGCCTTACTTTTTGGTCAAATTTGGCCAAAAATTGATTTTCTCCAAAAAACTCAAAATTCCAGTTGGAATGTGCTCTAGGGACCCACAGGAATCTTCCTTGCAATTTTCAAGCAATTTCATTTTTCGGCCGAAATTGAAAAAATTACAAGGGGTTAGCCTTACTTTTTGACCGAATTTGGCCAAAAATTGACTCTTCTCCAAACAACTCAGAAATGTCTTTGGATGCAAGATGAACATCAATCGACCTTCAAACACTAAACACATTGAAGATTTGGGCAAAAAATCATCGACTTATTGAGACAAAAAATAATAATTTTCACTAATTTTGAAAAAAAAGTATCGAAGCTAATTTTCTTTAAAACGCCCAATCTGTCCAAAATTGCAGTTCCAATGTGCTCTAGGGACCCTCCTGCATCTTTCCTGCAAGTTTCAAGCAATTTCATTTTTGGCCAAAATTGAAAAAAAATTGCAAGGGGTTAGCCTTACTTTTTGATCAAATTTGGCCAAAAATTGACTTTTCTCCAAATAACTCAGCAATGTCTTTGGATGCAAGAGGAACATCAATCAACCTTCAAACACTAAACATATTGAAGATTTGGGCAAAAATCTTTGACTTATTTAGACAAAAATTAATAATTTTCACTAATTTTGACCGAAATTATCCACGCTAATTTTCTTTTAAACGCCAAATCTGCCAAAAATTCAAGTTCAAATGTGCTCCAAGGACCCTAAAGCATCTTCCTTGCAAGTTTCAAGCAATTTCATTTTTCGGCCAAAATTGAAAAAATTGCAAGGGGTTAGCCTTACTTTTTGATCAAATTTGGCCAAAAATTGACTTTTCTCCAAACAACTCAGAAATGTCTTTGGATGGAAGAGGAACATCAATCGACCTTCAAACACTAATGATATTGAACATTTCGTCAAAAATCATCGAATTATTGAGATAAAAATTAATAATTTTTCACTAATTTTGACCAAAATTATCGACGCTCATTTTCTTTAAAACGCCCAATCTGTCCAAAATATCAGTTCGAATGTGCTCTAGGGACCCTCAGGCATCTTTCCTGCAAGTTTCAAGCAATTTCATTTTTCGGCCAAAATTGAAAAAATTGCAAGGGGTTAGCCTTACTTTTTGATCAAATTTGACCAAAAATTGACTTTTCTCCAAACAACTCAGAAATGTCTTTGGATGCAAGAGGAACATCAATCGACCTTCAAACACTAAGTATATTGAAGATTTGGGCAAAAATCATCGACTTATTGTGACAATAATTAATAATTTTCACTCATTTTGACCAAATTTATCGACGCTAACTTTCTTTAAAACGCCAAATCTGTCCAAAATTCCAGTTCGAATGTGCTCTAGGGACCCTCAGGCATCTTCCCTGCAAGTTTCAAGCAATTTCATTTTTCGGCCAAAATTGAAAAAAATTACAAGGGGTTAGCCTTACTTTTTGATCAAATTTGGCCAAAATTGACTTTTCTCCAAACAACTCAGGAATGTCTTTGGATTGAAGAGGAACATCAATCGACCTTCAAACGCTAAACATATTGAAAATTTCGTCAAAAATCATCGAATTATTGAGATAAAAATTAATAATTTTCACTAATTTTGACCGAAATTATCGACGCTAATTTTCTTTAAAACGCACAATTTGTCCAAAATTCCAGTTCGAATGTGCTCTAGGGACCCTCAGGCATCTTCCCTGCAAGTTTCAAGCAATTTCATTTTTCGGCCAAAATTGAAAGAAATTGCAAGGGGTTAGCCTTACTTTTTGATCAAATTTGACCAAAAATTGACTTTTCTCCAAACAACTCAGAAATGTCTTTGGATGCAAGAGGAACATCAATCGACCTTCAAACACTAAGTATATTGAAGATTTGGGCAAAAATCATCGACTAATTGTGACAATAATTAATAATTTTCACTAATTTTGACCAAATTTATCGACGCTAACTTTCTTTAAAACGCCAAATCTGTCCAAAATTCCAGATAGAATGTGCTCTAGGGACCCTCGGGCATCTTCCCTGCAAGTTTCAAGCAATTTCATTTTTCGGCCAAAATTGAAAAAAATTGCAAGGGGTTAGCCTTACTTTTTGATCAAATTTGACCAAAAATTGACTTTTCTCCAAACAACTCAGAAATGTCTTTGGATGCAAGAGGAACATCAATCGCCCTTCAAACACTAAGCATATTGAAGATTTGGGCAAAAATCATCGACTTATTGTGACAATAATTAATAATTTTCACTAATTCTCGTCGAAATTTTATTTGGGATATATTTATTCCTCTACCTTGGTGTATATACATGTATATATCATAAACAAATTTCAGGACTTAGTAAATGCTAATTTCACAGCCATATCCACGGTAACAATTCCTCCGTTTGAAAAGTTCCAAAATGTTTCCATAGTCTGGGCTTGCTGGAGATTATCGTTTATTTTCGTCTTAATTCCTCACAATCGTGTTGATGGAGAAGTGCCTGAAATATTTGAGCAAATAATTGGCCAGAAGTGAGCCTGCGAACAGACATATACATCCTTCAAACATAAAACCCACAACACTCGCCATTCTCTCAAGTTTCCGATGAATAATCACGTTTTCGTTCCGTTCTGTGTCCATTGCATTTTTAGGACTACAAAATAAAGTACAGGCCTTAACTTTGCAACAGGGACCATTAGAAATGGTACACGTATGGGATAGGTATACAGCTCAGAAAATGTCGCCTATTGACCCACAATTGTGCATTATTTCATCGGGTGCATTATTTGTTACAACTGATAATGTAGTAACCAATGAATAATGTATCACCAACCGATAATGACACACAAAATGACCAATACTGTATCACTAACTGATAATGTAACAGAAATTGACCGATAGTGTAGTAAATGTACTACACAGTCGATTGTTGTTACATTATCGGTCTTAACCGGTAATGTAGCAAATATTAACCGATAGTGTAGTAACATTAACTTCACTATCGGTCAATTTTTGTCACATTATCGGTTAGTGATACAGTATCGGTCAATTTGTGTGACATTATCGGTTGGTGATACATTATCCGTTGGTTACTACATTATCAGTTGTAACACTATAAGCAATGTACATGTACATCTCATCTCACGACACATCCAAATATTGAAATGTTTATGTTAGTCTGGTGAAATTATTCACACAAAATGGTGGTTTGGTAGGCAAATTTTCCGTGGGCATACCATTTCTAATGGTCCTTTTATATAGACACAATATGGAATTAAAAAATGTGTTGATGCCAAAGCACCTGGATACCAAAATACCTCGATATTATACAAATATTGAATGCTTCGAGTGGTGTAGTAAAACTAGCCTCCCGAGGTGATCCATGGACCATTCTATTTTCCCGAGGCGAAGCCGAGGGAAAATAGAATGGTCCATGGATCACCGAGGGAGGCTAGTTTTACTTAACCACGAGATAAAGCATTCAATATTTGTTTTATAACACTTCACCCACAGATTCTGCTTGATTTTAATATTTTAAATTATTTAAAATCTGAACACAGTTGAAATATGCTAGATTCACTTACAGTCCAGTAAGGTATTTCATAACAGTTTGGTAGTTTTGTTTTTTGATGTTTGCAAATGTTGTATAGTACCTTTAACATTTTAAGCCTTTCATGGTTCTGTTCCACTCTACCTTCAGAACTTATTATACCTTCGCAACGCCAAACCAAGCTTAAAGTCATCTGGCAGGTTGCTTTCACTTCCCCAAACTCGCCGTACCACCAACACTGACATAGACTTTTTCAAATGTTGCACCCCTGCTCTGGAACACAGCAGATCTCACAGTGACAAAAACCATCACACTCTTCACACATACTCACTGAAACTTGATACGCATCTTTTCAAGCTTGCTTTCCCCATCAACTACAGTTTTGCTTTCTTTCTACTTAATCTAGGTGAACCCCTCTGAATGGCCTTCAGAAAAATGTGCCCTTTAATTTGTATTGTTAAATATTTTGTAAGCATCTCAATTCACAGATTTAAAGTACCCGCAGATTTAAGAGCTTTTGTTTCCTTCACATAAATTCTAGAAAAGTTTCACTTAAAAAAACACAGTACTGTATGTTTGAAAATGAACTCTACTGAACATGAATCCTAGTGGATTGTTCCGTTAACAGAAAGTCAAGGAAATAGTTTTGCGTATCGTCGGAGTAAATAACAAATACTACTTTTATATCACATAATACCTACTTCACAATTGTAATGAATTTTGTACACAATCCAAATTTCTACAGTTTTAGACTCCCGGAGTTGTAGTCAAATCACAAGTAAAGAGTACGGTCAACTACAGGGAATGAACAGTGGCCAACAAAATATGCTTTTAATTGTCACAATTCAATTCAATAGCTTAAATGTATCGCTGGAGTTGACACTGGATGATGTGATAGACTTGTGATTTGAAAAGTCGACAACTCTGCAAATTTCCTTATATAGGTATGTACAATAAATTTGATCTTTATACACGTGCTCGATATAAATCTAACAGTTAGCTCTCTTAGTGTCCCTCACACTGCCACAAGAGGGCAGCATACAAATGCCAAGAAGCAAAGTAAGGCCGCGTTCGAATTGATTGGGTACGTCTGAAAATCACACGCGCACGTGGACTGGAAGTGGCTGCAGCCATTTCCCATAGACCAGTGTGTTGTTTTTAGCCGTATCCAAGTGATTCGAAACGGCTTCTAGAGCTATGGCTACGTCTATTGTCAGCTTGTCCCCACGTAGTTGCAATGGACGAGGACCTCGAACAATAGCTCCAGACAAAGAGTTTCGGATGCGGCTTAATTAACAAATATGTAAAAACAAGTAAAATATTAATTCACCTAGACAGACATTTGTTGTGTGTGCCTATATTGACGATTTTATAACTAGCTCTACTACACAGTCTGTTCCTGGGTAATCGGGGAGAGCGAGCTGATATTTGTGGGCTAGCTCGGGAGGCACGAAGCGACCTCCCAGGTAGTGGTGCTTGCCCTTGAAATGCTCGGCCGACTTCTTGGGCGCGGTCAGTGAGATGAGGAGGTCGGGCTTGAGACCATCTTCGCTACCTTTCTCCACATCCCAGCCTGGAGAGAACAGGTGGAGAGTAAACGAGAAACTAAATTAACCACATTGACTGCAAACACTTGTTTGTCCTTTACTTTTTAGGAGTATGGAGTACCGAAGTGTGACGTCATTTAGAACCAGAAAGTGTAGTGCAAAGGAATGGAGTAAGCGCCATGTTGGTTCACGGGCTGAATCACGCGCTAATGTCTTTCACACACATTTTGTGCGCGTGACGTAGTCACTTCGTTACTCCATTTCTTGATGAACCACAAACTGACCAGTTGTAATTTTAAGGGGGAAAATAAGCTTTGACAAAGAAAACCCAAGACTCTAGGTCCGAAACTCTGGATTCTCATTTCAAACGGGGGGTACCTGAGGGAATGTCGATGCTGCACAGCGGAATCGTGATGTTCTTCAGCGATTTGATGACTTCGTCGAAGGGCGCCCTCGCCTGGCCCGAAAAGCTGAAGCCGAAGATGGCGTCCACGACCAAGTTGTAGCTCATGTCGATGAGGTTGCTGGAGGGCAGATAGGACAGGAAAGGGACGTCCATGTGCTTGCATTGCGTGCTGAGGTTCTTGTAGAGCTGAACGTCCTTCTGCTTGGGGTAGTAGATGGATGGTAGATAGCCCTGTTGAGGAAGAAACGTGGGGAAAAGTGTTGGCCCAATTCCATGGGGATGCCGAGTACTGATACATGGGTCGTTTTATCAATTTTTTTTTCCCGTCCCTGTAACATACCTGACATCTACGGTTTTATACTTCCGATGCACTCCATAATGCAGTCGGCCAAGAGTGATTATGAATAGCAAACTAACTACCCAATAAAGAAAAAATTGTTTGAAGTCACTCTTAATGATGCTTGAATGGCAAATTACAAAGTATCAAGGTAACAGGGACAGGGAAAATGTCTCACTTTTGACCCTAAATTTATAGAATAACCCATGTGTATTTACTCAGCACAGAAAATGTTGGCTTATATCTAAAAACAGGCTATCGTTCAAAATGTCATGCAGTGAATATTGCATGTGACAGGCTCTCAGCTGATTTTGACTTAACATGTAAATTTGCTTAACATTATATTTTCAGTACGCCAGGGGTCCAATTTCAACAGGGCAAGTAAAAAACAAACCGAAACCCAAATGTTAGAACTATTGTTTTAGTGAAGCTCTGCATGCAGCACTTTATAAATCTAGGATATGAAAGCCCAATTCATTAGCTTTCTTTTAGTACCAGTACAAGAATCATTCCAACCACTCATGTACTTTCAACTTACAGAGTTCTAAACACAACCACCGTTTTAAAGTTCTGTCCAAGAATCACAAAAAGGTGTGTGTTCTTTCAGCAAAACAAACACAATTCACACACATCCATCCCTATGTGATTTGTTTTTGTTTCACTGAAAGAACACTGAACTTTTTTGTGATCCATGGACAGAACCTTAAAACGGTGGTTGTGTTTAAAATTCCGTAACTTGAAAAGTACATGAGTGATTTGAATGATTCTTGTACTAAAAGAAAGCTTATGAATTGGGCTTTCATATCCTCGATTTTGAAAGTGCTACATGTGCCCCAGGCACACCTTCAATGATTAATTTCTTCGGAATGACACCATTTCAGGGAACTAATTTCACAAGGTATTTGGTACCAGTCCTATCTTCACTTTGAGCAATGAGTATCTCTTTAACTTGTTAGACTGTATGTTTCTGGGTAATTGCAAATGTTCCTACGCGCCTTTAACATTTGCAATCTCACAAAACATTCAATGGCCTGCAGTTTTATCAACAAAATGAGCTGCGTGAATGCAGCTAATGCCTACTTACAAACAGTTTGAGATGTCTAGCACAGACCAGGCCGTCCCCGCCGTTGTTGCCCGGCCCGCAGCAAACTAGCACCGTGGGCTCAGACTTGGTGAAGCTGTTGATGGGGTACGCCCGGGCAATGGCCGTGGCACAGCTCAGCCCGGCTAGCTCCATCAGCTGGTCCACGCTGTAGCAGTACGTGGAGAATAACTCCTCATCGATGGCTATTGCTTCCTTTTGACTGCAGAAATGGAGAGAGGATATGAGACAAAGTTAACAAGTGACGCTGAAGTCATTTTGATAGAATTTTCTGTAGTTGGAGAGATACAATTTGCGTGAATGCAAATGCAAAGCAAAAAGTGAATTTGACGTCAACAAACATTCCCTGTCAAATTTGCCGGAGTTGAAATGTCTTCAACTCGTGCGAATTTGAAGTGCGAAAGGTTCCTGTGATTTTACCAAGTCACATTTGCGTTGGCTTTTGTGCTGAGTATCTACACGATCCTTAAAACAAACAAATGACAAAAACAACCCAATCAATCTGCAGGAAAATGTGGCACAGTGTCTCAATTGGCAGAAAAAGATTTTCATTTTGAAACTGTTGGGAAGATTTTAACTTTTCACTTCCAAGGCATTTTTGCAAGAACCGCCCCCCCCCCCGCCCCTAGTCTGCAGGAAAATGTAATACACTCCCTCAACCGACAAAACCAAATTTGACTTAACAACCCTTATTATTTCCCCGATGGCACCCTTTAGTCGTGATCAAAAATCCTAACAACTAATAAAACCAACATACTGCATAGAATTTTCAAACTGTATTTTATAATCAATACAATTCTATTCTGATGTCATTCCCGGGAAAAATTGGGATCATCTCTAACAGATAAGCATGCAAATTACGCCAAATACTTCCCTAGTGAGTAGTGACTTTGCCCCAAGGATTTTCTGGGGCTAAGTAAGAAAGGATGCCCTAGAAAAGCAAGAAAATTTAAACACGGAGAAAAACAAAAAAATGCCAAACAGTTAGTCTTGACAAATGCAGGCAAAAACCCCGGTGAACTTTTGTGACCGCAATTAAGATTTCCCAAAGGGGGATGGTAGCATCAGGTATTCTCTGAACACCGATGCATGGGGAAAGCTCTGCGATACACCATTATCAGTCCGTTTCAGGTTAATGAATGACGCACTCGCAAATTTTGACACGGCAAATTTATCTTCATATCTTGAGACGCTCCATCCGACATTATTGCTTTTCTTGTCCGTCCATGCACGTTAACAACCATAAAAAAACCAACCCAAAAAAGGTTGGTCACTTGTACATCACAACCACATTTCTGTGGTGTGTCTTAAAGACTTCATTTCCAAATTCTAGTCCTTGACGCTACCTGACATTCTAGAAAATAACCACGCATCAGACATGACTACATTTTACAGAAACGTGACATGTCAGTAGTTCTTCTTATTATGTCTTTTGTCACGTGCGTGATGCACTCCTTGGCCTAATGACTGCATTTACTGCACAATCAATCCCCCCTGGAATTGCAAAATATCTTTTTTCTCTCAAAGAGCACAACACCATCCCCCATTGGGATGAAAAAGTGATCAATTTTAGGATGAAAAGCTGCAAGACTTTCCAAAGAATGCTTCTATTCTCAACTATGGCATATACATGTACGTATTGCATTTGATGTCTTGCGCTATGGCATCTACGTCTTCCAATAAATGCATCTATTGTGACTACAAAAATAGAAACCAATTGAATTGCCTGACTGCTTATAACATAAACTGACAATACATGGTTTTTCTTGCCATACCATAATCAAATTTAAGAAAATTTAATTTGGTTTTAAAGGTAAAAATACAACATTTGCTTTTGCTGTAATTTTCAGAAATGGATGGATTTGGGGGTTAGTATTTTATAGCAATACCGTTACACACTGACCTGTCTAAAGTTCTGCGTTTATATATTGGAAACAACCCCCCCCCCAAAAAAAAATGCTGTTCTTGTAGTCTGGTTCCCTGACCCTACTTCAGACGAAACAGAGCAAGATGTTGGAGAATCGCAGGTCAGGGAACCATACTAGCTGGCTGGCACCCATTCACCGATGTGTATAACTGATTGGAAACAAAATGTGGACTAGCTAAATTTGGTAAATTGGGGGCAGTATTTGAAGGAAAAAAAAAATTTCTAATGATGACCAGCTGACCGACCATCATTGGAAATTGATACAAAAAATCCACTTTTCTTGAAAATGTCAGCACACCAGGTACCATGATTTTTACAGGATGCTTGAGACTGTCATTCACTAACAGTAAAGTAAGGTATTTCATAATAATTTGGTAGTTTTGTTTTTTGATGTTTGCAAATGTTGTACATGTATATTACCTTTAACCAAAACTGCAACATTCGTCTCTATATCAACATTGCGTACAGTACTAACCCAATCAGTAACCAAACAACTGAAAACATCACTGTACACAGTCTTTCCTGAAATGTGAGATAGCTTGAGATAAATTTTCATCAAATTACTGTTTTGAGGTGTACACTACAGTGATGTATTCTCCGTTCAAAACAAACCGCTCCTTCGTGAGAATAATAAAATCACCTGCTTTAAAATAAAATTTTTTAAAAATTCATGAACCTTTCTTTCCGCTAAGATTAAACCTGACAAATATCCCTAGTGGGCAATGGCAGGTCAAAACACAATGCACTACAAAAGAACTTACACGGCACAAAAAACAAGCTTAAATACACGAACAGGCTTTTAAAAATCTCTTTAAAATCGTTCTTTGATATTTAGGAAGAAATCTTCTGAGGATTACTCGGAGGTATTGCAGGGGCTCCAAAAATCCCCCAGGGATACAAGATGAGCTGTTCTTTTAAAGGAATAACCAGATGAGGTTTCTTTTGGTTATTTTTTGTGGTTTTTTTTGTTGCTGTGCTTTCATTAGAACCGACGTCAGTCGTCCCAATGCCTGCAGCACCTGGTGGCAATTCGGAGTTATCTAACGGAGGCAAATGGGGCAACAAATTCGTTGGTTATAGATGAACAAACAAATAAAATGATGGCCTATGGTTTGCACAGGTGTGGTCTCACTACTAATGAAGGTTCGAGATTGTCTTTTGAGATTTGAAACGGAACTTACTGAAATTTATAGACATGTTCACGAAAGCTTTTATTGAGAATGTCAGAAATCCTTTAAAAAATTTTTGTACATAACAAAAGAAAAGGGGACATTAAATCGCAGGAATTTTACGGGACTGTATTGTAAGTCCGATAAGTCCGAGGCCACATAAGCCTGACACCGCATAAGAGCAAAATTTTGGAATTATGAGGTGTCGGATCTATGAGGCATTGAACTTCACCTCATAATTCCGAAAACAGACAAACGATGTTTCGGACAAACAATGTTTCGGACAGTAAATGAGGTGTCAGGCTTACGAGGCGTCGGACATATGGGCCTTTATTTGGTTGGGGGATGAGATTTTGTCGAACTTATGAGGCGTCGGACCTACCGGTATGAGGCGTCAGACTTATGCGCGGAGCCCATTTTATAACTGTGACATTTTGGTTAAAACAGGTAAGGAGATAGAGTAAAATAAAAGAATATAAATGAGCCACATTTGGAGATGTTCCAATGCCATCAACAATCGATGTACATACATGTAGCGGAAAGTAAAAGTTTAAAGAAGCTTCCAGTACAGCATGTCCTGCAATGTGCTTTGTTTGATTATGCCATAATGGCCCCTGTGTCAGGGATGTTCATCTGTCTAGTCCTGCCGTAACTCTTTATGGTTATCCTGATACCTTCACTATCACCTAAGACACGGTAATTTTCCCAGCAGGCAGGTGCGGAAGTAATCAAGAAACCGGCGAGCCGTGCGGAAACGGTGAGCTAGGTCTCACGCTTCGAGTAACCATGGCCTATTTCTTCTAAACACACACATTAAAGACGCAATTTGGTAAGATTGGAAAAGGTGTTTGATGCAGGCTTGACCTGAAAAATAATCCTGATTGCCCATCTCCTGCATGATTACTGTTCATTCCCCCCCCCCTTCCTTCACCTTCAAAAACCAACTGACGTCCAATGTTCATATTCCTAACCGATAGAGGGCAGTTTCTACCAGTATTTTGGGGTTTTCATTCAATCTTGAAATCTGTGTTATCTATAACAATATTAGGATGTGACTGGAAAGGTAGTATTTGGTCCACTAAACTTACCACAACAAAAAAATTCCACCTCACTCTTATTAGGTGCGTTCTAAGCGTGAAAGCGTATGAATCAAACAACTTTTGTGACGTCATGAGAAGCACTCGCACTGCAAATTCGCAAATATTGCACACATTCCAAATTTCGCAGTGAATGTTTCCTGATGTCATATTTGCGTCACGTACGTATGAACCGGGTTTTAGTCATCCCGGTACTGCCCGCCCAAACTGCCCAGCCAATACTTGTACCACTCCAGCACTGGTTTTATGGAATCATTTGGGGAATGAATACAATGTAATACGATGTAGTATACTAAATACAGCCTGTCTCAAAAAAAATGGTACAATCAGAAAAAAAAATTGGTTAAATATGAAATTTCAAACTAAGTCATTCTTACTTGGCATAATATTAAAGAACAAAGACTGGGCTTTCCAATAGTGTTTGTTTGATCTTATTTGCTTTTGTCAATTCAGAGATATAATCAATTTAGTGCGATACACCAAAATCGATTTTGTGCCACTTTTATGCATGGGCAGAGTTGTTTCGAGTACTGTGGCACAAACTTGATTTTTGTGTTCCGCAGTAAACTGGAGTTCTCTGGATTGACAAAAGCAAATGAGATGAAACAAAAAGTATTGGAAAGCCTGGTCTTTTTTCTTAAATGTGATGCTCAAAACGACTTACTTATGTTGAGATTTAATATTGAAAAAAAAAATCGTTTTCAATTGTACCATTTTTTTTTAGACAGGCTGTACTACTGTACATGCATGATATATGTACATGTACATGTATGTACAGGCTTTTAGACTAGATTTACCGGTAGCTACAGATGCATTGTGGACCACTTACAAATTGGATCTACATGGCAGCTTTGCTTGGGATTAACTGTAACATGTAATTCCAATGTGGATTGTTATTGCTGTCTATGTACGACTCACACACAGGACATTAAACCCGAAGCCTGGGGGGGGGGGGCTGTGATAAACTGTGACACTTCCCAGCCAAACTGTCTTCATGTCTTATTCATATGTTTGCGATGTGTA